TACCACTTTACGTTATGCGGGAAGATAACAACTGCTTGGTGTCGGAGTTCTTCAGTGCTTTTGATTTTCTTTTCTATCTTTTTTTTTTTTTTTTGGTGGGCTGCTTATTGCTTTTTTTCGTCTTTGTTTTTGTATTTTATTTAAAATCGCCAAAAACTCTTAACTGTCCAGTTTCTCACTAGTTCGCTTTTCGAACTCTTACTGCCGGTCATGTCGCTTGGTTATTTATATGCCTAATGCTTACAGAAGAGCTCCGTGGCAATATTTATAGAAGCTCTTTTTCATTTTGTGAGCTAACCACGTTAGCTCCAAAACATGGTAGAAAGCAGAAAAAGCATGGTATCGTCTTTAAAGGTAGGAGGTACCACGGGAAGGATAAATAAATTTGACTGCAAGATTGACGAGCCTGGCAAATTTGGAATCATTTCTGACATTGAGCACGTTTTCTGCTAGCAGTTTCCGTCGGAGTTCGGTTTCTATTACAGGAGCAGGCTTTCCCTTCCCTTTCTTCTTCACCATAGTAGCCCACCTGATATCTTTATAAGGTGCGAGTCCTTCAAACTTCTTCTTTCTCGTGAATTCAGAAATATTGGGAATAAATTGCTCAAATAACCCACATGGATAAGAAAGAAGGAGAAATGAAGACATTTTGACTGAAAAAATTAAGTTAAATAATCACGGTGGAACGCTTGATTTAATTTTTGAACATATATCATATTTTTATGAAATGATGTATTCAATTACTAAAATGTTATCAATCGGTGCTTTCTGAGACTCAAATTGATGCTCCTAAATGTTGCGTAATATAAGATTCTCGCTTGTGCAAAAAGCAATAGGTTTCACGTGCAAAAGCGCAAAAGACCAATCGTGACTCGTTTGTCACTTGAAAGAGCAGCTGCTAACATTCAAATTATTCCCAGCTAGTGCGGATTGATTATAATTTTTAATTTCACTACTCTGATGTGTCCTCTCATACGTCTTCAAGTGCTCTTAGTCTTCCAACTTAACTTTTAGTGCATGAAGCGTCACTCATTCCCCCTTCTTACAACTTATCCTAAAGCTTGTAGAAGTTAATACCTAGTTAAGAGTCAAGAGACATCCTGGGCAAATCGATGGTGTTCTAGTGGTCAAAGCCACTAAGCACCCTGGTTTAATTTTTATTGAACTGTCACATTTATCAAAACTTTCTGCTTCCCATATGCGCCAGTTATCGGAAATTGTTGGCCATTAATGTCATACACGTGGTAAGATTGCTTAATTGAATCTAGACTTTAGAAAGGATAAAGTCCCCTCTATTTCTCTTTCAGAGAGTGCATTAGCTGCCCAGAAATGGAGCTATTTCTTAGGTCGAAGCGCTTTCGTCTCGTTGGGTTTCTTCGGCTTGCAATTATCTTTCCTGTCATGAAAGGCTGCGCTTCTCAACACCTTAGAGGTAGGATGAGCTAATATGATTCTTACTCCCTTAAAATGATTCAGTTTTGAAACATTTTTAGGTTAACTTCCCAATATTTCTTATATATCTATGTCCGTTTTTATCCATTTCTCTTTTTAAGTCAGTTTATTGAATTTTCGAACTTCCTCACGGACATAAAAAATTTGACATAAATTTTGACTCATTCTATATTTCTCAAAATTAGCGTGAAAAAAAAACCCAACCATTTTTTTTAAAAGAGCAAGTGTATATATTTTCAAGATAGTTTGAATTTGAAATCATTTGCTGTCAGCTTAAATAAACAAAGGAAAAAGTTATTTAATTCTATTAAAAATATCAATGGTTTCAAAGCTTTTCTACTTCGAAAATGCAATATAGAAAACAAACTTAATTTTCTTAGGTTTCCGTATATGTCACTTCGACTTGACAGACTTATAAAATTAACGTATTTTACGTATTTTTGGAGATCTTTGACTACATAAATGCAGTGATATTTGCACAAAAAAAAAAATTATATGAGAAAAATGCCAAAATCAACAGACATCTGCCAGACTTAATGAACATTTGAAATTTGTCCTCTTTTCACCAATTTGCAGCAAGTCGTTTTGAGATTAGTTAGCTTGTACAGCTTTCTTCTTTTCCGCTTTAAGCTTTTTAAAACACCTGGCCATCCTATCTGACATCTCTTAACTCAAAGCCACCGAGCGACGGAGACCCTAACACTCAATAAACCAGAATTAACCTGACACAGTACATCAATTTTCAATCCCTATTTAGGTAAAAACTACTGTCTTCAGTTTCTTAAATTTCAATCGACCCTCCTCTTTTTCAGCCAGCTTTCGGGGCAACAAGCTATTATGTAAACAAGACATACCGAAATTTACAAATTTAAGAGGAAATCAATGAGCCAATTTGTCCAAAAAGTCACTGATTGGGATGTGCTGTGTAGGTCTGGTTCTTTTCAGAAATGTAAAATCCAGAATAAGTTTCTAAATCCAGGATCTCTATTTTCATTCCAGGGAAATGTACCTTCGACGAGAATACATTCTGTAGCTGGTATAACGAAAGACACAGCGACCATTTTGATTGGTCTCTTCGTCAAGGAAGTTCTCCCGACAATCGAACAGGTATATAGTCAAATCTTTTATTCTACTTTGATCACATGAAAAAAAAATGAAAAAAAGAAAAAAAATATATATATATTTATACTGTGGGAGGAAAAAGACAAATAAACTTCCAGTTCATCCCTACAGACCTGTTTCGTGGTTGCCCACTCATCAGGGGATTTAATGAGAATAGATCTTTACCATCGCTTATATACAATAAGATCTAATTTATGCAGTGCGGAATTTAACAGTTAGTTGTTGCGTAGGAGGGCTTTGTTTCTGTGGCGACAGGAAGACACGAGTTTATTACGTTTGTTTAGTGTTGATAGTTTGGGTCGGCAGATAATTAAGAATTTTTCTTTTAGGCAGATATTACATCTTTTACTTGAGCTGTTGTACGGCGAGTGTGATGAGAGAATGCGCCAGGAAATAAAGTGCTCGATGTTGTTGTCTTTGAGGGTCCAGATGTGCTTGCTGAGTTCGGTGGAGTTTTTGTGTTTAGCGTGGCGGAATGATGCGGTGTGGTTTCTGTATCTTGTTTTGAAGTCGTTCTCTGTGAGTCCGATGTATGTTTCTGTCGTGTTGGGATGAACCGGTAGTTTATTTGTCTTTTTCCTCCCACAATATATACATCGCTCTACTCCTATGTATTGAGCACTGTCTTACTTAAGTCAAATTACTCTTTATACACACACACACACATATATATATATATTTTTTTTTTGAGAGGGCACGGTAACGAATCTTACAATCTGATTGGTTCTTTACCCGGTCAGTATTTTCCTATCTCTGCCCACGGGCCGCGGTAACGCTTTCGTGAGTCGCCAAGTCCATCCCAACTTTCGTTGCCATTTTCATAAATATATCTCGTTTTTCCGGCTGGGCAGTATTTTTACGCAAACACGTCGGTCACTACCTCAAGCCGATGAATAACTTATGAATCTTGAATCTTCTCTTTTCTCTCACTCCAATCACTTTGGTTGACAGAAAAATATTGGCTTCAGAATGAATTTGTATAAACAATAGTGACATTACGTTGCTTGGCAAGCGGCCTAAAACCCGTCTGCAATTAATTTTAATCGTTCACAAAAAGTACCTAGAAAGTTAAAACGTGAGGTTACAGGTTATTTGTTTACAGTTAACCTGAACGATGGAACTTTCATTCATTTAATACCTGAATTTTCTCAAGCAATTTGTTCGCAGTGAAAGAGCGAGCGAAGTTTTAATTTAAGTTCTACAACAAATAAACGCTCTCGGTGAGTCTTTCCAAGTCCGTTCAATTTGAACATCTGTACCGTAAATTGCACAACAGAAACTGAAGGAATTTTTTGAGAAAAGGCCGCATTAAATCCCTTGTGTCTCGTTGGAGTGTGCCATTCGAATTTACTTTTTGTAGAGGAAAGACCAGATTTACACACGCCACTGCAGCAAACAAACGAGCAAACTCTCACAACTTCAAAATAAAAAAAATTGAATTTGCTCACAATTACTTTCCTCGACGTTTACTTAATGAACAGAGGTAAATCTTCGAACATGAATGAATCGTCGATGAGAGTGAATAATACTTTCCGTTAAATCAGACTGTCTTGAAAATGCTGCCCTCGGCCTACGGCCTCGGGCGGTATTTTCAAGACCTCGGTCACAGTTTTTCACCATACGGACCTCCCAGCCGGCAAATAACATATATATACATAAATCTTGATTATAGTCTATCCTTGCGGTATAGTGCTTGACGCGTTCGCAGAGCGTGGTATATCTGAAAATTGGACAAATCAATACGACAACTTTTCTGTGACTCTGAGTTTCACGTGTACGCGATCATCAGAAAGATTTTAATGAAGAGTATACCTCACCTAGTTTAAATGTATATACAGCAGTTAGTTAATTAGTAAACCTATCGTAATCTGTTGTCGATGTTCATTAGGGAGTATTTGTTCTCATGGCAACATTTGGAAATGAATTCAGTTCTTTTGTTAAGGTTGCTTGCTTTGTCGGCCGGCTTTAATAATGTAGCTTAGGGTTAGTTTATTCAGTTAGGCAGAGGTTCCATCGTTTGGAAATATTGTTATAATCGCTTGCTGAAGAGATGATACACCAGCTTATTTTGTGGTTTTCATTGTTATCCTTGAGTTTCCAGATGTGTTTTGCTAGTTCGGTGCGGTTGGCATATTTTCTGTTACGGAATGATAGTTTAAGCTCTCAGATCAAGCCGGTTCAACACAAACCTTCACTACTACATTACTGTACAACGGAAAGATCGAGATATAGACTTCCTATAAATAAATAAATAAATAAATTATATATATATATATATATATATATATAAACTCCATCAGAATCCCCTTTGGATAAAAATAAACTTAGCTATAAATTCATAAGTATATGCTTGCTGATGGGAAAATGTGCCATTGTCTTCCAAAGATAAAGAGGCATATATCTACATCGAAACGTCATCTCCACGTATGTACAGTGAAAAAGCCAGGCTGAACAGTCTATGGAAGACAGGCCCCCAGAGAATGGAGTTTTTTTACTACATGTACGGCAGTACTATCGAGACTCTGTCGGTGTATGTGAAAATTAACGGCAGCGAATACAGGGTATGGAGTCGCTATGGAAGCCAGTTATCAAACAACTGGATCAAAGGTTGTGTGACTATAAACTACCGAGGAACTTATCAGGTAAAAACTTTTTTTCTTTCTCAGTTGTTTTTTTGTTGGTTTGTTCGTGTGTTTGTTTGTTTGTTTTTGTGTGTAGATGCTTTTTTTGTTGTTCTAGTGGGCTCCTTAAGATAAGTTCTCTGTGTTACCTTAGTTGGCTTGCAAATGCATTTTTGAACCTTAGAAAGTGTCTCGCCAAATATAGTGATTCAAGATCGAATGTAATATACTTGTTTTCTTTTTTCCTCGAAAGAAAACTAATTGTCATTTTCTTGTCTTTCAAACTTGTTGATTGGCTTTAGACCTCCTCTTTCCATAGTAATCTTCGAAATTTTATGAAAGTATCGGGTGGTATGGCAAAACCAGGCATCCGATAAGTAATCGATGTCAATATTACAAGGCATGTGTGGAAACGGAAAATTTCCCCCAGAGAAACATCGCTTTTATTTCTATTATAGTACAGAAGACGAATTCCATTTTGATTATTTGTATATTTTCATTTATCTCAGATTATAATTGAAGGAGTAGCAGGTATTTCGAATGCCTCAAACATTGCTGTTGATGACGTCAGCTTCAGTAAAAACCTGAGTTGCGTTTCTAATGGCAAAACCACACCTGAGGAAATATTTGAAGGTAAAGGCCCAAGCTATCGCATGAGTTATGTCTGACATTTACCTAACCTGACTGTCGGAAACAGTTACATGTACTATAGGTTTTATTTTGCCTCCTTTGTACAAAGAATGTGGTAATTCATCACAATCTGCAGTAACTAAGTGGTTCAACTAGCTGGGAGGTAATACACATACATTAAGGAAAGTTTAACCGCTGATGTAATTCTGTAATTGGCTTATGTGGGCAAAAATTAACAGCATAAAAGTTTATCGTATAGAAGAATAAATAAGTGGAAAGACAAGTCTTAAGTTCATTCAGAACTATCTAAATTATGCTTCGATTTGGTTACTCTAGTAAACTGCACTTTCAATGGAAACTTTTGTGGGTGGCGTAGCTTGTCGCTGTCACCGGATCAGGTCAGCTGGAAGAAAGCGGGCAACAAAACTGGACAGAAAGGAGATTTTGCTGGTGAGAAGAGCCTCTCGAAAGGAGCAATTATCTTATTGAATTCAAAGAGATTTTGGAGTTGAATGGAGTTCACGAGTTAACCAATTCCCTCCCATTCAATTAGTGCCAAAGATCAATTTTTAAAAGTGCAGTTGAACATCTTTTTTAAATTGAACTCTGTGATAACACTTTCGTAACATTATTTTACAATTTCACACAAAGGAAACTTCATTTACACTTCTCAACCTATAAAAGAAAATCGGTCCATCCATCTATTGAGTCCTCTTATGCTGGGACCAAAGTGTTTTCGCTTCTCATATCACATGTCCGGGCAGAAAGTTGGAAAACTTGATATCCTGCTTCAAGTCCGGAGGCAGCAAGAGGATTACTTGATATGGCAGAAAACTGGAGATCAGGGAAATAGGTGGATACAAGGTAGCATTGGTATTGGCTACACCGGCGAATTTCAGGTAGAAAATAAAAATGTGAGAGGAAATTGTCAGAAAAACAGATTTAGTCCTACTCAGTTACAGATGTCTTCTTTTCCTGCATCATTAAGTTGTTATGTTACACTAGGAGCAATCTATTTTTACTCCTTTTGCCAGCCCATTGCAGGTAAACAAAACTACCGTGTATATAACAGGATTCACTCAAAATTTGATTAGAACCGATTTGCGATTTGGCTTACAAGAAACATCCTTAGAATGGTTCGTAAAAGGATTTAATAAATCGGCTAGACCTCTAACCATGCACAAAAATTATCATCCATGGTAAATTTGGTGCTAATCTAAACTGAACCCTCCCCACTATTTGTTTCGACTGGAATAATTTCTGTTGTTACAGATTGCGCTGAAAGCAACTCCTGGCAAAAATTACACAAGCCCTATAGCTTTGGATAGCTTCATATTAACTGATGGACTGTGTGACGACGAAAGTGAACTTGACAGCATTCAACAAGGTTTTTCACTCGTATCTTTCACATACGATTATTACTGCTTGCACATCTGAACCAACATAATTGTAGCTTCTGATATTTATACGATGTCGGTTCCAAATGCAGATCACCGTTTTTAGGTCTTCTTCGTAATTGTAACTTAGTCGTTACTTTTCTAGATATATTTCAGCGCATTTTTCTCGTCAAGCCGCTTTCCATTAGCAATTTTTTCCTTCCAGACAATGCTCACAACAATTTTTATACTGCAGGAAACTGTAACTTCGACCAGAATTTTTGCTTTTGGAAGAATGATTTAAATTTCATTTTCAAGTGGACTCCTCAAGGAGACAGAGCACCCAAGTATCAGACCGGACCCAGCGGTGATCATACTTCAGGTACGGTCGATTTAATACCATTCCTATTGGTCAGTTGAAGAATTAACTAATCTTTAATTGTCGATTAGTCATACTTTGTTTGCGAAACCAGCATGGAATGTATTTAGTTTTTCACTTTTTTTTTTTTTACCAAAAACTTAGATCGTGATGCACTTTTCGTAGGGAATACATGATGGGTAGAACGAGTCGTAATGTTCATCAAATTGACTCCTCTCTTTTATCGTAAGTTCGCTTTTTTTCTTCTTTATGGAAAACTCATTGAGAGTGCAGTTTTCAATCGTAACCCTTTTTTTAAAAAGATGGTTTTGGTTGATAAAAGAGGAATTAAGTGAGGAAAAATCAGATGAAAATAGGGAAAGCTATTTAAAAATTCTCCAGTCTCACCATTTGCCTTCCTCGGTTTGATTTTGGTGTTTGGACTCATTTGGATAATGATTTCATCATAATAGTTGCTGCTTGATACAGGCTCGACTGTTTACTTTCCTTTTATCAAGGCACTGGCTCGTACATTTATATTGATGCTTCAAGTCCTCGCCAGCCTGGAGACACCGCGAGGTTGACAAGTCCATGGATGCGGGGTCCACAATGTATGACCTTCTTCTACCATATGTTTGGTTCACACATGGGTTGTGTGGTTATGTATATTAGAATCCAGGCTGGAGAGAAGTTACATCCAATATGGTTGCGGTCGAAAGATCAAGGAGACCGTTGGAGACAAGGGCAATTAAGTATCTACAGCAACTTTACGTATCAGGTAACATGAATGTCTCGACACTTGATTCTAGCTCCCCGCTCTGTTGTCCTTTCCTATATCGCATTAGGCCAACCATAGCAAAATGGCAGGTTCTTGAACCTGATTCCGCATATTATTAGAATAAATCGTATTCAGGTTTGAATAGGGAATAAAAGAGGCAAAGCATTCTCGAAAAAAGGCAGCTTATGTGTCATCTGGCAGTAAAAATGGCAGTGCCCCTTTTTTACAACGTATCGTATCATTAGCCTCTATTTTGTCCCTTGCTCTAAAAGATAATCATTGATGGCATCAGAGGAGGTGGTGATTCAGGGGATGCAGCCCTGGACGACTTCACCTTTCAAAGAGGACCTTGCCGGGAAACAGGTACAGAAACTATTTTGATTTCCTTTACGCTGGTGTTAAACGGCTCCCTCTTTTATGTCTGAATTCTTTTTCCTGAAAATAGACATTTATTTGTGTCATTATCAAACTTCAGCATGTTCTATATACTGTTATAACTGGAAATTTTTAACAAAAAGATGAATCAAATGATGTTTCTAACATCCCTTATCGGATTGAGACCTCCTATTACTTTCTATAGAGAGAGTATATTTGATAGCAAACCTTTATCACATTATGATTTCCATCTGAGTGTTAACCTATTTCAAAAATGGTGACCCTTATTGTTATTCTTGATACGAAATTTTAGATGATATTTGAATATTCAAATTAAAGAGGCTCAAAATGATTACTCTGCCAATGTTGCATGAGTATGAATGGTTGAACTAAAAACCTCTGCGCTGATAGTGATGCTACCTAACAATCTGTTTTTCTTTTATCTTTCATTTAAGATGAAACCACGTATTACGTTTCGTCGTATATGGGTAAAGATTATAAAATATCCTCTCGACCTTCTGAACACAGTCTCTACTCCGAAGAATTCCGTTTTACTCTCAAACATCCACGAGGACTTCCAACAGAAACCTCTTATTTTATCTACTCTGAAGCATCCAGGAGACGCAGTTTCGTTAGGGAAAAACTAGATCTGTCTGACTATAATAACTATCCGTTGGATGTGGTTGTCCTTAATGACAACGGACCGTCTCGAAATTGCAGGAAGATCTATTTTATCAAAAGGGATAACAGTGGACCCATGATAAGTCTGGACGACTACAGTGCCTTGGATTGTTGCAAAGGAAAAATTAAATTCTCTCTTTGTGCTCTCAATGTAACTGAGCCAGGTAGGAAAATTAACCGCGCGTTGTTCATTTTGAACGATTTTTAAAGAGAAACATTTTTTAAATCTTTGGCCATTGCGCAATAACTGTCCAGTGATTTCGCACCACGTGAGGTACAATGGCCAATTAAATCGCCCGAATTTAGTTGTGGGTGATAATGGTTGATATCTCAAATAAAAACTTTCAAACCCAGTTCTGTGTTTAAAAAAATAATATGTCTTTTGATTAAGAAAGAAAATTACTGCTGGGACTCGCTCGCCTCACAACGTTGTAATCAATTGGAAAATTGTTTCGACCCGTTGATGCTACCTTCCTTTTAACAAAAAGCACAGATCCAAGGAAATTATAGTTGGTAAGGTAGATACATTTACCTTACATCGGTTATTGTTTAAGTAAGCTTAAAATAAGGTTTTGTTAATTTGCAGATAATCGTTTGACTTCTGGATGTCAGCCCGGTTGGTACGGAGTAGGAAAATCTTGTTTCATGTTTTATTTTGAATCACCACGGGAGTGGCGCTTGGCGCGAACTTTGTGCCACAAACAAAATAGCGAAATGGCCATTGCCAAAAGCGTTGATATACTGGAAGCCCTAGCCAATCTGAGAAAACATCTAAATTCTGAAGACCTGGATCTCTTTCTTGGGCTAAAGAGCAAGGTACGCTGGACTTGGGTAGACGGCGAAAAGGTGTCAAACGTACACAAAGCTTTGTGGAAGCCTACCGAACCAAGTGGTGATGGCAAGTGTGGATCTCTCCAAAGTTTTGTTAGTTGGGATTCAAATTGGCGTGGGTATGGATGGGGCTGGAATGACGATCCTTGCACCAGTCTTAGGAGATACATTTGTGAAGAGCCACTGGGTACGTTTCTTAACAACTTGCAATAACAACTTGTAATCAATGTAAATATTTGAATGGCATCTGCATTAAAGATATTTTCGAAGGCAAAACAGCCTTACAGATTAACCTCTCAACATAACCACATTAAGTAGCCTTTTCGCTTTTCTTTTCAGCTTTAAATTGAATTAGTTCCGTCTTAAGTGAAGTTGTTATACTGACTGGTGTACGCTTCGTTCAGACATAGTCCCACAAATCCAATTGATGAATTCAAGTGATTTACTCTGTAGTTGATCTTGTTTCAGATGTTTAATTGCGTTTTAAGGGTGTTAAAAGTTTCAAAAACATTACGTCGTTTATCGCATTATTCAGAATCTGTCCGAGTTATTTATGTTTTTACTTCTGCTTCTAGATGTTCCCCTCCCTGTGGCTCTCTTCTTCGTGGGTGGTATTAACAAAACTGTGGACCTCAGTCCAAGTGGAGCAAGTATGGCTGTGCTCAGTGACATCACCTTACAACCAGGTCCGTTTGGAAATCCAAGTGGCTCCTTGTTTTTAGGAACTAGCAATAGCCATGTGGAATTGGAAAATCGCGGAGAAATCGATACAAGGTTTTCGATGAGTGTATTTGCCTGGGTGCATCTTAGTAATTCTAGCACTGGTCAAATAATAGATCACGGTTGCTCGATGACGGTCTTCCATTCAACCCTCGGAGTCGAAGTGCTTTTTAAGGAACGGGAAAGTTCTAGGAGTTATCTCATACATAAAAAGGGCGTTCTTAAAGAAAACTCTTGGAATTTCATCGGTGTTACGTATGAGTACTACAGCGGTATGGCAACTATATGGGTAAACGATAACATCGTCATGCGAAAAATTGTTTTAGCTAAAATGGAGTTAGCGACGCAGGAGAATGTTATTGTTGGAGCCTCAAAAAATAGGAAAATGCAATTCCGTGGCAGGATTTCTTGCTTGCAGTTTTATAATCAAGCATTATCTGTGGATCAAATCATGAAGGCTAAAATACGATGTAATAAAACTGGTAAGTAGGTTTAATTTACTTGTCAGTTATGATGCCCACAGAGCTGTACAAAATCCAGTTAAAATCGAAAAGTGCTGCAGCGTAATAAGATACACCCATAGCAACCTAACATAAGATATGCCAATGATACATCATGCCTTCAACATCGGTAGACCTCACCTATGAATTTCTTTAGCTGTTAACCTATTTTATATGGCTGATCCGTAAGATTTTCATTTTTTTTAAACGTTTGGAAGTATCTGCACCTTCAGTGGAATATAGAAGTGTCGGATGCTACGCAGACAAGCCTCATCGAGCAATTCCAATACTTGAAGGAGCAGACCCCATCTCTGCCGAGAAGTTCGATGTGCGTACGAGAGCGATTGAAAAGTGTGCCCTTGCAGCTCGAAAAAGAGGATTCACCATGTTTGCTGTTCAATATGGTGGGCAGTGCATGACCGGCGCAACGGCAGAACTTACTTTCAACAGATATAATGAGAGTAACGATTGCAAAGCCGATGGAAAAGGAGGAACATGGGCAAACAATGTTTACATCATTCGAGGTTCGTTAATGGATGTAATGATACCATGCTTTACACTTGAATAGGAGTCAATGATGTTGCTAATAAATTCCACGAGTTTGTTTCCGTAATATACTTTTCAGCGGTTGGAACGTACACTTTTAGTGGCTTGATATTTGTGAACCGTAAAACACTTGAGTTTTTAGTTTCCGGAAAATAAATGTCCCGATATGACTCAAGAATTTATTTTTTTATCAAGTTCATTTAAATAGTACAATTCAGTCTAATCAAATTTTTTTTTCTTGTTTTGTTTTGTTTTAGATTCTCGAATCGAAACTTTTCAGTCATTTTCCATTTGTTCGAAAATTTTGGGTGTGTCGGATATGCAACTTTATTTTTGGCCTATCATCGCTTACTAGTCAGTTGTAGCTCACGTTTGCACGTCTAAAAATGTCTCTAATTAACGGTTTTGCTTAATAATTAAATTGCTTACATTTCAAATAGATTATATCGATATTGGATGCTACAGAGATCGCCGCTCGCGTGCAATTGCATCACTCGAAGGAAAAGATCCGCTATTGACAGGATGGCACAAAAATCGCAAGAACTCTATCGAAAAATGTGCTATAGTGGCTCGCAAAAGGGGCTTCCGCATGTTTTCAGTTCAGTATGGCGGGGAGTGTTACGGCAGTGTAACAGCCGAGAAGACTTTTGATAGATATGGCAAGAGTGATAATTGCAAAGGTGACGGAAAAGGAGGAGCTTGGGCGAATCGCGTCTACGCCTTTCAAGGTTTGTGACTGAACTTATTTCCATTCAATTCCTTATTTAAGACATAATCAGGTAGTTTGACATTTTACGTAAAGACTGATATCACTTAATTTTTGGTTCCCTGTTTGACGCTTAAATCTTTACTGGGATCTCTACATGTTATTATAAAAGGTTAAAGAAATTATTGAATGATGATATTACAATAACCTCATCCTTAGTTTATTATCTCTAGGCTACCGTTGATATCTAAATTAACCAAAAAGTCCAAAAAAAAAATTAATCGGATTGTTTTGTTTTTTCTCGTAGTTTCTTCTTCTTGGTGCAGTCCCAGCTTTTTTCCATTCCATGGGGGTTGCTTTTCCTTAGATGCCGACAACAAAGTAAACTGGAAGCAAGCCTTGGAAAGGTGCAATTTTGAAGGAGGTACTCTGGCAAAGATTTCAACGGAAGGGTTAAGACGTGCTTTCTCTGTTGTGTTAGAAGGAATCAGATCCTACCGTTCGAGTCATAACAACTATTTCATTGGTATGAGAGGTCAATATGATGACTGGACGTGGTTTGATGGCACTTCTTTGAATGACTCGTTGTGGATGTCAGGACATCCAACGAGGGACGCTGATGATCTAGCCTGTGCTTATCTTCCGGCTGGTTCATCCAGAATAAAGAATGGTCCTTGCAAATCACATAGATACCCTTTGTGTCAGAAAAGATCGGGTAAATTGTAATATGCTTAGCACTAATATGCATATTTATGCAAGAGAAGGGCGTTCTGCGGTAAAACACTTCTTAAAAAGTAACTTTGTGGCCTAAAGTCTAAAAACTTCTGAGAAACACGAAAGAAACTAAGTGTCAAAATCAATAACGGGAAACTAAAGGGAAAATAGATTTTTAACACTTTCATTTGGCATATTTACATTTATTTTTTGGGCAATGACATCAGAGTTTTCAAAGATTTTATAAACATAAAGCTGGACGCTTGCGTTTTAAGAAATGTTTTGAATGGAGAACACTTTTTTATCATGTCAAGATAATGTTCAAGCTTGCTTTACTTTCACTGCACATTGCTTCATTTCTGTCTCGCGCAGATATCTCAGCTTTAAAAGGCTTTAAACTAGAAACTGAAAGCTTTCGTTGTAACACATTTTTATGAATAGAGAACGCCTTTTTAAACCATTTCCCTCTTCTATTTGAAAAGTTACAATTAAATTTAGATAGTTATTGTTACATTAAGGCTTATGAGGGTTCTTGCTGTTATTTTCATAATTTCTTAGAGTACGTTGTACCGCTTTGTTTGGTTTTGGTCTCCTCTTTCGATGCATTATTTTTTCCTTGCTACCTAACATCCCTCCTTTTCTTCCTTCAAGGTAATTGAAACGTGTTGGCCACCGTAACGGTGGCAAATTTCAAATACTATTTGTATTTTGATACATTAGGTCTTACTATTTTCAAAGTTTTTCACTCTACTCAAGCTAAATGCAATTCAAACATCTCCCAAACTATGGTGCCGATGTTTTTTTCTTCGTCATGCAGAAGCTTCTTTGTCAAACCGAAGTCAAACCACTTGTTCCAGTGTTTTGCTACCGTATGAGTCCTCTTTGGCTGTTGATAAATCTTACACCACCTGCTTTCGTTCAGGAAGGGTAAGTAATTGTCATAACAAAGGGAAGAATCCACAGTCAATCCACTGGATTTCCTTTCATATGAGTAGAAGCCAAATATTCATTGCGTATGTAAAGATTGGGTCAACTAATTGTGACATTTATTTCAGTGTTGTTTTGTGTGTGTGTGTGTTTGTTTCTCATTTGCATTCTGTTAAGTTCTAGCGCAACCCTTATTTCATTTTTTCATTTATTTAGGAGTCGAACCCTTGGTGGCAAGTTAACCTTGATAAACATTTGTACGTAATCTCTGTGGTAATCACTAATAAAGTTGATTGCTGCCTACGGGATAACGGGATGATTAACGTAAGAGTATTAAACAGTCCACACGGCACAGACTCAACCTGCTCCAAATCGGTGAAATATGATGGAGTAACCCAGCAATTTAAATTTTACTGCTCACCACCAGTGCTAGGAAATTACCTGAAAATAACGTTGACGGGTAATAATGTCTCTCTTGTCCTGTGCCAAGTTGTCGTGGAAACTATTGGTAAGTTGCCAGTAGTTCTCTTTCAACATAAAAGTTCCTTCTTAGAGCCTTCCTTTGGATCACATAACTAAGGCTGCGTATTCGAAGCCTTTTAGGAACTATTTCTATTCCTACAGTCATCGACTTGATGCATCGGGGTCGAGAAATTCATGCTCATTTTAATAGAATAAGTGTAAACGGCTGAGATTGCATAAATTACAACTTTTATAAACTCTTTTCCCATCCTTTAAACAATCTTATGAGCGAAGGAAGAAAATCCCATTTTTTTTTAGTATTCATATTCTTAGGCGGTCATATTCCCCCCCCCCCCTCCTTCTCTTTTACCCTAAGTAGAAGTTAACACGTTGCAATGTGTCTATCCACGTTAGATTCGCCTACCGAGGCAAAGGGAGTGCTACGAGAGACATGGTATCAAATGAAACATTACGAAGCCAGGAGTAAATCAATCATGCGCGAACATCCACTCATTCAAGGTCCGCCTGGAAGCCGGATAGTTTTGCCAGATTTTGATGCTCCTATCAATTTGGAAGACAGATACGCGCAAAGATTGACTGCTTACTTGCTGGTAAACATGAAAGTGGAGTTCTTCCTGCTCATTAAAACTTTGCTTCGTCTTCTTTCGGTGAAAATGAAAAATTAGTCATTCTTTGTTAGTCTCACCCAGTCTGCTTTCATTTTCCAGCTTCTAAGACAAACTTTAATCGCCTACTTACCATTTTTAGGTTCCTCAGAGCGGTACCTACGTCTTTTACGCTGCGTGCGACGATTCATGCGAGTTGTGGAAGTATAATGTCATGGAATTCGGATTTGTAAAAGTTAACACCAAATCAGACAAGAGTGTAAAAAACCGAAGTCCAATCATATCTGTAAAAAAATTCACCAGACATCTTCAATGGGACAGGTAAGCGGTTCATTCGAAGGATAGAAAGCCAATTCTCTTGAATTTTTAAGACAGCCAGAGTTATGTTTAAATTTTTCGTGACCTGTCGTTTGAAGGTACGAAGAGCAATCATCGCAGCCAATCTTCCTTGAAAAATGTCGCTTCTATCGTATGGAGGTGTATGGAATGGATGTAGACGGCAACGATCATATATCAGTTGGCATGCGTAGGCCGAATGGAGATTTTGAAAGGCCCATTCCTGGGAAAAGACTATTCTGGACGAAACCAGGTATTTCGGTTTGGTTTTTATTTTGTTTTAATTTTTTCGTATGTGTGTGTGTGTTTTGTAATGTTGTTTTGTATCTTTTTTGTTGTTGTTGTTTTCATTCTTATTTATTTATTTAAATTTTTTTTTGTTTTTTCACCTTTTTGAATTTTTCTATTTTTGCTGATTTTTTGTTTGGTTGGCTTTTTTCTTAATCGAAGCGGCTTCGGAACGTCGTCAACTTTTTTGAAAGGTAAATTATGTTAAAAAAAGAAAAAAAAAGGAGAAGGATAATGCATAAAACTAGAAAAAAGCTAGAGACTAAAAAAGCTAGTTTGCAAGTGAACAGTTACCAGCGGGGAAAGAAAGTTTAGATAAGATAGGACTTGCTATAATTCGCGTTCTACTCTTTTCCTCCGGAGAAGCCTGATTTCATGAACTTCATTTCGTAACCCAGAGTACTTACTGAATTCAAACCGTGGGTTAATTCTTAAAAAAAAAGTGGATCAGTGTCAGCAAGGATTATTGAAGGAACGGCGTAAATTTTTGAATCTTAAACAGCGATTTAACTATAAAAAAATGCGCTAAAACATTTCTTTAAAACATATTAAGATTGCTAGAAACCAAGACGACGTTTCGAAGTTGCTAAACGTCATTTAAAGTCAAAAAAATTTTTTTGAGTTGCAGTCTATATATACGAAAATGAAAATGGGTGATGAAAAGCTAAACCGTAAGAAAAGATCTTTGGATGGAAGACTAATTCTTATTGTGTTTTTATCATCGGTGTTTCTTTCCGCTGTGCCTGCCGAAACATTTATAAAAAGAAAATTATTGATAGCGGAATCAATAAGGTCCATACAGTAGTCGAGACGACAGAAAATAGAGTGCAATTTGACACATTCTGCATTAAAAGCCTCCGTGGTAGACGAAAGGGCATAGGCTCGGTGATATACTGGTGGTACAACGGAAAGAAACACCGATGAGAGCAACACAGTAAGAATTAGTCTTCCATTCCAAGATCAAGTGGCCGCTAATGCGGTTCGGAAGCAGTTGCGCGATCTTAGCCATAAGATTCTCCCTACATTGCAGCCTGTTTTTGTGAGCAAGAAACTGGGACAAGTTCTTAAACCCAAAGAAATCAAGCCGTCAATTGTGAATCGGCGATGCGTTCTTTATCTTTTTTTATGTGATCTGTGCGATGCAGATTATGTCGGGTACACAGCCCGACACCTTCATCAGCGCATTGCAGAGCACAAATATTCGGCAATCGGTCGACATTTCGTGGAAACTCGCGGTAGCAACCACCTCTTTATAGAAAACCAATTTAGAGTATTAAAAAAGTGCTAGGAAAATTTTGATTGTTTAGTCTTTGAAATGCTTTTCATCAAGAATTTTCTTACGGAGTAGCTTTTTATCACCCATTGTTATTTTGATATAATTATGTAGAATGCAACTTCCAAATATTTTTTTGACTTGATAACGACGTTTAGCCAACGTCGAAACGTCGTCGTTTTTTTAGCAATCTAAATATGTTTTTTTAAAAATGCTTTATTGCAATTTTTTCTAATTAAATGCTTCTCTAAATCACTTCTTCTTAAACAGGGACACGAAAATTGGCGGTGACACTCAACGATCTTGAAACGTCGATAGCTGCCATCGTTGGGTCAAATCTACGCATTTCAGGTTGGTATTGATGTAAGAAGTTTAACAATGCTTAAATAACACGTCAAGCTTTCATATTTCATTTGGGAATATGGGGAATTGACGTGAAATATAAATTGAAAGCTTAAAAAATTTCAATTTTTAGATCTTATTCTTTCTAACCCTAAGGTACCTACAGCTTCTGTTGTCAGGGCATATATTGCCCTGATTGTCCATTGCACCTGAACATCTCAACCCTGATGCAAAATGTAACAATAGACTCAGCGGTAAATATGTCTTGTTTAAATACATCCTTCGAGACTTTCTTTGACACAGAGAGACAGCCGGGAAATTATACAGTGAAGGTTAGTATATTTTAGCGTTACCTATCAATTGTTTATAGACAGTTTGACAGGTATTATATAATACGATCATGAACCAAATTACTTCAAAATCTAAAACGAACACTTGATAACCTTAGTATCACACTTCTTCAAATTTCAAACATGTTCTTAAGAGAAAGTTGATAACCGTGTAACCATTCTTAAAATTGTCGTAATTTGAGACTAAAATTGTCCATCAGATCAGCTATTCATTCCTGGACCAATCAGGGCAAATTCTTGAAGAGAGAGTGCTTGGAAATGTTCATCTTCAAGGTAACTGCGTTTTATGAAGTTGATGATTTATTTTTCTTCCTCTCTCTTTTCATAAGTTAAGTATCAGTTACACGTTAAATATACAGGTCAGTTTGTATAAGGTTCAAAAGACTTCACAATAAATACGGACTAAATTCAAACTTTGAAAGAGTTAGTGGACAACAATTATATAGCGACATTCTGCCTTTTTTTTCGGACAAAACGAAAATTTGGGCATATTTTGGCGAGCAATCAACCAAATGAATGAGTTGTAGATCGGTTTGCTGGGTCGTGAGGTTAAACTGGAGATAGTTTAGAAAATCATTGAGATTTGCTTTCAGAAACCAGGAACTGCAAAATAGCTTACATGTACGAGGCAAAAGTACTTTCTTGGAAACTATATGTTTCTTGGATTTATCCGCCCATTCTTGTCTCCGTTTTTGGTTAACATCCCTAAGAGAAAAAGCACTTTAGCAAACGATTATAATAATTACTTTTAAACGATAATTTGAACTCTCACAGCTGCTCTAGTATTAAAAGAATGCCATTTCGAGTCTGGAAATTGTGCGGGCTGGACTAACCTTGGAGGCAAGGAAAAGTGGAAGTTCTCCCAAGGTAAGAAGAAGGATATTTCTGCCTGCTTACTTTTTTTTTTTTTTTTTTTTTTTTTTTTTTTTAAGAAAATGTACGCTATAGGATCTCTGCGTCATAATCTTTTTTAAACTGTCCCGCTCAATCTCCATACTTATGTGAAGGATTGGCTTAAAGTAGCTTGGTCCTTTTCTATATAAATGTGTTTACTGACTCAATGTTACATCTCCCAGGTCCTTTTGCCTACATCGGAAGATCTTCCAGGGGACAGCTTAAGAGTCCTTTGTTATCAGGGAAACCAGCTAATGAGATGGTGGGCTTGTGCCTACGGTTCAGATACCTCATGCCAACTAAATCAAAGTCGTATTTGAAAGTTCTACTTTGGGAAGCAACAGAAGAAAGGGAGTTATTAGTTTGGCAGCTGCTTGGATACCATGGTCAAGGATGGTCAATGGCTCAGGTGGTTTTGCCAAGCTCTGTATCTATTCAGGTAATTGAAGCTTCCATTTCATTTGAGGGAAATCTCTTTCTATTTGTATTCATGGGTGAGGTTTATATCTATGTATGTTACAACCTTGAAACATTTTATTTAATTATTGATAACATCATTTTCTATTTCTTTCTATATGTTCCTGTTTTGTGACAGGTTATGTTTGAGGGAGAAGGCTTTGTTGATGACCCAGTGAATGTGGCAATTGATGACGTCAGCGTAACGACTGAGAACTGTGTTTTACTACCTTACTATGCAAAGCCAGGTGATCTTTTCTTTCCGTTCCCTCTTTTCATTCCTATACTTTCGAATAAGGAACTTAACGATCATTTTAATCTTCCAAAATCCTTACCACTTACGCTTGAGGCGTACACTTGGTTTGCCAACAGCTCGTGGCCACTAGTAGGCTGGTCATGAAAGTAGCAACCAGAGCAGAGACTTATGGTTCAATTCTGTCCTATGTTTAACTCATTAGTCTTTGATAATAATGTATTCCGGCTTTGTAAACTTCTCTCACAGAAATGTGGCACAGTTTCGGTCATTATTTCTTTCTCTTTATGGCTTTTCATTTATAAAGAAAACGAAATAGGAAACTTATTTCGCCGAGTTTTTTGTTAGGTTTTCACTGTGGCGAAAAAGAGTTTCAATGTGACAATGGGGAATGTGTCAAAAATGATTTAACATGTGATGGTGACCTCGCGTGTAAAGATGAATCGGACGAGGAGAACTGTGGCTGCCCTTCCAGTGAGTTTGCTTGCCAGGATGGAAAATGTATCCCCGCGGCAGCTGTGTGCGATGGTAGCAACGATTGCTCAGACGGAGATGATGAACATAACTGTCGTAAGTTCATGATTGCGCTAAGGACGCCAAGGGAGTTTTCTTTTAACTCTTGTGGTCATTTCGGGCTAAAGAGTGATTTTTTTACCGATACGTTTCAATAAGACAGTCGTTAAGTCTGGCCAGCGGTAATGAAACAATTTTATTTCTTTACTCTATTTTTCCGCAGTATTTACATTCGCATGACTCAAATTAAAGATTTGCTTTTCAGGTAGTCCATGTCCTTTCAAATATCATTGTCTTGATGGTACTTGCATTTCCTGGTCTAATACCTGTACGGAAATACCGTTCTGTGAGGACGGTACTAACACACCGTCTGTATGTGGTAAGTAGAAAACAGCAGCCTAGTGTATACCTAATTCTAATTGAGCTTATTTCGTGTAAATTCACAAAAACTCTAGACCATGCCTATTCTTGTCCTGTAACACATGAAACTAATCATCATAATGTCTTAAAGTATCATGGTATGCTTTAGAAATTGCTGTTTAAGAAACAGTGAGAAGGCTTCGATCTTGCCTTTCCCTTGATATTTCTGCATTTCAGGAGCGGGAGATTGCCTCCTCAGTGATTTATCGTGTTCATCAGTCACGTCAGAAGAGCTTTTGCAGTGTAAATCATCTTTCAGAGGTAACATTCATATCAAATTACTAAGATGCTGCCATACCTTAAAATCCACTCTTTTTCCGGTAAGTTCTTTTCTACTTTTATCCTCTCCTTGCCTTTATGTTTACGATATGGAGACAGAACGTCTGGTGCATCTGGGGACTGATTTGGTAGGCTTGTTTGATAAAAGACAGGGTTCAGATGAAACAAACGTAGTTAATTTTGATATTCGCGAATTACTGATTATAATTACGAAGACTAAAATACCTACAGTAAGGCAAATTCGACTCAATGAAACATATACGGGGTCATTTACAGTTTTCATTGTGGAAAATTGGAACAGTCAGTTTTAGTTGTAAATTCCTTTGGTTCATTTTACACATTGCAAATGACCGTATCAAAATGAAGTCGTTCGTGAACAACAACCTCGTGTACCCTTGCAATTCAATATTGAAAAGCGACTCCGTATGCATGGAGGGGATATTAATCCGAAGCTTTGTTATTCTTCTGTGTTTCGGTAACTAGCTGATTTTTCCTTTCAAACAGGCCATTGCAGTTTCGACGATAATTTTTGCTCATTGAAATATGACTGGAATGCCACGTTCCAGTGGACCATAACGTCGGGCAAGACACCAACGGAGAATACTGGTCCAAGATATGATCACACCACTTTTAGCAAGGATGGTAAGGACTATGTTCAGGACTAACACTTCGTGAGATCAATTTTCTGCCCCCGTTCAGACTTTTTTTAACGAAAATGTCGCGTAGGAAATGCCAGTGGGATATTATGTTGTGAAATACACCCAGTAATCTATCCTAGAAATATTTGAAGGACATACTGGACTAAATAAGGAAAGAATCCTAAAATTTCGTTTATCTATTGACATAACTATTTATATCTGTTACTCTAATTTATTAAGTTTCTGATGTTGTTTTCTTGTTTTTGTTTTAACGTTTCTAATTGTTATCTTCTCCGGGATTTATAGTTTTATGTGTGCAATATGTGTAACTCCATCATTGTAAGAAATGTAGTTCTGAAAGTGATTCTGGAATGTTAACAAGGCAAATAAGCTAATTAAAATTTTCCAAGGTTATCCTCTTCGACGTTCTATATTAACGATATAGATATGAGACGGTGGAAAATGCAGAATTTTCTCTTGATGTTTACGTCTTCCTACCATTTTTTTGGCATAGCCTGAACTTTAAAAGAAATAGCTGTTATTCTATAACAGGGTCGTATATCTACATCGAAGCCTCTCCACAATTGCCTGGAGACAGAGCAAGGCTGTTAAGTGACTGGATGGGACCCAATGAAGTAGTGTGTATTCAGTTTTGGTATCATATGTACGGGTCAGAAATCGGCAATTTGAGCATCTACTTAAAAACTAACCAATCAGAGACAATTGTATGGACACTTTCGGGAAATCAGGGGGACCAGTGGAAGTTCGCACAAACAACTTTGAATAGTGGAGATGCTTATAAGGTAGGCCTCCTTGTATTTATGGTTACCGAGTACTTACGACTGCAAAATGTAAGGTTTGTTCATCGACATCTTTAATTCATGAAATCAAATGTATGAAGGTACTTTTGTGATCATTGAGTTATATCATAACTACCAGCATCATTATCATAGCTACTCTTAATGTTATCGTCAACGTCATCGTCATTATTGTTTTTTACAAGTTTATCATTGAGGGAATGGTAGGCTATGGAAGCAGCGGTGATATAGCTCTGGATGATCTCACTTTGCTTGATGGAAACTGTAAGACAATTCTTACACAGAGTAAGTGAAATGAGATATTTAACAAAGTTAGATGTCTATAAGCCAATGGCTATGCATGATTTTTGTTTCATTTTCGTTGTAGTAGGAAGAATAATTTGTAAATATTGCATTTAAATGTACAAGCAAATTTTTGTTTCTCGTGTTCCGTAATTGTAAATTTGTACGTTTCTAGATAATTCCTCGCAACAAACAGTCTTTAAACTAAAATAACGACTCAAGCTTTGCCGTTAACTTATTGGACATTTCGTTGTACCAGCGCAATAGAAAAGCCACACATAAAGTGAGAGTTACAGGAGACATACATTTGCACTCGGTTATAGCATAGTGAGTAGAAATAATTTACTGGGCAGTTTGTTTTGTGGCATGTAACGACAATGAGGTCCTCTGACCCCTTTGCACTTTTAGAGAGTTTGAACTGTGATTTCAAAGAAGGCACATGCGATTGGGAGGCTCAAGGAGGGTGGACACTTTCAAAAGGTGTGTCATGATTGAAATTTACCTTAGCACGCTCTTCAGTTGAGAGTCGATTTGAACAGTTATTGCATGTTTTAAACAATTTTCGGCTTTTGATAATTCTTTTCTGTAACAATCTCTTATCAGACGGTTCCTCTATTTTTCTTCGCCGTGGAGCACATGCGGTGCGTCACTCTCTATTTTCGCCTCCGAACATAAATACCAACGAATGGAAGTGTTTACATCTCCGATATTTCATCGGAGGCAACGACGAGTATGAAGCATCCATAACAGTGTTATTAAAGATGTTAACATCAAACCTAACGACTTTGCTTCTCTTTGCGGACCAGACTACATCTGGGACAACATACACACAAACACCGTTACCAACAAATTTCACAGACGCTCAGGTATTTACCCAACATGCTCGTATTGTAGACTTAGATCTTTCATAAGCTTTTTAAGCTTCCTGCGAATTAGAGTTATTTTAAATCAATTTGATGTTGAATTCGAGAAGCTTTTAGTTAGAAAGTTATGCTGCACACTCAAGTGATGTTACTCCGTTATTGAAAAAGACGCCATTTCATATCATTATGTAGATCGAAATAGTGGGAACAAATGAATGGAAAATTCTGGCTATCAGACAAGTATCCTTTTCCAAAGACTCTTGTGAGCATATTCCCAAGCGAAGAAATGGTAAGTCTCCATCACAATTTATGGCCTCTATTCACGTGTATATTGTTCCGATTGTTGCTTGTCGAATTATGGCTATGTATCTCTAAATGCCACAAAACAATGAAAGTTTCCTAATAGTTTGGCTCTTGCTCTCAATATCTTTAATAAAAGGCAAGCAGCTATAAACAGTCGAATAATGCAATTTCAATTTAAACAGCGTATAAGCGTATCTGATTTACATTTATAGATTCCAAAGAGGTAGCCGCTGAATACACCTTGAAAGAACCTACTTGAAACCGATTTTTGTCACACTTTGTCATTTATGTAATCTTTAGATTTGCATCAGCATAAACCCCTTGGAATGGAAAACGGTGAGATCCTTGACAAGAAGATCACCTCATCTTCACAACTGGATGTGATTCATGCCGCCATCCAAGGGAGACTTCACTTCCAAGCAACCCCAGGCAAAGCAGGGTCTTGGTCCGCTGGTTTAGAGGACTCAAGTCCATGGCTCCAAGTTGATCTGAATATTCAGAACACAAGAGTTACAGGGGTTGCCACGCAAGGGAGAAACGGACCCTTCGCTCAGTGGGTCACGGAATATAAGCTGCAGTACAGCAACGATGGAGTAAGCTTCAAGTATTACAAGGAACCCGGACAAACCACAGAAAGGGTACGTACGAAATGTAGAAAGACGTCGATCCCAGATGCAAGTCCAGGACAATTAAAAATTTTTTATTGATTGTAGGTGCGGTTGTCAGATGGAGAAACATGCAATTTATTTCTCAAATGTGTATTTCCTGGGAACAATTCCACACGCTCGTGAAAAATGGATGACGCTTTAAGACCAAACCCTGATCTACTTCCACACATGATTTTTTCATCACTTATCCTCACATAACAATCCCCTAAAAAGGCAGTTTTTTTGACGATCGTCATCCTGTGAGCATTCTCTATATCAACAGGGCTTAGTACAGATAAGTAATATCTTTTCAAGAGATTGTTAAGGGGCTAAAATGTGAGTTAATTAACATCACAGACCTAATTGTTGGTATTTACAAAGCAAAAACTATCATAATGCGACGTTTTGTCGATACAGCACTTTGCTGGAAACGCTGACCAGGATGCTGTCGTTTTTAATGAACTTAATCCACCGATCAGAGCACGTTACATTCGCTTTCGACCTGTGGCTTGGTATAAGGCAGCTTCAATGAGAGTTGAACTGTATCAGGGTGTGGAAGGCAAGTCAATTACTTACTGACGTTTGGTTTTATTCTTTCTTTTCTACGAAAACGCTTAGATAAGATAACATATTTGGTATTACTTGGCAAAAAAGAAAAATGTAAAACAGTGTAAGTGCCATTTTGTATGTACAAATTACAGACACCTTTGGCTAGAATAATAATGTGTGTATTTCCAAGGGAACTTTCGTAGTAATCGCTGTCTAGAAGAATGTTATTTACTAGTTTATGGAAACGTTTTAATTCTCATTGAGATAGCTGTATTCGGGACCATCGTGCACATGTATGAGATTTCGGTTAATTAGCTTGAACAAGTGCTTACAATCAATAGCTTACCTCAGAAATTTGTAGTTCGTTGATAAGGATTGACGATTATCATTAACATCGATAAGGTACTTTTCCTTACAATGATCTGCTTCATTACCGTTAGAGTGTAATAAAGCTCTGGGAATGGAAAACAGCGAAATCTCGAGTGGACAAATTCTTGCCTCTTCACAATGGGATGGATATTCCGCCGCAAGCCAGGGAAGATTATTCTTTCAAGCGACAGAGAGGACACAGGGTGGATGGTCAGCTGGCCAAAGGAATGCAAGGCAATGGTTCCAAGTTGATCTGGGAAGTCAGTACGTTAAAATCACAGGTGTAGCAACACAAGGCAGACAAGAACACGATGAGTGGGTAACCAGTTACAAACTGCGCTACGGGAATGACGGAGAGAGCTTCCAGTACTTCAAGGAAGAAGGGAAAGTCGAGGACAAGGTGAGTACAAAAATAGTCAATTAAATGTTTATCATGTTTTAGCAAACAGTAATCAATGTCATTCAATTGCCATTTTTCAACTTCTGATAATGTCATAAAAACTCCAAATCAGCTATTCAGCTAATAGGTAATCGATAACCAGTTGGTCGGGTAAATCTCCGCCCTGGTCAGTTATTATCACCGGTGCTCATCGTCTTTTGTTTTTCTCTTTTATAAATTGAGAATTTAGACGAATGTAATGATTTGATATGCTATGAAGTCTTAATTAATCACTAGTTCGCGTGTTGAGACCTTCTTTGACGCGTACTCGTTACCATATCCTATGCGGTATCCACTGAAATTATCTTCATTTTAGAGTATCCCTTCATTAAATCTAATCAACAAATCTTACTTTACATTCGTCTTACTTAGGAATTTACTGGAAATATGGACTGTTGCACCATTGTTCATCATAAACTTTACCCAGCCATCAAAGCCCGTTTCATTCGCCTTCAACCCCTCTATTGGCATAACTGGATATCTATGAGGGTTGAATTGTATGGCTGTTCAGATGGTAGGCGAAGCATTTTCTTCTAAGAGAAAATAATTTTCAGTTTCAGTCTCTACGATACCTGTATCCGATACAGGTCCTTTAGCTCAAAAACTTTTTTACCCTTTGCATACAGTTGTTTGCTTTCTTTTCTTTCCTTTTTTTTCTCTTGTTTTTTTGTTTTTTCAAATTTATTCATTGTCTGACTGAGGAAAATCACCATGAAATAATTGTTTAGAGGGTATTTTGTTGGAATATATCATCAGTTAATTTAGGTTAAGAAAGCTTCAGTATAGATTATGATCCGGGATATTTATTTACTTGATTCGATTTCCATACAACTAACAGAATGTCAAACGGATCTTGGCTTAAGAGATAAAGCTATTCCTGATGCACAGCTAAGTGCTTCATCGCAACTGGATCATAACCATGCCGCATCTCAAGGAAGACTGGACTATGAAGGTGAACGTTGGAGATCGTCAGCCTGGTCATCTCGCACTGAAGATAAAAGTCAATGGCTCCAAATCGATCTTCGAAGTATATACATTAAAGTAACCCGGGTGGCTACACAAGGTCGAACCGGCACAGGGCGCAAGAACTGGCAGTGGGTAACACATTATATGCTGCAGTTTAGTGATGATGGAGAAAACTTTACTTTCTTTAAGGAACTAGGACAGTCAGCGGCAAAGGTATTGTACATTTTTTAACGGACTTGTTAACGTTGTGTTCTGTTACAATGATAGATATTTAGAGACAACAAATTGCCGTTCTTTCAATTTAGAATTTTAGTGGAAACAGCGACATCAGTACTGTTGTTTATAATAACTTAAACCCACCGATCAGAGCTCGTTACATCCGCTTTATCCCACAAGCCTGGTATGGCCATATATCGATGACGGTGGAGCTTTATGGATGTCTGGAGTATAGTAGTAAAGGTGAGGAGTGCAGCTCGGACTTAAAATAGGAATGTGTCTCTACGAAAATAGCGAAAGAAAGTTGTTCTAAGAATGCTGTAAATGCATCAATAGAACAGTGCAGCTTTCTCATCAATTAGCAACTTTATGAAGACGACGTCGACTTCTAATTTACTCAAGTGTCAGCTCTATTTGTTATGTACTCATTCATATCAACGATCACTTATTGACTGAATGACTGACTGACTGATATGCTGATTGATCAACGGACTGGTTACCAGAGTGGGTAACTGACTAACGGACTATGTCAGTATGACACGTTATAACTTTGGGTTTGGGCTAAACGTTAGCTCGGTAAACACATAATCTTACTTAATTGGTGAATTTTGCCAGCACATCGGGTTTCTTCGGTCTTACCTTGGGTATTTTGGCTTTACTGCCTTTCTCCAACATACGAATTATGGCTAGACCGAAATTACCTGTTGCGCCGCCCGAGAGTACCACCTGACGCGATTAGGTATTGTAGCTATTCTTGCAAATAAAATGTTTGACATGGTCCTTAATCGTGTTTTCGCCCTTTAGTTACCATGAATGGATCTGAATGTCGACAAGCTCTTGGTATGCAAGACGGTTTAATATCAGATGGACAAATCAGCGCCTCTTCAGAATACAATGAATTTCATGCTGCAATCTTTGCTAGGCTGCACATTGCACCGATCACCGCAAAAAAGGCTGGTTCCTGGACTGCGGAGAGAAATGATTTACATCAATGGTTGCAAGTGGATCTAGGAAGCCAGTACACCAGAGTAATACGAGTTGCAACGCAAGGAAGACACGATGATAGCCACTGGGTGACAAGATATAAGTTACAGTATGGAAATGACGAAAAAAAATTACATTACTACAAGGGTTCCGGAAAATTTTCAGATAAGGTACTGTAATTAAATGATGTACTGCGATCAATGGTATTTCATTCTTCATTCCTTGACTTTCAGCTTTAATGCCGATTCAGGGACCCAAAACCTCAATCAATTTCTGGCACGGGAACAAATTCTATAGGTCATAACTCTAGACCTGCTCAAATTGTTTCCTGCAAAAAAAAAAATTATCCTTTCCCCGTAGATATCCCAATAACATATCGAACCGTATCGAGAGGAAGAGGAAGCTGGATCACTCGCTTTCAGAAACTGCAAACTTTTCAAAGAATGCTCCAAATACAATAAGTTCACCTATTTAAGTAATTGCAACGATGAACATTCGTAAACTATAAACGGTTGTTTTATTTCTCCTAACCTAGAATTTTGTTGGAAACTCTGATCGAGACACTGTCGTTTTCAGTGAACTAAACCCGCCAATCTATGCACGTTTTATCCGCTTTCGACCACAACATTGGTTTGGCCACATAGCCATGAGGGTAGAGGTCTATGGCTGTCGAGGTGAGGAAGTATTAATTATTTTCACAATTTTTCAACTCTCATCTAGTCCCATATATTGTCCTTCAATTCCGTCTACCACACCTCCTGCTGTGCACGTGTATTTTTTACTTGAGCTTGATTGCTGTCAACGTTTGTAATAACTAGTCAGCATAGAGTCGCCAGTTGTGATTTACCAACAATCCATGCTGGTTTTTTTATGTAGTTGTTTGTTTTTGGTGTTTGTTTTGTTTCATTTTTTTTACCATGGAATTTGAGGATACACGTAAGTATCAAGAATTCTCATAGATTTATTAAAACCCTCAGAATGTATGAAACCTCTCGGTGTGGGCAACGGTGCAATATCTGAAAGACAGATGAGTTCTTCTTCCCAACTGGACGATGCTCATGCGGCTATGCGAGGGAGACTCAACTCCAAGGCAGCTAAGGATAAAGGAGGATCCTGGTCCGCTGCCTCGAACAACCGCAGCCAATGGCTTGAGATAGATCTCCGTAGTCAGAACATCAATGTGACCCGTGTAGCCACTCAAGGAAGACATGATTCCAGCCAGTGGGTGACGAAGTACAAGCTGCAGTACAGTAATGATGGTGTTAACTTCCAATATTACAAAGAGCCGATGAAAAATGCACATAAGGTGGCGCATATTTTTTTCACGGACAACTATACTTCAGTTCCCTTTTCCAATTCCTTCTAGTCATCTTATGACGAATAATCTTTATTTGCTAAACGCAGAATTTCCGTAGCTTCGGTGTATTTATTGTATCTTTAACCTGAAGTTATTATGCCCTATAATCAATGCTAAGTTTCGTCAAACCTTGGTATACTGATTACAAAGTTGAATTGTCTATTGGATAGGCAGAAAGAAACAAATTACACTTAGTTATAAGTAAGGAGGTGAGATTACTTTTCGTTTAACAATGGTTTGGCGTGGTCTTTACTCTTATCGAGAACCATAATCATCATCACAGCGGTAAAAATGTTGATTGTCGGTGATCGACTGTCAATTGGCGTCATATAAAACGATTCTTTCAGAGCGTGACTATTGCATGACACGTTTACACGAGCTTTTTACGGCTGAACTTTGTACTCTTATCGACAATCGCAAGTTGGCCAATCAGATTGCGATGTTACTGCCAATTGTCGTAAAACTAGCATTGCACACGAGCTCTATAACTAAGGAAGACGCTTTGTTCTCAAAATTTTATCTTTTAACCCTAAATATTACGATTATTGAGATTATTAAGAGTACGTTAATCGTTATCTTTTTAAAAACGTGTTTCATTCATTAACATAGAGGATGTACAATTTTCAATCTGTAGATTTTTGATGGGAACGTTGAGCAACACGCCGTTGTTTATAATGAACTTGTCCCGCCTATCACAGCACGTTTCATCCGTTTTTGGCCTGTTGACTGGTATGGTCACATATCAATGAGAGTAGAACTTTATGGATGTCAAGGTAATTTGTGATGTGTGTCCTTCCTAATGATTTTCATTCAGTTCATCAAGCGATCAAATAATTGAATTCAGATTTGTTTAGATGTCGAGGCATTCCAAGGAAGTACATTTAAAGGGAATCCTTTTTTGGTACTCGCTAAATGATAAAAAATTTTCGTGCAACACCGGAATTTTATACTATGAGGATCTGGTATCTCTAGTGTCTTGTTGCACCCTTTCAGATGACCGACCCTGTGACACATCAGTAGATTGGTGTGGATGGAAAAACGAACGTGGCTGGAAAAGAATCAAACATAAAAATCTTGATCAGATCTCTCAGAGCGAAGGTGGCGGACAAGAAGGTTCGTGATGACTTGAAAAAAAAACTTGATAATAATTAAATGTCGTTTGTTTCGATAAAAAAAAAAACTTTAGCATTTGCAACAGACATTGAAAAAAGGATGACAATAGCGTTACAAGAAGAATTATTTTGGTTTCGTTTTTACTTTTTCCGTTTAAGGTTTTAGTGTCGACAGCAACTTTGAGGTCCATCTCCCTGACAGCGAGTACGGTTACATATCATTATCAGATGTGGTACTGGATGAATGCTGTTTCACCGTTTGCTTTTGGTTGAATACTGCTGACAGTGGCTTCTTTATGGAATACAAAAATGAGGGATCAGCCGAAGAAAATAAGATTCTACTTTTCGGAATCTATTGTGGAAACAACACATTTTCTCTTCAAAGCGGCAGCGAAAGAAGGTATCACAGTGGGATTTGTATAGGGTTGTTTCTTGTCATATATCTTACTCTCAATCTTTGAGATTGCCTTAGCAGAGATGACACCTGAGAATTATCAATTGTTGGGAAGTTAACTGCCTAGAACCATGGTTCATCCAGAGAGACCTCGCTCCCTGTGTCCCTTCATTCAAAGCCTACAAAATTGTGTCAGTCAGTATTGAGCGTGATATATTATCTGTAATTATAAGTTACTGAAAGACAGTGTCTTTCGCTCTTTCTATACAGAGAGCATTCAATGGACTTGATGGATTCCACCTGGCACCACGTATGTGTCTTCTGGGATGGGAAAGTTGGAATGCTTGCAGTTTTCAAGGATGGTCAAAGAAATGTCAAGTTAAATAACTTTATGGCGCCCTTACTTCAGAAGCCGAATGAAGGTATGTAGAAGAAGCTGGGGATTAGGGATCTCTCATTTAAGGAAATGATGATCTTCTTCTGAGTTGCACCTGGATGCAAAGAAGTTCAACAAATTGACAAATTTAACCTAAAGGTGAACACTTTTAAGTTAGGTTTGATAACGCCGACAGTTTTGCGAAGTTGACTTATTGTTTGCGGCCAGAACATGGAAAGACTTTGATAAAAGAAGCTATAGAATCAAATTATTCGGTCACTTTCCCCCTTTTGCATTGCATCTTTGAACCGTTTAAACCAATTTACCCTGTGAAAAATTTGTTTTCATTTGCATATGCAGGGGTCGTGACGATTGGTTTTAGGACTATAAATGGAACTGCGTCTGTTATTTTTGGTAAACTGAGTGGCTTTAATATTTGGAGCACCTTAGTCACGGCAGAAGAAATACTGAGCATGTCTTACGGTTGTGGAAAGGAAGTTGGCAATGCAATGGCCTGGGGAAAAGTTAGAAATGGGCTAATTGGGGAAGTAGAGATGCAATCACATCCAACTTGCAACGATGGAAAACGTAAGTCATACCTCGATAACTTCATTATTGTTATCGTTGTAGGCCAAACATGAAAAACGTGTTTCATTCATTAACATAAAGGATAGTTTGAAACAAGAGCCATCTTCACGTCTATTGTTTGATTCAAGGATTTTTTCCTCTTATTTTTTTTTCTTGTGGTTGTGCACTTGTGCCAACCGACAATCCAAAATACCTCTTGTCAGTTGGTCTAGTTTTCTGGCATGACCTATTCAAACTAATGTTGATTAGGAGCTCTTTTGATACAGTAGTGCCTCACTCTTCGACTGACAAGAGGTGGTCTTGGGTTTTAAAGAAATTGCAGCATGATCAGCGGAGTCTATCGTAGGTCTCTGATATGTTATAGGTATAATGTCTTTCATTAGCTTTGCTTTGGTCATGTAAATGAAATTTGAAGGAATGCATGATCCTTGATTGTCACACGTGTATCATTTACCAGAGTCAAAATTCAAAATAAGGTTTACAAACGCCAATTCATTAACATTGTTTGTATGACTGCCAGGTGCCAGGCTTGTTGTAGATACCGCCGATTTCAAGCCAAATGGGACCGCTGTTCTTGTGAGCCCCACATATAATAGATCAAGCGACGGGAAAAGCAGATGCTTGAGGTTTCGCTATATGCTGCAGGGGTCTGGAGATAAAACGTTGACAATTTTCCAGAAAACAGGGGGTTATCGTGAAGTACCCCTCTGGACTTGGAAACGCAACTCTGGCCAAGATTGGATTTATGGTCAAGTTCCGCTGACCTCTATTACGAAGTTAAAGGTAGTATCAAAACTATGGAATTTTCTTTTCCATGGCTACATTTGGTATCCTCGTACTAAATGAACAATGCAGGCCATCAATTCATTCTTGTCAGTTGATGGTATTGCTGATAAGGTGCAAAACGTCTTCTGCAGTACCTAAAAGTAAGTTAACAAACTTCTTTTCCCTCTTTCAGATTCTGATTAAAGCCCAAAAAAGCAGGGAGAAAGACTTGATTGCCTTGACAGGGATATATGTCAAAGAGGGACTCGAATGCAAACTTAGACCGCTGTCGGCGAAACGAGGTAACTCACTTACCTGTATCTTATCTTGCATTGTTACTTTATGTATAGTCCTATGTTACATCGTTTTTATAGTGTCTAATAAAATTAGCTTGGAATTTCAAAGGAAGGAAGACTGCATTACTTTTAACACGCTTTCTGAGGATCTCCTCCTTTATCACTCCTTTGGAACGAAGTTGATCATTCGTTTAAGATGCGAGGCATCATTTTCTTTGAGAAAGTAACATACTTAAATGACCCACCTTTGTAAAATACCATTAATCACACTTCTCTATTCCTTGCTATGCTGTCTTCTTCATCTATGGGGAGTAATAGGTAGCAGTTCATGCACTTTGCTGGTTTAAATTTCTTTATTTCTTCATCTATATCTTGCTCTTTTTCCTGTTCTATTTTGTAACCTGTTTTGTTTCGGTTCGTTTTGTTTTATTTTTTTTCTTCCTATGTGTTCATTTTTGTATCTATATATTTCTATTTACAGCTTGCAATATGGACTTAACCGATCCGTCAGGATATATCTTTTCACCGGCCTATTCCGGAGATTCTCTTGATGAAATCGCTTGCACGTGGTATATTGCCGTTTCACGCAATAACAATATTCGCTTGGAATTCCAAGATTTTCACCTTCCAGACCATCCCACGTGCAAGGGCTGTTATCTCCAAATTTTTGATGGAAGTGAAAAGTCTGCTCCAACGTTGGGTCGATTTTGCGGATATATGTATCCTCCTATTGTCATTTCTTCATCAAATCACCTCAAGATTGCTATGCGTTGTGCTGCCAGTCCCTACACGGCAAGATTCAAGATTTTTTATAACTCCAAAGCAGGTATCAAACAGTACATCTCTTTGAATTTTTATTGCAACCAAGCTGTTTTTTAGGCCTTTCACTTTCAGAACTCTAATAAAAAGGAAGATATATTAATAATAAGTCATGTCATAATTTTATGTCATTGTTTTTATGTTTCAATTTTTCAGCTCACAAGGAACTAGGCTCGTCCTGTTCACTTCAGCAAGGTACACAAAGATTCTTGAGCTAACTTTCTTTCTTTTTTTTTCCTTTGAATTTGATCTAACGTTTTGTAAAACTGCATCAATTTAACGAACGAATTCATCTCTTATACCTCACTATCGCGTAATGCCACACACTTAAACTCCCTTTCAATTTTTGTTAGCTGTATAAAATCAATTAAAAAGAAGCTACCTAATATATTCCTTCTTCGGGCTTTTGTCCCACAACTAAAAGTGTTTCGGTGCTTCTTTTCTTTTAAACTTGGAAATGATGACCTTGATTTACTAGCCTATCAATCAATGCCAATGAGCATATGTCTTACAATTCGCCTAGAGTGCCCATCAAGCTGCAAATGTAAAGAGTTTGGTGGACAAGTAAACAAGAGGACACTGGTGACAGGAGAAGATTTACTAAATGTACCGAATCACCTTCCTACAAATGTTGGAGCAATGTATGTGACATTTGGGGTCCTTTTGATCTTGAATTATTCAAACTTTTTGTTTAATCGTCTTTTCTTTTCAAACAATAAAAATGATAGTTCCTTCCCCGTGTTTCTCTAAACAACTGATATTCTTTTTATGTGTTTAAATAGGTTTCTCGGCCAAAATCGGATATCTCGATTGCGCAAGGAGGACTTCATAAACCTCTTTAAATTAGAATATATGTGAGTAAATCTATTTCTTCTGCTTAAGATTGTTTATTAATTTATTATTTTATTATTATGGTTGAGAAGACCATTTGATTTCCTTAACCAATGCCTTGATTGACAGGGATATTGATCAAATGAAGCCTTTAAGTGCTACTGTGGTTCTTTCTTTATTCACTCCGAGCTTTCGCCGTTCTACGGCATCATCAGCTCCCTGATGATACCGTAGAACGGCGAAAGCTCGGAGTGAATAAAGAAAGAACCAAAGTAGCACTTAAATGCTTCATTTGATCAATATCCCACATCATTACGACATGCTACTAAAGGACACGTTCAAACGCTTGATTGACAGATTTTTGTCGAAAGAAGCTTTTCCTGTATCTTCTGGACTAAGATGACCACAAATTTTTCCATTCAATGCTTAAAGCTGTTATGTCACTGTTTTAAAAGAGTTCTCATTTCTTTTCCCCTCCCTCAGTGATCTGAGCTTCAATACACTGCTTCACGTGGATGAAGACAGCTTTCAAAATGTGACATCCGTCAAGACAATGTAAGTATCCATAAAATAGAGACATATTTCATGATGACTGAGTAATTTTTTCGCCCTAGAGTCTGGTGCAAGGTCGATTATCACATTTGTCTTAGCAATTGATATTTTTCCTTTTCGTCGCAGGAGACTTAATTTTAACTTTCTTCGAACCCTTCCTGTTGGGGCCTTCAATGGACTACCCAATTTACGCGTACTGTGAGTGTTTTGTTTTAATAGTCTTACTTTCGTCCAATGTGTTCTCCACAGGATGTAAATGTGCTTAGATGGAAAATAGCACTTTAGAAAGAGAGTATGGAGAAGGGAGAATTAAGATATACCTTTTGTTAAGTGAATAAAAGAAATTAATTTTTTTTTTCAGTGACTTAGGACAGAACCTTCTTCGGGTTGTATTCAGCGAGATGCTCGATGGAGTTTCGAACTTGGAAGTTTTGTATGTACTTATTTCAAGTTGAAAAAAATCTGACACTTTTAATTCCATGATAATCAGCTAAATCGTTTCTCCTCCTGGTTTTGTTTGCAGGAGTTTTCGCTCTAACCAAATCGAGCAGCTGGAATATGGTGCTTTTAGGAACAAAAGCAATATGACTCATTTGTAAGTGCACTAAAGTGGTCTCCAGTTCACCCAGGCACACTTGGTCATTCAGTATTCACTAGCATTATAAAAAACTGATTTTGAATGTCATCGGAAAAAATCAAAGGAAGAACATGTGATCGGCAAACAGAATCCTAGCCCTAGTTTCCATACGGGTGGGCAGTTCCATCCAATGGACAAACCTCTATCTGGGCCCAGCTATATAAAGGACGGATAATGCTATCCAACGGATAAATCGCCATCCAGCGGATAAGTGATAGGAAAACGCACAGCGTTATCTGTCGGATAGAGATTTATCCAGTGGATAGCGCAATCCAAACTTCATACAACCGGGGCCTGGCAGTATGTTTTGTTGTTGACACTTATCCGCTGGATAGTCATTTTTCAATTGGATAGCGTTCTCCACCCTTTCAACAACTGGGCTCTGTTCTTTAAGCCAAGTCAGTAGGTAGATATTGCTTTCTTTTTATGTGTTTGTTTGTTTGCTTGTGTTTTTTACCAATAGCATTCTTGTTGCCATCTAGGTACCTACAAGATAACAAGCTCAAGGAAGTGTCAAATGGGATTTTCAAAGACCTTATGAAATTGAAAGTATTGTGAGTGAATCTTGAATGATTTCGATGGCATCTTGAATCATACTTAGAACAAAACTTACAGAATGGAAAATAATAAGTGCATATTCCTGTATTTGCCATACGATTGTTCTATGGCAAATGCAAAGAAGTCATCTATTAGTTTTTTTGAGTTTTTTTTTTCTTTAATGAACTATAGTTGCTGACAATAATAATCTGTTGTTGTTGTTATTGTTGTTGTTTTTATTGATATTTACATGGATAATTAGTGAGACATTCCCCTACCAATTATTCCTTTTTAACCTCGATGTATTTGAAAACTCCAGAAATCTTAGCAGGAACGAATTAACAACTGTTTCAAAGGAAACCTTTCAAGGGTTGAAGTCACTTGAGTATTTGTAAGTATACAACGCTGTTTAGAAAAAATAAATTATTCTTTTCCCTCTTCAGAATTCGCACCTTAATGTGGAGCTATATTCGCATTTTCTAGTCACTTAATGATTTAATTTTTAACAAAAGTGTATTCGAAACTCACAGTTGAATTACATTAAAAAACCTTTCTACCACAACTGTTCAAGAATTTCCTATAGTAAAAATAGTATGAATATTTGAATAGTTGATCAAAATGTTTTCAACTCAGTTATAAAGGAAGATCCACAGCGTGGAATGCAACCAAGTTGTGCACTAATTTGGGAGAGACGAGAGATAATTTAACTTGATCTAGAGTAAAGATAAGCACAATACTTTTTCTCCTTTTTTTATTTCATGTCCATGATGAATTAGTAAACGCATAATTCTGTTTTATTTGAATGTGATACGCATCAGCAAAGTCGATATTGGGAAACGAAGAAAGGTGAATCAGTTATTTTTGTTTATTTGGTTTTGCATCAATTCAGATACCTGGATAGCAACAAACTCATCAAAGTTCCTCCAGACGCATTCAATGACCTCAGAAACCTCAGATATTTGTAAGTGATTTCAAAGCTTTTCAAATTTCATTAGTCTAAATTGCGTTAAATCTAAAGTTAGCTCAGTGTTACCTACAAAGAAAATCTTGTTGATGGTTTTTTTACTTGATAAAGGAAAATGTAGTAAATCAACTATCCATTTCCCACGTTAGGATTATCGGTAAAAGGCACTGCTCTTTTAAAATCAGCTTATTTTTAAGGCCCTTTTCAAATATTCAGACATTTAGCCATTAAACATCGATAGGATCGCCCTACAGAATTTCGGTTTCCCGTTGTAAAATGACGCTTTTAGAATTTTGTTAATTGTTAGTTTAAGAAATTAAGATAAAAATATGAAAAGAGTCAAAGTGAAGTTTTTCTATTTTGCAATTTTAAAAGGAGACTAGATCGCTTCATACTTTGTTGCTACGCCAAGAAGTCCATCGAAGGAGTTTCTTGCGATTCCCCAGTCGATGAATTTTCGAGCTGCGATGACCTCATGAAAAACAAAACTCTTCAAACCTGTATCTGGATTCTGGGAATCTTCGCCTTCTTTGGTAACCTGGTTGTCATAATATGGCGAATCATTGATAACGAGGAGAACAGAGTCCACTCGTTCTTACTGACAAATTTAGCATTTGCCGACATGTTCATGGGTGTCTACATGTTGGCAATCGCCATCATGGACGCGAGGTGGCAAGGTGAATATTTCAAGCATGACCATGAGTGGAGATCTGGTTGGGGTTGTCGAATTATTGGAGTCTTATCGATGCTTTCCAGTGAGGTATCTGTACTAATTCTAACAATCATCACCATGGACAGATTTATTGCAATCGTCTTCCCGTTCAAATTCAAACGCCTGACCATCAGATCTGCCGTATTCACCTGCACAGGAGTGTGGATATTTGGAATAGTTATCTCAGTGATTCCAATCACCGGAATAAACTATTTTTACAATCAAAACGATGATTCCGGTTTTTACAGTCGCTCAGCAGTTTGCCTTCCTCTTCAACTGTCCGAAGGAACACCGGCCGGTTGGCAGTATTCCGCCTCCTTCTTCATTGGGATGAATTCTGTTTCTTTTACCTTTATCCTAGTTGCGTATATCTCAATGTTTTTGACGGTAAAGCGTGTAACCCACTCTGTTCGATCGACGAATTTAAACAGGGAATCCGCTATGGCCAAGAGACTTGTTTTCATAGTCATGACAGATTTTTGCTGTTGGATGCCCATAATAATCATCAGCATTTTGTCTCTGACAGGAAATTTCAATGACCCAGACAAAATTGCTTACGTGTGGATTGCAGTGTTTGTTCTTCCCCTCAACTCTTCCCTTAATCCAATCCTTTACACGTTTTCCACCGATAGAGCCAAACGTAGCTTTAGCCAGAAAGGGAAAAATGTCACTGGTTTCGTTATGAAGACCTGGAACAGACGAACGGAAGGTGGGTATTTCTGTTAAGGAATAGTTTGGTGATCATATTCTGAATGCTATTTTCATCTTAAAGATTCGAAGAAGCCGTAGAAATTATCTTATTCAGCTGTTTAAGCGTTCTAGTAACTCATCGTCTTCACTCTCAAGTTGCTGCCAGAAGAAAAGCCAAACATGATTAAAAAAACAAAACAAAACAAACAACAAGCTAATGCGAACAAAAAAGTAAGCAAAACCAATTGGAAGATTTTTCAAATCAAGCCTGATCACATAAGGCCACACGACACATCAAAGCTAAAGTAATCAAATGGATTCGATAATTGTACACAAATTATTCTAAAACTAACAATATGCATGGTGTTGAGTGTTCCAGTCGCCTTCAAAAAACCCTCCTTTTCTTTTCCTTCTTGAAACGTACCTCTATTCATGACAAGTATCCTATTATTTTTACTTTTGAAGATCGAATGTCCTGTTCCTCGAACATCTCTGGAAAAACGTTGCTCTCCAAAGTCCTTTCCATTTCCAGCCCCCAGCCAAAAGCAAGGGTATTGAAAAAGCCGCAGCTGGAGGTTGTTGTCCTGCACGCTAATCTGAAGCTGATTGAAGAAGTAAATATCTTCAAAGATGATACTGCTGGAAAACAATCCATAGTAAGTATTTCCTTGTTAAACAAAATGGCGCTTTGTCAAGTTAAGAGTCTTAATTTTCAGTAGGCCCTAGTTCCACTCAAGCTATCTTTAGATCTCTCCCACTTTCGGAGAGGCCATTGCAGGAACCGATCTCATGCTGCATATTTTTCGCTAGTTGGCAAACACCCTCCGTGGGAGTTTAGCAACATGTACCTTAATCGAGGGAGAGCCCTCGGAATAAGGCTTACATGTCGAATATATTATTTTTTGCCAACATATGTTACAGGATGCTCAAGAACTTTTCTCAAAATGTGGAATCAACCTTGTTCTGTTTATTTTTGTTTTACTACCAACTAATCTTGTGCAAGGATTTTGGTGATTTTGCTTCACAAAAATTGGCGAAAAGCACCCCCTCTGTCACGTGCTCCAGATTTAGCATTGCCATGTATGACATGTACAAACTAGTATGAGCACCACATTACCTTTCGCTCTTACAGGGTTATGTTACAGCTTGGTGTGAGGAAGGAGGTGTTCTAAACATGGTTTTGCTAAAGTACTTTCGAAAAGAAATGAAGGAGGACTGGAATCGGGAAGTGGATGTCGTACAGAGCCTATCTTGTGACGAGCAGCTCCTATCCAATGTGTTACATTATCGATGGCACTGCAAAAGTAAGTGACCCTACTTTTTTCAATGCAACTACCAGTTTAGAATTGCCATTAATTTTTCGCATCATTTTTGGAATCCCAGATTACTTCACCGCTCTCTGTTCCATACAGATGATTTTTCCCTTTTGTTGGAAAATGAGGGCGGGGGGGTGAGGGTCGACATTTGAACCCTTTTTAGGGAATTTAAAGGTGTAGTGCTGAACTTTTGAAGTTTTTTTTTTGTTGTTGTTGTTGTTTCTTTTTGTAGCTAGCGACCTGAATATTGAGCAAGGCAAAACGAAGATCAATGATTTACAAGGAAACAGTTTGTAAGTTGTTGACGAGTGAGAACTTTATTATCAAACATATTGAAATCTCCATAAATTTGATAACAAGTAATATAACAGATTTTGAATGATAAGTTTCTTTTTTTTTAAGCCTGATATGTTTCGACTTTGTGTCGAGCTCAACTCTGGAAGATTTTATTTGTGAGAAAGGAACTGTCATCGACTTCGAATCAATTTGTGCCGTAGCTTGTGACGTCCTAGGTGCAATAGAAGGACTACAGGAACTTGGAATACTTCATAACAACATCACAACAAGCAACATTCTGATCAGCCAGTGCCCTAGGGTAAGTCAAGTGGTAAAACTATTAACTATTTCTCAGTCATTCTCATTTTCCAAGTTAGGGAATAAATTTGAAAAACTGTACTAGCGTGTTAAGTGACCCGTAGGTCGCATGTGTACATCTATGTTCTTAAATGTTTGCTACTGCAAAGTTTGTCTATCACCGAAAAGTTGACAATTATATAATCCTTTATTCAAGTGTTACTTTGCTTTGAAAGTCCTTGTAGTTTTACACAAACGTTTCACGAGCTTCTAAGGAAATTTCGTGAGAACAGAGAACGTTTCACTCGCATTTTCACAACACTGTATGGCATATCTTTGATTGCTTGGATAACGACCCGAAATGGTCCAGTGAGGAAAAGCGTTTTTGGTTTGGACAAAGATTTTGAACAATCCAATTTAGCGTGCACTATACACTTAAACCGGAGATTCCTTGGTCGAATCTCTCCCTGATCAGTAAATGGGTTTCGTATTTCTGGATGGTCCCTTGTTCGACACGTAGACCAGCGCTGTAAATTGTCAACTGGTTTGGCTCCTCCTTGTTGAGGTTTATAATCAAGTTCCTTTTGATGTATAATATAAGTTTTTAGATATTTGAGCGCATTTTTCATTACAGAGACACAAAGAAAACCACTGAGTCACCCACAATTCTGCCACCCTTATACGGTTTTTTTTATTGTTGTTTTGGGTTGGAGAGAAGTTATGTTTATTGCCTCTATGCATTTTCTTTTGAAGATTCCTCCAATCAAAGCAGTCTTGGGTGGATTCTCCTGTGCATCCAAGGTGAATGGAGAAAGCGCGTTCACAAACCAAGCTATTGATGAACAGATTTGTTTTGGCAGCCATGTTGAGCAGTTTGGACAGTTGTTGATCACACTATTAGGACACTGTCACGGCTCTAGTAAACAGTTCAAGGTAAACAAATGTTCCATTAACTTAAGTAAAAAATTTCTGCTTGGATAGTGAAAAAGATACATAGTGACCTTGGTACATACATCTTCTTTTCTCCAATAGCTACATGAAATTATGAACCTGTGCGTTGAGGAAACACCAGAGAAGAGGCCTACGGCGTCTTGCCTCCGACAACTCTTGGAAGAAGTCTGGAGCACAAAGGGTGATTCATTTGTTTGATCTAACATACGGAGTGAAACACTTCACAAGTGTAAAATACATATATTGGTTGAGCTTTTGAAATAATCCAAAAATGTTTGTCCATCCCTGCAGTACGTAGGGTACAATCCATAAAGAAAAGCCATGTTTATCTTGTCAATTACGGAAGAATGCACTACAACAAAGTGCATTAGCAATTATGCTTTGTAAGTAGTTAAACCTTGTGTAGAGTATATTGGTACGAGATGTATCACTGACATCTGTCAGTGAAAAAAATAGGAAGTCTGAAAATACTCATTTGCTTAAAAGCCATAATGTAATTTGGCTAAGAGCCATATTTTATCCAATTACCGACTGTCTTTTATAAGACTACAACGCATTCAGTTTGCGGCAGCTAGTTTTGTCTGCGGACAGTATGTAAACAGTATTGACACTATTCTCAAATTAGGCTGTTACCTATGGAAGAACATGGGCAACTGCACGTTTTGAAGGCCATGCACATAGCTAAATACTGCCAAAATTAGCCAAGAAAGCTCCAGTAAGTAAGGCATAACAAGAACTTGTGCTCATCCATTTCCATCAATTTAGTCATTCTGTTGGCCTCTAACACTTTCCAGGATAGCGCGTCAGTTCTTTATAACTCTTTACCAGCAAATATTAAATCTTGTTGTAATTTTAAGTCTTTTAGCAGGCGAACGTTAGCTACTCTTGGAGAGCGCTGCCAGACCGGCGCGCAATAATCTTTTAGAATCAGTCTTTAGTTCAAATAAATACATATTACATACCTTTGTAGATAATTATGTGATTTTATTTTACATTAAATTGTTATATCAGGCGAAGAGCCATTTCGTATGGAGATATTGGTTTTAACCATAATAATTGCTATTATTGCTATTATTGGCATTGCTCCATAGCGTTACTTTACGTTACTCATCGTTCTTGTGGAATCAGATTGGTAGATAAAAGTAGCTCTTGCACAGCTGATTCAGTTCAAAGAAACCACATTGCCTTCTACATTCCTCCAAGTGAATGTAACACCTAAATGTATTCAACTTTTGATTATAACATAAATCTTCAAGTAGTGTAAAAGATTGCTGAAACTACGGTAACACTTCTTTATGACTCACAGAAATAAGGTGAGCTGGACAGCACGTAATAATTTCTTATTTTGAGAGCAGAATAATTCCCTTAGACGTATTTACACCCCAGATCGTTACTTTCATGTGGCGTCTGTGTATTCTCAGGGCTTCTCCTGAATATTCCTTAACTTCAATACAGATGAACAAGACCCACAATGTCCAATTTTCAGCTGTTATAATGCTTCCATTGAGGCAAAGTTAAAAAGATATTCAGCAAAAGCCTTCAATGCCTTTAATGTTCACAATCATTCTTTAGATTTTGTTCACACGTCGAGAACAAAGGAATACATTTCTCGTGGTTGCTTGATTATGCCCTTGTTCTGCCCCTTTGATGTCACTCTGTAATCCGATTCAAAATTTTTCTCTCTTTCGCGTAAATTATTACGCAACAAAGCACTCCGCAAAGGAAATAGTGGTTTAATAATAGAGCTGAAATTTAAGAGATCTTAATTAAATCGGTAAACACTATGATCCTAAATTCAGACTCTTTCTGGTCGAATGTCGCTACTTATTAAAAAAACTGCCAAAAAAAGTTTCATGCTGTGGAATTTACTGCACAATATTTTTACCTTAGATGATTGTGCATACATCAATGGCTCCATTGCTGGCCGTGGAATTATCTTAGTCTCGTCTTGAGTCTCTCACGAAAGATGTGTTGTGATGCCAACCAGTCTCATGAGTAATAACAGATCAACTGCAGAAGGAAATAAAAATCGTGTCTCTTAATGTGCGAGACAATTATTTTGCAATAAATTTACTTGAGAAAGTTTTAAAATCGTTTCTATACACCTCTTCCATACATGTCGCGCCTCATTTAATATTCATCTTAAATTAGTGTTCTCGGCCTAGCTAGCTTATGTAACGAAATCAATAGTTTAACATCTTTTAATTAGTTGCCTTAACTTTGGTGGGCACAATAGAAAACTGATATCTTTTTTTTTCACCTATTCAGTAATACTTAACTAATTGCGGTGCAGCAAGATTACGAAACAAAATGACCCTGACAAGTTTCCAAGACCACACCGGTGTAATTCGTCGAATTATCTTGCTATGTAAAGGGCGATGTTATCTTAAGTTTCGCCTTCAATCTCATGGTAAAAGTGTAGCTGTTCTCTTGATCTCTAAAAAAAATTATCCCTGCTTTATATAAAGCTGTAAGCAAGGACACAGTTCTTTTATTCAAGACATGCGAAGCTGCCGATTAAAAGCTTAACTTCCTCTCTTTTGTTTTGTTCATGAGATTATGATCCTGTTTTCGAGGATACAAGAAGAAGAGGCCTACAGCCTCTTACATCCGCGAAACATTGGAAGAAACCTGGTGCACTGAGGGGGTTTGGGATACATGCCTATGAGGAAACTAAAGAAAAGATTGAAATTACCTATTCAATCGTATTTGGTACCGAGGTTGAAATGGCATCTTCGATTTTTCTGAGTATTCAGTCAGCTTTTTTTTTTCTCTTTCTAACTTGCATTTAAAAATAAACTGTTTTCGACGATTTGCATAACATCGAAAAACTTTGCTGCATTGGGGTTCTCTATTATGTTTAGATCGCTGCAGAATCATACAACCATCGCATTAATGCGTGGTTTATAATAGCGGTAAACGGATAGAAGGTCAGAGGTTCAATTTAATATAATCTATACAAAAGCTGGACAGTATATATGATGTTCGTAAGTATTAATTCAGAGGTGAAACACCCAAGGCCTTCAAAGAGGATTGTCGATCCCCCTTATGTTTCAGCTTCATTAGTTTCGATAAATCAATTAGTTGACAAAAATAAACTATGATTAATTTGAGTCAAAATGAAAATAGTAAAACCAATGATGATAATGATAACGATAGTAATAATGATAAAAATATGATAGTATTAATAATGGTAAACTTGGTGTTGATATCTTAAAGGCACGAACATAAAATTAGTATCCTCGTGCGAATCGTTCCTTTTTCTCGATCTCCGTAAAATATAGTAGTCGGATACGATTGTAAAACAATTTCAAAAAGAACCCATCTTTATGAGCGCCTATATTGTGAACCCAATGACTGAAAATGTCTCTTGAAAGGGTCCTTTCCTGTCATTTAATACAATAACGATGATCAATTTGACCTCATTAAAATTAATCAAGTAAAAGTAATATCGCTTTTCATCTTGTTGGTGAACACGGTTACCTTGACGATTTTGTTCGCAGCCCGTGTGAAAAGTTATTAATAATAGTGTATACAGCATGTAGCAAAGACATTATATTTTCGAGGCGGGAGAAATTCTGGTAGTTCGATTGCATTTTCCTAGTGCAATTAAATACAGCAGGACCAATACAGTTAGGCTATGAACCACTTCTGCATAACAATACTCACAAATGAGTTGCCAATAGTAAAGTCCGTAATCATGTTCAATTTGTAGGTAATACCTCATGCAAACAGTTATCTGTCCTTTTCGATATTGTTAACTCGAAATTACATCTCTTGAAAATTATGCTGCCTGCAAAGTTCATTACCGGAGTAACCCCAAAAACTTTGAACATATCAATTATTCATTTATACTTTTTCGTTTGACTTTATTTTCAAATCACGTCTCTTAGAATATATTCTCTCTTTCCATTCATATACACACACATATATTTTTTATTCACATAAAGATATTTAGTTTCTTGATAAATTAGACTTCTATCAAACATGAAAACCTTTTAGCTCTGGCAAAAAAATTAACCTCTGCAAATTAAATGAAAAATGAAACATTCGCACCCAGCCCAATACCATTAATAAAGACAGGTGAGTGCTTTTAAGCCACACTTATCCTTGACTAATGCTGAGCATGTGCAAAAAGGTATTTGGATCAAAGCTCTAGGTGCTAAACCGACCCTGCACTGGATTTCAGAATGAAATATTGAGGAGGATTGAATAGTAAAGATGTACTTCTAAGGTAACTATGGCTTTGCAGGAGTTTATAGAAAACACTTGGTTTACGCGATGAAAATATTGACAAAAAAGTCAGCATCTCCAAATAGTTTATATTGGCCTAGATTCATCGAATAGAATACGATCGCGCTCCCAAAGGGGACTTCAAAGTATAATGACCGTTTGCACGACCAGCTTAGTTTCACAAGTGACCGATTTAAGGACTCTTTGATTCATTAAAAGGGGTACAGTATCATATGTCTCACCATTCCGAACGATTCGGAATTTGTTATTCTTTATCTTTGCCGTGAATTGGCCTTGCTTGGGCCAATCCGGAAAATATATTTCAGAAATATGCCTCTCCTTAATGCACGGAACGTATGCGGTATTCATAAGGCAGTCGTGGGTTAATTATACTTAGTTTAGAGAATGGCTTTTCGGCAAACGATCTAGAATTAGAGCTGCACATAATGCTTGAACGAGCAATTGATCTCTAATAAGTGGAACCTGTTCCAGGTAAGTACTAACGGAAGCGATCCACATCTAGGTTTATAGGCCAAAAGGTTGTGAAATCGAGCTTTTGTCGTCTAACAAATTATGGAAGCGAGCTTCATGTTTAACTAAGCTGAAACGATGCTCTTTTCGGATGTTGTTGTTGGTCACTCTGCTTTTTTCATGACTGAAACTTTGCTGTTTCTTGTAGAAGCGAAACGTTCTTACTACACTAAAACTTACCCTTTTTGTAACTTAAAAACCTGTATTTCATGGAAACTTCATGATGTTTTGCTTTGGTTTTCATTTTTTCCTTTCGAATTTTTTCAAATGTGAATTCTAGGATTACAGGCCCTAGTCAGTCGTTAAACGATTTTCTTAATATGGAAAGAGCCTGATTTGAAGATGAAGCCTGTTAAAATAAAAACTACAATACGCGAAATGGGCATATACTCTCTCAGACCACGGTTGTATCAACACTTAATTCCAACAATTCGCCGTCTTGTGGCTCAAGAGGAAGAAAGAGGCGCAAAACATTTGACTCACGATGAAGCAAATTATTTTTTGGTTGCAATTGTATCAGAATGAAGAAAAATTATAAAATTTGACCCTTTCTTTCTTTTCGAAAGCATTTTTGAGAGAACTACAATATTGCTTTACCAATTTGCTACTTTAAGACAGAAAATACTGCTTTACGTTTCGCGGGAACGCAACAACTGCTTCGTGTTGGACTTATCCATTACTTTTTTTTCTTTCTTATCTTTTTCGCTTTTTTTTTTTTTTCTGATTCTTTTTTTTCGGTGGGTATGCTTATTGTTTTTTTCGATTTTTGTTTTTTATTTATACTCGCCAAATACTGTTAACTTTCCAGTTTCTCGCTCGTCCGCTTTTTGAAGTCTTACTGCCGGTCGTGTCGCCTCGTTGTTTAAATACCTAGTGCTTACAGAAGAGCTCCGTAGCAATATTTTTAGACGCTTTTTCATTTATATGGAACTACGTTAGCTCCTAAAGTAGGAGAACTCAGAAAAAGCATGGAATCGCCTTGAAAGGAAGGAGGTACCCCAGTACGGTTAAAGTAAAATATATTACAAGATGAAAAGCCTGACAAATTGGGAATCATTTCCAACGACATACACGTTTTCTGCTAAAAAATTCTGCTAAATTGAGAAATTTGGGGGGAAATTGGCTCAAAAAAACCCACATGGATAAGAAAGAAGACGAAGAGAAGCGAAGAAGTTTTGAGTGGAAGAATTAAGTTTATAAAATGAAAGGATACATTCAAATACTAAAATGTTATCAATCGATGCTTTCTGAGACTCCAATTGATGCTCGCAAGTGTTACGTAATGTACGATTCTCGCTTGTGCAAAAAGCAATTCAGGATATTTTTTTTATGTAAATGCGCAAAAGATCAAACGTGACTAGTTTGTCACTTGAAAGAGCAGCTGCAAACATTCAAATTATTATCAGTCAAGCCGAATTGATTTTTATTTTTAATTTCACAATTCTGATGTATCCTTTGATGCGTCTTCAAGTGCTCTTTGCCCTCCAACTTAACTTTTAGTGCATGAAGCGTCAATCATTCGACCCTCTTACAACTTATCCTAAAGATTGTAGTAGTCAATACCTAGTCAAGGGTCAGAAGACATCCTGGGAAAATCGATGGTGTTTTAGTTGTCGAAGCCATTAAGCACCCTCTTTTAATTTTTTTCTATACTTACAGCTTCATGACTCCAAAGTGCGTGATTATCCACCCACATTCAATTAAACAAAAGATATTGCGGTTAATTTCCATTAAGACTCTGACAGGCTGACTCTCAGCTCAGACCTCGCCCCTGCATATCATTCGTAGCATCTTATCTCTGTTTCTCCACTTCTCTGCCGACTCATATTTTTACTGCATCTTGCTTAGTTGTGCCATTGGGTCTCTTTAACCGTCACATTTATCGAAACTTTCTGCTTCCCTGACGTTATCGGAAATTGTTGGCCATTAGTGCCATACAAGTGGTGAGAATACTTCATTGGGTTTAGACTTCAGAGAGAATAAAGTTTCCCTCTATTTCTCTTTCAGCGAGTGCATTAACTGCCCAGAAATGGAGCTATTTCATGGGTCGGAGTGCCTTCTTCGGCTTGCAATTGTCCTTCTTGTCGTAGAAGGCTGCGCTTCTCAATACCTTAAAGGTAAGATGACCTACAATGATTTTTTCCCCCGAAACTGATTCAGTTTTGAAATATTTTATGGTGAATTTCCTAATAATTCTTAGGTATCTATGTCCGTTTTTATTCATTTCTCTTTTTAAGTCCGTGTATCTGATGTTCGAACTTTCGCACGGACATAAAAAATTTGACATATACTTTGACCAATAGTATATTTCTCAAAATTAGCGTGAGAAAAAAATATCCCCACCGTTTCTTTAAACGAGCAGGTTTATGTATTTTCAAGATAATTTTAACTTGGAGTCTTTTACTGTCAGCTTAAAGAAACAAGGGCTAAAGTTATTTAATTTTATCTATAGTATCGAGAGTTTCTATGCTTTTCTACTTCACAAATGTAATATGGAAAACAAACTTAATTTTCCTAGGTTGCTCTATTTGCCACTTAGACTTGATAGATTTGTAGAATTAATTTTTAGGTATTTTTTGGAGATCTTCGACTACATAAATGCAGGAATATTTACAAAACAAGATGAGAAAATTTTCAAAATAATCAGATTTCTGCTAGACTTAATGTACATTTGAAATTTGTTCTCTTTTCACCAATTTGCATTAAGTCATTTTGAGATTAGTTAGCTTGTGCAGCTGTCTTCTTTTCCGATTTTAACTTTAAACACCTGGCCATTCCATCTAACATCTCTTAACTCAAAGTCACCGAGCGACGGACACCCTAACACTCAATTAACCAGAATTAACCTTACACTGTACATTAATTTTCAGTCTCTATTTGGGTAAAAACTATTGTCTTCAGTTTCTCGAGGTTCATTCGACCGTCCTCCATTTCAACCAGCTTTTGGGGCAACAAGCTATTATGAAAACAAGACATACCGACATTTACAAATTTAAGAGGAAATTAAAAAGCAAATTTGTCCAAAAGTGACTGATTGGGATGTGCTGTGTAGGTGTGTTTGCTTTACGTAAAATCCAGAATTAGTTTCTACATCCTGGGTCTCTATTTTCATTCCAGGAAAATGTACCTTCGACGAGAATACGTTCTGTAGCTGGTATAACGAAAGATACACCGACCATTTTGATTGGTCTCTCCGCCAAGGAAGTTCTCCCAAAAGTCGAACAGGTAGATGGATAAATCCTTTCATATACTGTGATCGCATGAAGAATATGAATAAATATATATACATATATATTCCCGTTTTCAAAAGCGTTGCAATTTTGAAAAAAGTTACCCTAACCCAGGCCCTAAGAAATATCTAGAAATTTTGTTTTCTCATCAAAAAGTGTCTCATTCCCGCAGCGGAGTGACTGATATCGATTAAGGGTGCGATATGATATATAGAAATCTGCGATAATAATCGGTCGAGACCACTGGAACGCAAGTCATTTTGGCTAAATCTGTGATCAAATGAACCATTTAAATGACTACTCTCCAACGTAGAGTGATGTTTTGAGTAATGATATTGGAAAACTCCCTCGAAATCCCCTTTGAATTAGAATATAAGTATTTACTTGCCGATGGGAAAATGTACCATTTTTTTTTCAAAGATACAGAAGCATATATCTATATCGAAACGTCATCTCCACGTATGTATAGTGAGAAAGCCAGGCTGAACAGTCCCTGGAAGACAGGACCCCAGAGGATGGAGTTTTTCTACTCTATGTATGGCAGTACAATCGAGACCCTGTCTGTGTATGTAAAAATTAACGGCAGCGAATATAGGGTATGGAGTCGCTATGGAAGCCAGTTATCAAGCGACTGGATCAAAGGCTGTGTGACTTTAAACTACCGAGGAACTTATCAGGTAAAAACTTCTTTTTCTTCTTAGTTGTTTTTTGTTGGTTTGTTTGTGTGTTTTTTTGTTTGTGGCTGCTTTTTTTTTTTTTTTTTTTTTTTTTTGGGGGTGGTTCCTTAAGATAAGTTATCTGTGTTAGTTGGCTTGCAAGAGCATTTTCGAACTGTAGAAAGTATATCGCCAAATATAGTGATTCAAGTTCGAATGCGATATACTTTTTTTCCTCTGAATAAAACTAATCGCCATCTTCTTGACTTTCAAACTTGTTGATAAGCTTGAGACCTCCTCTTTCCGTAATAATCTCCCCCTCTCCTATTAATGAAACTATCGATTAGTGTGGCAAAACCAGGCATCCAATAAGTGTTTGATGTCAATATTACAAGGCATGTATGGAAACGGAAAATTTTCTCCCGAAAAACATAGCTTTTGTTTTTATTATAGTACGGAAGACTAATTGCATTTTGATTATTTGCATATGTTTATTTTTCTCAGGTTATAATTGAAGGAGTAGCAGGTACATCGAATGCCTCAAACATTGCCGTTGATGACGTCAGCTTCAGCAAAAACCTAAGTTGCGTTTCCGATGGCAAAATCACACCTGAGGAAACATTTGAAGGTAAAGACCCAGTCTATCGCATGAATAATGTGTAACATTTACCGAAAAAAAGTGTCGAAAACAGCTACGAGTACTACAGGTTTTATTTTGCCTCCTTTGTGCAAAGAACGTGGTAATCCATGACAATCTGCAATAATTAACAGGCAATACAACATATGTTAAAGAAAGTTTTACCAGTAATATAATTTTGTAATGAGATTTTCTGTGCACAGATTAACAGCATAAAAGTTTTTCGAATCGAAGAATTGACAAGTAGAAAGACGATTCTTAAGTTCATTCAGGACTGCTTAAACTGTGCTTCAATTTGATTACTCTAGTGAACTGCACCTTCAATGGAGGCTTTTGTGGGTGGCGTAGCTTGTCATTGTCATCTGATCAGGTCAGCTGGAAGAGAGCGGGCAACAAAACTGGACAGAGTGGAGATTTTGGTGGTAAGAAAAACCTCTCGGAGGGACCTTATTTCTTATTGAACTCAAAGAGATTTTGGAGCTGAACGGAGTTCACGAGTTAGCCAATTCCCCTCCCATTCAGTTAGTGCTCGAGATAAATTTTGAAAGGTGCAGGTGAACATCTTTTTAACTTGAACTCTGTGATAACACTTTCTTGACATTCGTTTACAATTTCACTCAAAGGAAACTTCATTTACACTTCTCGACCTTTCAAAGAAAATCAGTCCACCCATTTATTGAGTCCTCTTATGCTGGGACCAAAGTGTTTTCGCTTCTCATATCACATGTCTGGGTGGAATGTTGGAAGACTTGATATCTTGCTTCAAGTTCGTAGTCAGCAAGGGGATTACTTGATGTGGAAGAAAACAGGAGATCAGGGAAATAGGTGGATACAAGGTGGCATTGGTATCGGCTACACCGGCGAATTTCAGGTAGAAAATAAAAACCTGGAAGAAAATTGCCAGAAAAAAGAGATTTGGTCCTGCACAGCCATAGAATTATTCTTTACCGGAATCATTAAACTTTCATTATGGTACACACGAAGGAATCTATTTTTACTCCTTTGCAAGTCCATTGCAGGTAAACAAATTTAATTGGTACTCGGTATCGCAGAGGTCATGGGTTCAAATCCCGTACAGGCCTGAATTTTTTTTTCAGGCCTTATTTTCACTACTGCCTAAGTAGTACACATTACTGCGAGGATCACTTTCATTAACGTCTTTATCCGCAGTTCAAATATATGACTTTCATATATTCTTAACCATTTACAATGTCTATTGTTACAGATTGTGTTTAAAGCAACTCCTAACAAAAATTACACAAGCCGTATAGCGTTGGATAGCTTCATATTAGCTGATGGACTGTGTGACGATGAGAATGAACTTGACAGCAGTCAACAAGGTTTTCAACTCGTATCTATCGTATATGATCATTCTTACACATCTCAACTACAGTTATTGTAGCTTCTGATATCTATGTGATGTTCTAAATGCAGATCACGGTTTTTAGGCCTTCTTCGTATTTGAAACCTAACCGTTACTTTTCTAGGTATCTTTCAGCATAATTTTTCTCTTTAGGCCGCTTTCCATGAATACTTTTTTTCTTTTCAGACAACGCTCACAACATTGGTTATATCTTTATACCGCAGGAAACTGCAACTTTGACCAGAATTTTTGCTTTTGGAAGAATGATTTGAATTCCATTTTCAAATGGACTCTTCGAGGAGACAGAGCACCCAAGTATCAGACCGGACCCAGCGGTGATCATACTTCAGGTACGATCGATTCATTAACATTTTACTTATTGTTTTTTTTAGTTGAAGAATTAACCAATCTTCAGTTGTCAATTAGTGATACTTTGTTTGCCAGACCAGCTAGGTATGGATTAGTTTTTTCGCTATTTTTAACAACAAAAATTAGACTAGGATGCCTTGTTTGTAGAGAATACATAATGGATAGAACGTATCATTAGTGGAAACTTATTGAAAGTGTATTTTTCAATCGCAACCCTTTAAGATGGCTTTAGTAAACAAAAGTGGAATTAAATGAGGAAAATCAGATGAAACAAGGGGGAAAGTTATTTAAGAGTTGTCCAGGCTCATCGGTTACCTTCTAGGTTTCATTTTGATGTTTGGACTCATTTTGCATTATGATTTTATCATGATAATGATATATATATAAATATATATATAAATATTATGAGAGGAAAAAAGGACGCAACTACATTTCCCGACAAGCCTGTTTCGTGAATCGCTTCCCAGACTTCCTATATATATATAAATATATATATATATATAAAATGATGATTATAATGATATTTTATTATTATAATAATTTGGAGTTGCTTGATTCAGGCGCGACTGTTTACTTTCCTTTCTATCTAGGCACTGGCTTGTACATTTATATTGATGCTTCAAGTCCTCGCCAGCCTGGAGACACCGCGAGGTTGACAAGTCCATGGATGCGGGGACCACAGTGTATGACCTTCTTCTACCATATGTTTGGTTCAAACATGGGTTGTGTTGTTATGTACATAAGAATCCAGGCTGCAGAGAAGTTACAACCAATATGGTTGCGGTCGAAGGATCAAGGAGACCGTTGGACACAAGGGAAATTAAACATTAAAAGCAACCTAACGTATCAGGTAACATGAATGTCTCGACATTTCATTCTAGCTCTCTGTTCTGTTGTCCTTTCCTGTATAGCGTTAGGCCAACCATAACAAAGTGGCAGGTTCATAAACCCGATTCCACATATTATTTTAGTAAAGAAGCCGTGATGTCATATTCAGGTTGAATTAAGGAATAAAAGAGGCTGAGCACACGACAACCCAGCAGCTCATATTCAAAACTGATTCGCAAAAAAAAGGCAGCTTATGTATCATCTGGTAGTCAAAATGGTAAGTGTCTTTTTTTGCAACGTATTGTATCATCAGTCTCTATTTTGTGCCTTGCTCTAAAAGATAATCATTGATGGCATCAGAGGAGGTGGTGACTCAGGGGATGCAGCCCTGGACGACTTCACCTTTCAAAAAGGACCTTGCCGGCAAATAGGTACAAAAGAGAAATTATTCCTGAAAATAGACATTTATTTGTGTCATTATCAAATTTTGGTGTGTTCCATATACACTGAGTTCACACATAGATTTGGCCAAGCCTAAAAGCGGAGCTCTTGTTAGTTTATTTTCTAACCCTTCATTACTCTGAATAAACACTGTAATAAACTCCCCAGCGCTGGCTGTAGAAGATTTTCTTCAAGGACCAGTCGGGGGATGGGGAGGGTGGGAAGAATTGACGAGGTCTGGAACCTGGGGAAGATGTTCTCACAACTTGCAAAGCGATCAACACGCATGCTAGTCAGCGGTATCTTCAATCAGCTTAGGACCTTAGTTGTTGTTCCTAATGTCTTGAGCAAATTTTCGAAGACAAGGAATGTTTGCTTCTCCAGATAAAGTGTACAGTGTCAGCATCAGTTGACATTTTATTCTATTGAGCGTGACTTATAATTTCGGTTTGGGAAATTGAGCCAAAATTGAAAGAAACGACGGTAAACTACTTCGCGTTAAATCAGTAAAACAATGCGCCAAAATCGTATGGGCTTCTCTTATATCTTCTCTTGAAGTTGCTAGGTATGAGTGCTTGCCCCGCCGTTTTTCCCTTTCTTGAAACACTCTATGTTGAAGGAAACTTTATAATGAGTGTTAATTGTGACAGAAACGAAAACATCCGTGAAGCTATAATAACAATTACCTTTCCACGTAAACAACCCAAAAATGAAGTATGATATGAGTAAATTAAATCTCACTCAGTTTGAATGTAGAATCCAAAATCTAATTAATTCACTGGTGAATAGGAAAAGGCTCAATGTGTTTTTCCTGCTTCTGTCATTCTAAATATCACAAATCAATCACTACACCACTTAAGTGTGATTTTTTTGATGATGTGTACTTTTGTAGCTTATGGATATGTAATTTCTTGTATCTACCTTTTACCAGCTGACATCTGATAAGAATCAAGTCCACAATGGTAATTTGACACATTTGTAGGCAAACCCAACAATTGATTAAACTTTAATTGATCGAAAACATGAAGCCGGGGCAATAGAGGAAATTAGCTGGCACAATTCAATTTCCCTTCTAAATATTCTTTGTTGTTGTTGTTTTTTTTATCAAGTTTACAGTTTCCCTCATTTTATTGTCTTCTGTTGATTGGTTTGTCTGCTTTACTGACAATCTTAACTATTGTTGCCAACTATTGCGAAAAGCATATAGAATGTTTATAGTTATTAACCCTTTAATCCCTAAGAGTGACTAGCTTATAATTTCTCCTTTCAATATTACCTCTGAATCAAACATTAAGGTCATGAGAATTAAGGAAATGATAATCAGTTGAAGAAACTCTTGATTGTTAAACAAATACTCCTTGCTCCATTGAAGTTAAGATGACTTCATGATTCAGATTTTAGTCAAAGAAATGTGTAATATCTCTTTATAAGGATGAAAAGGAATGCCGTTTATGAGTTTTAAAATAGTAAATGCCAAAAAAATTTAAAATATTAAATTTAACAAAAAAAAAACTAAAATATGGCGTATATATTCAATGAGATTTTAATCATCAACTGACACACAGAGATATATAACAGGCTTTTTAAAAGAAAACCAGGGCATAAAATTAAATATTCAGGAGAGGCATATGACATAAACTAGCATACTAATGTTCTCACCTGAATCAAACGAGGATTGGGAAAGAAATGTTTGAATTGTTCTGAGCCTTAGCATAAGAGAAAGCCCAGATAACACGACTTACCGCCTCTTCTTTCTCGGATCTTTTTTGGTTCGCTTCTCTTTGTTAATGAGCTCTTTTCAGTCTGTTTTCTGGAGCTCTTTGTATTTCCTTCTCAAGTTGCTCTTCGCTAGATATTCTCCTTTTACTTATTCCTTTTCGTACTCTTTTTCTCGTTCCTCTCGCCGTATTCTGCCTATTTTAGCGTTCCTTCGAACTTTCTTGAGCGTTTTTCTCGACTCTCTTTATGCCTTTACTTCTTGCTTTCTTCGGTCGCTCTGTCTCTTTCTTTCCAGCCTATATCTGCTCAAAACCCTTTCTCCACGAACTTAAATTATAACAATTTCCTCCGGTTGACAAAGCTATAGCTTTATCGGTATTGTTGCTTTGCAAGTTGATTAAAAATTGCGAGATACTGAGAATTATTGTTTAACTACAACCTCACCAGTTTGATTTCCCGCTCAAAACGCGTGTTGCAAATTATTTGCTTATGCGGCTTCGCTTCTACTAGCCCACGTGAAGCCCTCGTGTAATGCCTAACCGTGTGCCCGCGGTACGCTGCACGAAAGCTCGGCACTCGAGTCTGCGTACTTCATTGTCATCTGCCGGTGTCTCCTGGCGCACACTAATGGGTTATTCTAGTTACGCACGCAATCGCGCCTGCGCATTACCTTTTCCTTCGCCCTTCCATTAAGTAATGGCTAAGATAGTGCACGCAATGCAGTTGGCCACGCATGCTAAAAGCGGTACCTTGTACGGTCGGTCGTACGGTCGCAAGTTCAAATTTTTTCGGCTTGATGGGTTACTACCACGAGCTCCGCCATAGCTGTAAAATTTTTTTATACAAAGATGAATCACACGACGTTTATAACATCCCTAATCTTATTGGGACCTCCTATTACGTTCTGTAGAGAGAGTATCTTTGTATCTTTGATGAAAAACCTTTACCACATGATGATTTCAATCTGACTGTTAACCTATTTCAAGAATAGTGACCCTTACTCTTATTCTTCAAACGAATTTTAAAGTTTTTTTGAATATCCATAAGAAATAATGATAACGCCCGTCAAAATTAAAGAAGCTCAAGATGACTACTCTACCAATGTCAGATGAGTATGAGTGGTTGAACTACAAACCCCTACGTTGATAATGATGATACCTATCTAACGATCTGTTTTGCTTTTATCTTTCATTTAAGATGAAACTACGTATTACGTTTCGTCGTATATGGGTAAAGATTTTAAAATATCCTCTCGACCTTCTGAACACAGTCTTTACTCCGAAGAATTCCGTTTTACTCTCAAACATCCAAGAGGACTTCTAACAGAAACCTCGTATTTCATCTACTCTGAAGCATCCAGGAGACACGGTTTCGTTGGGGAAAAACTAGATTTGTCTGACCATGATAACTATCCCTTGGACGTGGTTGTCCTTAGTGACAACGGACCGTCTCACAAATGCAGGACGATTTATTTCATCAACAGGGATAACATGGGACCAATGATAAGCCTGGACGATTACAGCGCCGTGGATTGTTGCAAAGGAAAAAATAAATTCTCTCTTTGTGCTTTCAATGTTACTCAACCAGGTAGGAAAATTAACCGCGCGTTGTACATTGTGAACGATTTTATATAAACATTTTTTACCTTCGGTGATGGGGACTCAAAAGAGGCTTGCCTGGGTAATGCACTAAGCTTAAGCTTAAGACTACCTCTTCTCGTCAGCGTGAGGTTCCATGTTGTTCCCCAAGTTTTTTTTCTATAAAACTTGAGATAATGTGTAGCATGAAAATCGGTACTAGGGGCAGAGCTGAGTAACGTCTACGCATGCGTTAAGCTTTGGCGCGGAAACCTGATTTTGAGTCGTTTGCATGTTTGGTTTTCCTACTATTACTTCGAGGTGTTTTTTAACCTTGGCGTTTTATTTTTTCAGAACAACCTCCAAAAAATTGTTCACCCCTTAACATTTTCGAAAATACAATTTCTCCTTTAAAAAAAACCGGAGATTGGAAAATGCATTCAACGCGACAAAATGCCTCGGTTTTAAATACCAGCTCCTTCTTTTCCCGCAAATTTCGCTGAATTTTTTTAATTTTTGCCCGCGTTACTGACCGCTCTGCTGATACTGGGCACTCTTTGGCATTAATTTGCGTCCCTTTAAGGTAAGTCAAGAATTTGCAGGGCTTTCACTCGGATGGTTCCATTCACTTGGCTTATCAAAAAAATAAATAATGATAATAATAGGAAAGTAACTAAGAAAGAAAGAAATAAAAAATTACACAAAAGTTTATAACATTTTTAATTTTCTCATGTTCTGAAAATGGTAAAAGTTCTAGGTATTAGTGAGGCAACAATATAATATTTTATAATTTAATAAAATAATAAATGTCGTCTAACAACGTTTTCAGCTTAGAGATTGTCGGATAAATGAATATTTGGCCGAGAAGCGAATCTTCGAAAGAAATATTTGAAGAATATCTCACAGCCAAGGATATGGCTGTCATATTAGCAGTGCGGATAGAGGTCAATTTATTTCATAACCCTCCTTTTATATTTCAAACTGCTCTAAAGACACTAGTAAAAAGGCCAGTGTTGATCGAATTGTCGATAACTATTTGCGACTAGGTTTTTAATATCACCATCATCGACTCTACAAAACAAAATTGCTCTTCTTCCGTATGAAGTAATGCACATGAATAGGTGAAACTTTTGAGTCAACGCAAAACGGCGGTTATTACGCGATAACTGTCCGGTGATTTTTAACCACGTGACGTAACATGGCCGATAAAACTGCGCAGAATTAATGATGGGTGATAATGGTTGATATGTCAAAAAATAAATTTCTAACCCAACTCTGTATTACTATGTATATCTATCAGTAAAGTTACTGCTTGAATTCTCTCGCCTCAAAGCGTTGTAAGCAATTGGGAAATTGTTTCGACCCGTTGATGCTACCTTCATTTTAACAAAAAGCACAGACCCAAAGAAATAATAGCTGGTAAAGTAGATGAGCAACCTTAAAAGAGGGTTTTGTTCATTTGCAGATAATCGTTTGATTTCTGGATGTCAGCCTGGTTGGTACGGAGTAGGAAAATCTTGTTTCATGTTTTATTTTGAATCACCTCGGGAGTGGCGCCTGGCGCGAACTTTGTGCCACGAACAAAATAGCGAAATGGCCACTGCCAAAAGCGTTGATGTACTGAAAGTCCTTGCCAATCGGAGGAAACATCTACAATCCCAAGATCTCGATCTTTTTCTTGGGCTAAAGAGCAAGTTACGCTGGACTTGGGTAGACGGCGAAAAGGTGTCAGATTCGCAAAAAGCTTTGTGGAGGCCTACCGAACCGAGTGGTGATGGCTACTGTGGATCTCTCCTGAGTTTTGTTAGTTGGGATTCAACTTGGCGTGGGTATGGATGGGGCTTGAATGACGAGCTCTGCACCGGTCTCAGGACATATATTTGTGAGGAGCCACTGGGTACGTTTCTCAACAACGTATGATGATATTTTCTAATAGATAAATTTACTTGAATTGTACCTGAATTGAGGATATTTTCGAAGACAAAAACAGCTATACAGATTAAACCTTCAACATAACCCCACTGCGTTTCCTTTAAACTTTTTTTTAAAGCTTTAGATATAATTGGTTCTGTTTCAAGTCAAGTTGTTATATTGACGTTGCCGGTAAGCTTTGCTCAGAAATTGTCTCACGACAAATCCAATTGATGAACTCAAGCGATTACTCTGCAGTTTATCTTGTTTCAGATGTGTTTAATTGAGCTTTAAGGGTGTTAAATTATGTCGTTTATCGCAGTATTAAGAGTGTCCGAGTAATTTTTTTTCTTCTGGTTCAAGATGTTCCTCTCCCTGTAGCTCTCTTCTTCATGGGTGGTATTAACAAAAGTGTGGACCTGAGCCCTGGTGGAGCTAGCAATGCTGTGTTCAGTGACATCACCTTGGCACCGGGTCCTTTTGGAAATCCAAATGGTTCCTTGTTTTTAGGAACTAGCAATAGCCATATGGAATTGGAAAATCGCGGAGAAATTGATACAAGGTTTTCTATAAGTGTATTTGCTTGGGTGCATATCAGTAATTCTAGCACTGGTCAAATAATAGATTACGGTTGCTCGATGACGGTCTTCCATTCAACGCTCGGAGTTGAAGCACTTTTTAAGGAACGGGACAGTTCTAAGAGTTATCTCCTGCATAAGAGGGGCGTTCTAAAAGCAAACTCTTGGAATTTCATCGGCGTTACGTATGACTACTTCAGCGGTATTGCAACTATGTGGGTTAACGAGAACATCGTAATGCGAAAATTTTTGTTTGCTAAAATGGAGTTAGCGACTCATGGGAATATTATTGTTGGAGCCTCCAAAAATAGAAAAATGCAATTCCGTGGCAGGATTTCTTGCTTGCAGTTTTATGAACAAGCATTATCTGTGGATCAAATCATGAAGGTTAAAATACGATGTAATAAAACTGGTAAGTGGGTTTAATTTACTTGTCAGTCACAATGCCCGCAGAGCTGTAGAAAATACAGTTAAAATCGAAAAGCGCAGCAGCGTAAGATACTCAATAGAAATAAATGATAAGCCAACAATGTATCTCGCTTAAAACATCGGTAAACCTCATCTAAGAACTTTTTTAGCCGTTACATTATTTTATAAGGTTCATCCGTAATTTTTGTTTCGATAATTACATTCTTTTTTCAACGCATGGAAGTATCTACACCTTCAGTGGAATACAGAAGTGTCGGATGCTACGCAGACAAGCCTCATCGAGCAATTCCAACACTTGAAGGAGTAGACCCTATCGCTGCCGAGGACTTCCGCGTGCGTACGAGATCGATTGAAAAGTGCGCCCTTGCAGCTCGAAAAAGAGGATTCACTATGTTTGCTGTACAATATGGCGGGGAGTGCATGACCAGCGCAACGGCAGAACAAACTTTTAATAGATATGGCGAGAGTAATCAATGCAATGCAAATGGAAAAGGAGGATCATGGGCAAACAATGTTTACATCATTCGAGGTTTGTAATGATACCATATTTTACATTGAAATGGGAGTCAATGATGTAACGGTAAAATTCCACGAGTTCGTTTGCGTAATATATATTTTAGTGACTGGAACTTACACTTTTACTGGCTTGGAATTTGTGAGTCATAAAACACGGTAGTTATTAATTTTCGGAAAACAACTTCTCCTGAAATGATTATAGAATTTATGGTTTATCAAATTTCATTTCAAAAGTACAGTCTAGCCTGAGCAGGGATTGTTTGTTTTTGCTTTTGTTATGTTTTTATTTTTCTCGAGTAGTCGAATAGAAACTCTTCAGTCATTTTCCATTTGTTCGAACATTTTGGGTGTATTGGATATGCAGCTGGATTTTTCCCCTATGATCGATTACTAGTTAGTTGTAGCTCATGTTTGTCATAGAGTGCACGTTTAGAAATGTCCCTTTTTTAACGGCTTTGCGTGATAGTTAAATTGCTTAAACTTTAAATAGATTATATTGATGTTGGATGCTACGAGGATCGCTACTCGCGTGCAATTGCATCACTCGAACGAAAAGATCCGCTATTGACAGGAGGGCACAAAATACGCAAGAACTCTATCGAAAAATGCGCTATAGTGGCTCGCAAAAGGGGCTTCCGCATGTTTTCAGTTCAGTATGGTGGGGAGTGTTATGGCAGTGCAACAGCAGAAAAGACTTTTGATAGATATGGCAAGAGCGATAAATGCGAAGGTGATGGAAAAGGAGGAACTTGGGCGAATCGTGTCTATGCTTTTCAAGGTTTGTCACTGAATTTATTTACTTATTTTCATTCAGTTTCTAAGTTGAGATGTAATCAGGTAATTTGACATTTTATGTCAAGACTGATACCACTTAATCTTTGGTTCCCTGTTTGACGCTTAAATCTTCGCTGGGATCTCTAATGTTTTTACAAAAGGGTTGAAGATATCATTGAATGATAATAGTACAGTTACTCTCACTTTATTAGCTCTAGGTTGCCGTTGATATTTGAATTAACAAAAAAGGCAAAACAAAGAAACAAAATGAATCAGATAATTTAATTTTTTCTCGTAGCGTCTACTTCTTGGTGCAGTCCCAGCTTTTTTCCATTTCATGGAGGTTGCTTTTCCTTAGATACCTTCACCAAAGTAAACTGGAAGCAAGCCTTGGAAAAGTGCAATTTTAAAGGAGGTACCCTGGCAAAGATTTCAAGTGAAGGGTTGAGACGTGCTCTCTCCGTTGTTTTAGAAGGATTCAGATCCCAGCGACCGAGTCTTTATAACTATTTCATTGGTATGAGGGGCCACTATGATGACTGGATGTGGTTTGATGGCACTTCTTTGAACGAATCGTTGTGGGTGTCAGGATATCCAACGAGGGACGTTGACAATCTAGGCTGTGCTTATCTTTCGGCTGGTTTATCCAAAATAAAGAATGGTGTCTGCAAGTCACATAGATACCCTTTGTGCCAGAAACGATCGGGTAAATTGCATTATGCTTAGCAGTTATAAGCAGATCTAGGAGACGGGCGTTCTCTGGTCAAGTCTAAAACCTTCTGAGAAACACGAAAAAAACAGTGTCATAATCAATAACGGGAAATTAAAGGAAAACAACTTTTCAACACTCTCTTTTGGCATATTTAAATTTCTTTTTCGGGCAATGACATTAGAGTTTTCAAAGGCTTTAGACCTTAAACTGAACGTTTGCGTTCTAATCAATGTTTTGAATGGAGAATACCTTTTTATCATGTCAAGATAATGTTCAACCACGTTTTCCCTTCTATTCAGATGGGTGCAGTTTGCTTTACTTTCACTGCACACTGCTTTATTTCTGTCTCGCGCAAGAGGACTTAAACTGAAAGCTGAAAGCTTTCGTTGTAACACATGTTTTCAATATAAAACGCTTTTTTAAACCATTTTCCTCTTCTATTTGAATAGTTACAATTAAATTGAGCCACTGTTGAATTCAGGCTTAAGAAGGTTCTTGTTGTTATTTTTACTATTCCATAGAGTACGTTGTACCATTTTGCTTGGGTTTGGTTTCCTCTTTCGACGCATTCTTTTTTCCTCGTTATGACTACTTCCCCTTTTCCCCTCTTCTACTAATTTCAAGTGTTCCAAAAATGTCCACCGTAGCAAATTTCAATTATTATTCGTGGTATGATACATTAATTTTAACTATTTACAAAGCTTTTTACTCTGCTTAAGCTAAATATGATTCAAACATCTTCCAAACTGTGATGGCGATGTTCTTTATTTTTTTTTTGTCATGCAGAAGCTTCTTTGTCAAATCGAAGTCAAACCACTTGTTCCAGTGTTTTGCTGCCGTATGAGTCCTCTCTAGCCATTGATAAATCTTATACCACCTGCTTTCGTTCGGGAAGGGTAAGAAATTGTCATAACAAATGGAAAACTCTACTGTAGATGCACTGGATTTCCTTTCACATAATAAGAGGCCAAACATTAATTGTGTATGTAACGATTGGGTAAACTAATTGTGATACTTATTTCAGTGTCTTAATGTTTGGTGTGTTGCTTGCTTGCTTTCCGTAAAGTTTTAACATAACACTTACTTCGGTTCTTCATTTATTTAGGAGTCGAACCCTTGGTGGCAAGTTGACCTTGATAAACATTTGTACGTAATCTCTGTGGTAATCACCGATAAAGTTGATTGCTGCCCACGGGATAACGGAATGATCAGCGTAAGAGTATTAAACAGTCCACACGATACAGACTCAACCTGCTCCAAATCGATGGAATATGATGGAGTAACTCAGCAATTTAAATTTTACTGCTCACCACCAGCGCTTGGAAATTACCTGAAAATAACGTTGACGGGCAATAACGTCACTCTTGTCCTGTGCCAAGTTGTCGTGGAAACTATTGGTTAGTTTTTGGTAGTTTCCTTTTAATAAAAAAATTCCTTGTTGGAGCCTTTAAGTACCTGGAGCCTTCCATGGGGTCATGTAACTAAGGCCGCGTTACCGAAGCCTTTCAGGAACCATTGTTTACTCCTGCGGTCATCGACTCGATGCATTTGGGTCGCGAAAATCATGTTCATTTTAATAGAATTAGTGCAAACGGCTCAGATTTCATAAATTAAAGCTATGCCAAATTCTTATCCCATCCTTTAATAAATCTTGACAAGCATAGGAAGAAAAGCCCATGTTTTTTTTTCAGTTTTCATACCCATGCGCGGTCTTATATGCCTTCCCCTCCCCTCTTACCGGAAGTAGCAGTTAACACGTTGCAATGTGTCTATCCCCAATAGAGTTGCTTACGGAGGCAAAGGGAGTGCTTCGTGAGACATGGTATAGAATGAAAAATTACGAAGCTAGGAGCAAATCAACCATGCGCGAACATCCACTCATTCAAGGTCCGCCTGGAAGCCGGATAGTTTTGCCAGATTTTGATGCTCCTATCGATTTGGAAGACAGATACGCGCAAAGATTGACAGCTTACTTGCAGGTAAACATGAAATATCCCTATTTGAAGTGGAGTTCTTCCTGCTTATTTAAACCTTGCTTCGTCTTTATTTAGAGAAAATGAAAACTTAGTCGTTATTTGTTAGCCTCACCCAATCGCTTTTCATTTTAAAGCTCCTAAGACAAACTATAATCGCCTACTCACCATTTTAGGTTCCTCAGAGCGGTAGCTACGTCTTCTACGCTGCATGTGACGATTCATGCGAGTTGTGGAAGTATAATGTCATAGAATTTGGATTTGCAAAAGATAACGCCGAATCAGACGAGAGTGCAAAGAACCGAAGACCAATCATATCTGTTAAAAAAGGCACCAGATATCTTCAATGGGACAGGTAAGCGATTCATTCGAAGGATAAAAGGCCAATTCTGTTGAATTTTAAGACAACCAGATTTATGCTTAAATTTTTCGTAACCTGTCGTTTGAAGGTACGAAGAGCAATCATCGCAGCCTATCTTCCTTGAAAAATGTCGTATTTATCGTATGGAGGCGTATGGAAAAGATTTAGAGAGCAATGACCATATATCAGTGGGCATGCGTAGGCCGAATGGAGATTTTGAAAGGCCCATTCTTGGGAAAGGGCTATTCTGGACAAAACCAGGTATTTCAATTTGGTTTTTTTTTGTTTGTAATTTGTTTTTGTTTGTTTTGTTTCAAATTTTTTTGTATTTCATTTTGTTTTCGATTATTGTATGTATATATATTTTTTACTTTTTATATTTTTGTAGAGTTTTTGTTTGTTCCGTTTTTTTCTTTATCGAAGAGGCTTCGGAACGTCATCACCTTTCTTGAAAACTTGTGTCTAGAAAAATACATAGGGGAAGGATAATGCAGACAACTAGAAGAAAGCTAGAAACTAAAAAAGCTAGTTTGCAAGTGAACAGTTACCAGCGGGGAAAGAATAGTTGGCGTGCGCACTCTACTCTTTTTCTCCGAAGAAGACTGATTTCATGAACTTCATTGGGTTAACTTAGAGTATTTGCTGAATTCAAACCGTGGTTTAAATCTTAAAAAATACTGGATCAGCGTCAGCTAGGATAATTCAAGGAAAAGCTTAAATTCTTGAATCTTAAACAGGGACACGAAAATTGGCGGTCACACTCAACGATCTTGAAACGCCGATAACTGCTATCGTTGGGTCAAATCTACACATTTCAGGTTGGTATTGACACAAGAAGTTTAACACGTCAAAGTTTCTTATTTCATTTGACAGAGAATTGGTGTGAAATATCACTTGAAGGCTTACATCGTCAAATTTAAATTCGAAATGCTAATTTTTTTTTAAACCCACAGGTGCCTACAGCTTCTGTTGTCAGGGCATATATTGCCCCGATTGTCCACTGCAACTGAACCTCTCAACCCTAAGACAAAATGTAACAATAAACTCAGCGGTAAACATGTCTTGTTTAAAGGCACCATTCAAGACTTTTTTTGACACAGACAGACAACCGGGAAATTACACAGTGAAGGTTAGTCCATTTCAGGATTACCTATCACCAGAATATAGACAGTTTAATAGCCATTATGTGATTATGGACAATTTGCTCTTGCTTTTATGTAGCTATTGCACCAAGAACTAAAACGAACGCTTAATAACCTTAGAATCAAATTTCTTTTCCTTTTTCAATTTTTCCCTTCTAAATTTTCCCTAAAATGTTCTTAAAAGAAGTTGATAACCTTGAAAAACTTCAAAATGTTCATAATGCGAGACTCAAATTTCGCATCAGATCAGCTATTCATTTGTGGACCATTCAGGAAAAATTCTTGAAGAGAGAGTGCTGGGAAATGTTTATCTCAAAGGTAACTGCGTTTTATGAGTTTGACGATTTATTATTCTTACACACTTTTATACCAGTTAAGCATTACGTAGATGGGTCAGCTTGTACGAGATTCAGAAGACTTCACAATAAATACGAACTGAATTCAAACTTGAAAAGAGTTGGTGCAAAACGATTATCTATAGACTTTCTGTCTTTTTTCGAACAAAACCAAATTTTGGCAAATTTTGGCGATCAATCAACCAATTGATTGGGTTGTAAATTAGTTTGCTGGGCCGTGAAGTTAAAATGGAGATAACTCAGAATATCATTGAGATTCCTTTCAAAACCAGGAACAGCGAAAAAGTGTATATATACGAGGCAAAGGCACTTTCATGAAAACCATATTTTCTTGGATTTATCCGCTGATTCTTGTCTCCGTGTTTGGTTAACATCCCTAAGAGAAAAAGCAATTTAGCAAACGAGTATAATAACTGCTTAAATGATGATTGAAACTTTCACAGCTGCTGTAGTATTAAAAGAATGCCCTTTCGAGTCTGGAAATTGTGCAGGCTGGACTAACCTTGGAAGCCAGGAAAAGTGGAAGTTTTCCCTAGGTAGGAAGAAGGATGTTTCTGCCTGCCTAGTTTTTGTATAGAAAATGTGCGTTGTAAAGATCTCTTCGTCTTAATCTTTTTTAAAACTGTCCCGGTCAATCTTCATACTTATGGAGAGGATTGACCTAAAGTAGGTTGGTCCTTTTCTATATAAATGTATTATTGCTGACTCAATATTACATGTCCCAGATCATTTTGCCTACATCGGGAGATCTTCCAGGGAACGGCTTAAAAGTCCTTTGTTATCATGGAAACCAGCTAATGTGATAGTTAGTTTGTGCTTACGGTTTAAATACCTCATGCCAACTAAATCAAAGTCATACTTAAAAGTTCTGCTTTGGGAAGCAACAGAAGAAAGGGAGGTATTAGTTTGGCAGCTGCTTGGATACCACGGTTCAGGATGGTCAGTTGCTCAGGTGGTTTTGCCAAGCTCTGTGGCTATTCAAGTAAGTGAAGCTTCCAATTCACTTGAGGGAAATCTCTTTTTACTTGCATTTATTGGTGAGGTTTATATCTATGCATATGACAGCCTTGATCATTTTATTTAGTGGTTGATAACATCATGTTCATGTTTTGTGACAGGTTATATTTGAGGGAGAAGGCTTTGTTGATGACCCAGTGAATGTGGCAATTGATGACGTCAGTGTAACGACTGAGAACTGTATTTTACTACCTTACTTTGCGAAGCCAGGTGAATTTTTCTTTCCGCTCTCCCTTTTCGTCTCTATACTTACGAATAAGGAGCTTACCGATCATTTGAATTTTCCAAAATTATTGGTAGGCTGGTTATGACAATAGCAACCAAAGCAAACATGTAAGGTTCATGATTTTAGATATATGAAAATTCATGCAATGCGGTGGAGAGATGAAATTAAGAGATCCTCGCAGCTAAGAACACTACTGAAACGAGTAGTTGTAAATAGGACCTGAAAAAAATACAGGTCCTATTTACAACTACTCGTTTCAGTAGTGTTCTTAGCTGCGAGGATCTCTTAATTTTATCTCTCCACCGCAGAGAAAATATATTAATTTTTATATATCTAAAATCATCTTTCACTTGGATGTTTATTTGGACCCAATTCATTTACCAGCTCCCAGTTGGCTTGTTGGCTAAATTGGTAGAGCGCTGCACTGGTATCGCAGAGGTCATGGGTTCAAATCCCATACGGGCCTGAATTTTTTCCAGGTCCTATTTACAACTACTCGTTTCAGTAGTGTTCTTAGCTGCGAGGATCTCTTAATTTCATGTAAGGTTCAGTGCCAACCTTTTTTTAAGTCATCAGTGTTGGATAATAATGCATTGTTTGTCAGATTCTCCCATAGAAGTGTAACAAAGTTTCCGCCATTAGTTCTTTCTCTTTATGGCTTTTCACTTTTAAAGAAAGGAAAATGAAATAGAAACTTATTTTGCCGAGTTTTTTTAGGTTTTCAATGTAGCGAAAAAGAGTTTCAGTGTTACAATGGGGAATGTGTCAAAAACGATTTAACATGTGATGGTGATCTCGCGTGTAAAGATGAATCGGACGAGGAGAACTGTGGCTGTCCCTCCAATAAGTTTGCTTGCCAGGATGGAAAATGTATTCCTGCTGCAGCTGTGTGCGACGGTAGCAACGATTGCTCAGACGGAGATGATGAAAATAATTGTCGTAAGTTCATGACTGCACAATGATAAGGACATCACGGTAGTTTTCTCTTAGCCTTTATGGTCATCTCAGGCTAAGGAGTGATTTTTTTCTGATCGGTTTAGCTAAGAAAGTCGTTAAGTCTGGCCAGCGATGATAAAATTTTTTTCTTTAGTCTGTTTTTCCGCAGTATTTGTATTCGCATGACTTAATTCAAAGATTTGCTTTTCAGGTATTCCATGTCCCTTAAAATTTCATTGTCTTGATGGATCGTGCATTTCCTGGTCTGATACCTGTAGAGAAATACCGTTCTGTGGGGACGGGACTAACTCACCGTCTGTATGTGGTAAGTAGGACACAGCGGCCTAATGTATACCTAGTTCTAATTCAGCGTAGTTCGTGTTAATTCACAAAAACTCTAGACCATGCCTTTTCGTGACCTATAACTCATGAAACCAATCATTATGATATCGAAAATATCCTGCTATACTCTAGAAATTGCAGTTTAAGAAACAGTGCTTTTCCCTCAAAATGTCTGCATTTCAGGGTCGGGAGACTGCCTTCTCAGTGATTTATCGTGTTTATCAGTCACGTCGGAAGATCTCTTGCAGTGTAAATCATCTTTCAGAGGTAACATTTATGTCAAATTACTGAGATGCTACTATACCTTAAAAAACCAATCTTTTTCCGGTCAATTATCTTTGTCTTCATCCTCTCCTTGCCTCTATGTTTACAATACGGTGTCAGAGCGTCTGGTTCATTTGAGGACTGATTTGGTAGGCTTGTTTGATAAAAGACAGGGTTCAGATGAAACAAACGTAGTTAATTTTGATATTCGCGAATTACTAATTATAATTACGAAGACTAAGATACCTACAGTAAGGCAAATTCCACTCTATGAAAAAAATACCAGGTCATTTACAGTCTTCATTATGGAAAATTGGAACAGTCAGTCTCAATGGTGAAATATCTCTGGTTCATTTGACACGTTGCAAATAATCGTACCAAAATGCCGTTGTTGTTCGTGAACAATAACCTCGTGTACCCTTGCAATTCAATATTGGAAAGCGACTCCGTATGCATGGAGGGAATGAATATCCAACGCATTGTTATCCTTTCGTGTTTCGGTAACTGGCTAATTTTTCCATTCAAACAGGCCATTGCAGTTTCGACGATGATTTTTGCACATTGAAATATGACTGGAATGCCACGTTCCAGTGGACTAAAACGTCAGGAAAGACACCAACGGAAAATACTGGTCCAACATATGATCACACCACGTTTACCAAGGATGGTAAGGAGTGCGTTCTGGACTTAGACTTCTTGAGATCATTTTTTCTGCCCTCGTTCAAACTATTTTTTACAAAAATGTCGAGTAGGAAATCCCAGTGAAATATAAAGTTATAAAATACACCAAGCAATGATTGTAATCTATCCAAGAAATATTTGGAGGACATACTCGACCAAATAAGGAAAGAATCCTGAAAATTTCGTCTATCTATTGACAGAACGATTTCTACCCGTCACTCTGATTTACTAAGCTTCTGATTTTGTTTTCTTGTTTTTGATTTCACGTTTCTAATTAGTCTTTTCTTAAGGATTTATAGTTTTATAGATGCAATATTTGTAACTCCGTCATTGTAAAAAATGTAGTTCTAAAAATAATTTTGCAATGTTACCAAGGAAAATAAGCTAATTAAAATTTTCTAGGATCAGCCTCCTCGACGTTCTATAATAACGTTATAACTGTGAAAATGCAGAATTTGCTACTAATGTTTTCGTCTTCCTACTATTTTTTTTTGCATAGCCTAAACTTTAAAAGAAACATAAGCATAAATAGTTCTTATTCTGTAACAGGGTCGTATATCTACATCGAAGCCTCTCCACAAATACCTGGAGACGCAGCAAGGCTGTTTAGTGACTGGATGGAACCCAATGAAGTAGTTTGTATTCAGTTTTGGTATCACATGCACGGGTCAGACATTGGTAATCTGAGCATCTATTTAAAAACTAACCAGTCAGAAACAGTTGTTTGGACACTTTCGGGAAATCAGGGGGACCAGTGGAAGTTCGGACAAACAGCTTTAAACAGTCGAGATGCCTATAAGGTACGTTTCCCTGTATTTATCGTTACCGAGTACTTATGACTGCAAACTTTAAGTTTTGTTTATTGACATCTATAGTTCATGAAATCAAATGTATAAAGGTACTTTTGCGATCATTGAATGATATCATAACTATCATTATCGCTGTTATCACTACTCATATCGTTAATGCTATGGTCATCCTTTTTTCCATCGTCATTATTGTTTTTCACAAGTTTATCATTGAAGGAACGGTTGGCTATGGAAGCAGCGGTGATATAGCTCTGGATGATCTGACATTGCTTGATGGTAACTGTAAGACAATTATAACACAGAGTAAGTGATCTTCTGCAAAGTAAGATGTCTAGAAGCTAGTGGTTATTTATGATTTTTGTTTTCTTTCCGTTGTTGCTGTAGGAAGAGTGAATTAGAAATATTGCAAATTGATGTTTCTCATGATCCGTAATTGTAAATTTATATGTTGCTAGATAATTCCTTGCAACAAACAATCTTTCGACTAAAAATTGCGACTCAAGTTTTGCCGTTAACTTATTGGAAATTTCGTTGTACCAGCGCAATAGAAAGGCCAAACGCAAAGAGAGAGTTGCAGGAGACAAACATACGCCTTGGTTATAGCACAGTGAATATAAATAATTTACAGGGCAGTTTTTTTTCTTGGTCGGTATGTAACGATAATGAGGTCTTCCGACCTCTTTGCACTTTTAGAGAGTTTGGACTGTGACTTCAAAGGAGACACATGCGACTGGGAGGCTCAAGGAAGGTGGACCCTTTCAAAAGGTGTGCCATGATTGAAAATTTACCGTGGAGCACTCTTTATTTGAGAGTCGATTTGAACGGTTATTGCATGTCTCTAACAATTTCCGGACTCTGATAATTATTCTCTATAATTATCTCTTATCAGATGGTTCCTCTATTTTTCTTCGCCCTGAAGCATACGCGGTGCGTCATTCTCTATTTTCGCCTCCGAACATAAATACCAACGAATGGAAGTGTTTTCATCTTTGGTATTTCATCGGAGGCAACTACGGTTATGAAGGGTCGATAACAGTGCTATTAAAGTTGTTAAAATCAAACCTAACGAGTTTACTTTTCTTCGCGGACAAGGCCACATCTGAGGCAACATACACACAAACACCGTTACCACAAAATTTCACAGATGCTCAGGTATTTACAAAATACACTCGTGTTGTAGCAGTAGATCTTTCATAGGTTTTACAAGCTTCTTATGAATTAGATTTATTTTAGATAAATTTGATATTTAAGCTTTTAGCTTAAAACTAATGTTTCACACTCAAGTGGTGCTAGTCTGCTATTGACAATGCCATCATCTCATATCATTCTGTAGATCGAAATAGTGGGAACGAATGAATTGAAACATCTGGCTATCAGACAAGTATCTTTTTCCAAAGATTCTTGTGAGCATATTCCTAAGCCAAGAAATGGTAAGCCTCCATCACGATTGATGGCGTCTATTCACGCGCATATTGTTCCGACTGTTGCGTTTCGAATAATGACTATGTAGCTCTAAATGTCAATAACAACGAAGGTTTCCTAATTGTTTGGCTCACGTCTGTACCACATTATTGGAAGTATATCATGACTATTATCTTTATAAAGAGACTAACAGCTATAAACAGAGCTTAAAGGATAACCACTTTCGTAACCGCAAAAAAAGTTTCACTCAAATATTCGATGTCGAATAATACAATATCAATTTACACGGCGTATAAGTTATTGAATTTGCATTAATAGAGTCGAAAGACATAGTTGCTAAATACGCCTTGCAAGGGCCTGCTTGAAACCGATTTTTTTCATATTTTATCATCGTGATCTTTAGATTTGCATCAGCATAAACCTCTTGGAATGGAAAACAATGAAATCCTCGACAAGAAGATCACCTCATCTTCACAAGTTGATGAGGTTCATGCCGCCATCCAAGGAAGACTTCACTTCCAAGCAACCCCAGGCAAAGCAGGGTCTTGGTCGGCTGGTTCAGAGGACTCAACACCATGGCTTCAAGTTGATCTGAATATTCGGAACACAAGAGTTACTGGCGTTGCGACGCAAGGGAGAAACGGACCCTTCGCTCAGTGGGTTACGGAATATAAGCTCCAGTATAGCAATGATGGGGTAAGCTTCAATTACTACAGGGAACCCGGAAAAACCTCAGAAAAGGTACGTGCGAGATGTAATAAGACGTTCATCACGAATGCATGTCCAGTACAATTCAAAATTTTTGCAGTATGTAAAATTCTGAGTATTGACGAAGCTGGTTTAAAGAGGCGGGAAAGACGGCTGTTGATATTAGGTTCGGTTGTCAGATGGAGAAACATGCAATTCATTTGTCAATGTGTGTTTCTTGGGAACAGTTCCACACGCTCGCGAAAAATAGATGATTTATTTCTTCATGACCAAGCGCTTATTTGCACAAATGATTTTTTACATCACTTATCCTCACATGACAATTCCCCAATAAGGCCATTTATCTAACGAACATTATCCCGTAAGAATTTTGTACATGAACAACGCTTAGCACAGATTAGTCATATCTTTCCGAGCGATTGTTTAGGGGCTAAAATGTGTGTTGATTAACATCGTAGAACTTATTATTGGTATTTACAACACAAAATTAACACAACGCGATCTTTTGTCGACACAGCACTTTGCTGGAAACGCTGACCAGGATGCTGTTGTTTTTCATGAACTTAATCCACCAATCAGAGCACGTTACATCCGCTTTCGACCTGTGGCTTGGAACAAAGCAGCTTCAATGAGAGTTGAACTGTATCAGGGTGTGGAAGGCAAGTCAATTACTTATGGACGTTTAGTTCTTCTATCTTTTCTTTTCTGCGAAAACGCTTGGAATGAGATAGAATATTCGGTATCACTTCGCAAAAAAAATGCAAACCAGTGTCGGTGTCTTTTTGTGTGTACAAATTATAGACACCATTGGCTAGAATAATGATGTATGTATATCCAAGGGAGCTCTCATAATAATCGCTGTCTAGAAGAATGTTATTTACAAGTCTATGGAAATGTTTTAATTCTCATAAAGATAGCTGTTCTCGAGACCATCGTGCACAGGTATGAGATCTCGGTTTGTTAGCTTGAACAGTGCTTGAAGTCAATAGCTTACCCTGAAAAGTTGGTGATTCATCGATAAGGATTGACAATGATCAGTAACATCGATGAGGTATTTTTCCTTACAATGATCTGCTTCATTACCGTTAGAGTGTAATAAAGCTCTGGGAATGGAAAACAGCGAAATCTCAAGTGGACAAATTCTTGCCTCTTCTCAATGGGATGGATATTCCACTGCAAGCCAGGGAAGATTATTCTTTCAAGCGACAGAGAGGAAACAGGGTGGATGGTCAGCTGGCAAAAAGAATGCAGAGCAATGGTTTCAAGTTGATCTGGGAGGTCAGTATGTTAAAATCACAGGTGTAGCAACACAAGGCAGGCAAGACCACGATGAGTGGGTAACCAGTTACAAACTGCGGTACGGGAATGACGGAGAGAGCTTCCAGAGCTTCAAGGAAGAAAGGGATCTCGAGGACAAAGTGAGTATAAAAATAGTCAATTAAATGTTTATAATGCAGATATGTTTTAGCAAACAATAATCAATGTCATGAAATTGTCATTTTTCAACTTCTGATTATGTTATCATCCATCTTAGAGGTCAAGCGTTAAAACTCTCTCAGCTAATCAGTTTGTCAGAAAACCAGTTTGTTTGTCAGAAAAATCTCCGCCTTGGTCAGTTAATATCATCGGTGCTCATCGTCTTTTGTTTTTCTCTTTAATGAGTTGGAAGGTTAGACGAGTCTAATGTTTTGATATGCTATGAAGTCTTATTCACCAGTTCTCGTGTCGGGACCTTCTTAGCCGCGCACATGTTACCATATCCTATGCGGATATCCCATATCTATTGAAGTTATCTTCGTTTTAAAGAAGCCCTCTATTGTAACTAATCAACAAGTCTTACTTTTCATTCGTCTTATATAGGAATTTACTGGAAATGTGGACCGTGACAGCATTGTTCGTTATGAACTTTACCCAGCCATCAAAGCCCGTTACATCCGCCTTCAACCTCTTTCTTGGCATAACTGGATATCTATGAGGATGGAATTGTATGGCTGTTCAGAAGGTAGGCGAAGTATCAGCTTCTAAGTGAAAAGGAGTTTAATTTTTCTACGATATCTTTATCCGATACAGGTCCACTACCTTAAAAAAAGGTTCTAACCCTATTGCATACTCTTTCCTTTTTCTTTTTCAAATTTATTTGTTATCAGACTGAGGACAACTAAGAGGGAACAATTGTTTAGAGGGTATTTAAACTTGGAAGATATCATTAGCAAGTATAACTCAAGAAAGTTTCGGCATAGATTGTGATTTGGGATATTCATTTACCTGATTCGATTTCAATGAAACAAACAGAATGTCAAACGGATCTTGGCTTAAGAAAGAGAACTATTCCTGATGCACAGTTAAGTGCTTCATCGCAGCTGGATCATAACCATGCCGCATCTCAAGGAAGACTGGACTATGAAGGTGAAAGGTGGAGAACGTCAGCCTGGTCATCGCGCACTAACGATAAAAGTCAATGGCTCCAAATTGATCTTCGAAGTATCTACATCAAAGTAACCCGAGTGGCGACGCAGGGTCGAACCGGCTATTACAAGTACTGGCAGTGGGTAACACATTACATGCTGCAGTTCAGTGATGACGGAGAAAACTTTACTTTCTTCAAGGAACAAGGAAAATCAACGACAAAGGTAATACAATATTTTTTTACGGAAATGTTAGCGGCGTGTTCTGTTACAATGATAGATATTTAGACAAGCAAATTGCCGTTCTCTCAATTTAGGATTTTAGTGGCAACAACGACAGCAATACCGTTGTTCATAATGACTTAAACCCACCGATCAGAGCTCGTTACACCCGCTTTATCCCACAAGCTTGGTATGGCCATATATCGATGAGGGTGGAACTCTATGGATGTCTGGAATATAATAGTAAAGGTGAGGAATGCAGGTTGGACTTAAAATAGGAACATCTCTTTACGAAAACAGCGAACGAAAATTATTCGACGAGTCCTGTAAATGTATCGATAGCACAGTGCAGCTTCTCATCACAAAGTAGTTTTATGTAGACAACGTCAAGTGTCAGCTCTATTTCTTCTATATTTATTTATATAAAAGCTCACTTAATGACTGAATGGCTGACTGACTAATATACTGACGGATCAACAAACTAGTTACCTGACAGAGTGGCTGATTGACTAGCGGACAGTGTCAGTACGACAAGTTATAACATAGGGTTTGAGCTAAATTTGGGCTTCGTTAACACATAATCCTACTTTATCGGTGAATTCTGCCGGCACATTGGATTTGTTAGGTCTTACCTCGGATATTCTGGCCTTGACTGCCTTTCTCCAAGATACGAGTTATGGCTTGACCGAACTTGCCTGATACGCCGCCCACGAGTTCCACCTGACGCAGTTAGGTATAGTAGCTATTCTTGCAAATAAAATGTTTGACATGGTCTTTACCCGCATTTACTCCATATAGTTTCCATGAATGTATCCAAATGTCGACAAGCCCTTGGTATGCAAGACGGTATAATATCAGATGGACAAATCAGTGCCTCTTCGGAATATAATAGCGAACATGCTGCAATCCAAGCTAGGCTGCACCTTGCACCAATAACCGCAGACAAGGCTGGGTCTTGGTCAGCAGAGAGAAATAATTTAAATCAATGGTTGCAAGTGGATCTAGGAAGTCAGTACACGAGGGTAATGCGAGTCGCAACGCAAGGAAGGCATGATGATAGCAACTGGGTGACAAGGTATAACCTACAGTATGGCAATGACGGAGAAAAATTTTATTACTACAGGGGATCCGGAGAAATTTCAGTTAAGGTAATGTAATTAATGGATCTACTGCACTCACTGGTATTTCATTCTTCAATCCTAAACTTTCAGCCTTAATTCCGATCCAGAGACCCAAAACTTTAATCTTTCTAAGGTACGAGAACAAATTCTATAGGTCATAACTCTCGATTTGTTTAATGTTTTTCATTCAAAAAGAATGGTCCTTTCCCCGTGGATATCACAATAACTTATCTAACCGTATGTTAAATACAAAATAATATGTCTAAAAAAGACGAAATCAGAACATACCACTTTTATAATTAATGATTATTCGCGTTCGAAAGAATCAAAAGTCGCAAGAGGAAGAAGAAGGTGGGTCACTCGCCTCCAGAAACTGCAAACTTCTCGCAGAATGCTTCAAATGAGAGATATAAATTTATTTAAGCAATTGCAACGATGAACATTCATAAACCATTAACGGTTCCTATACTTTTTTTAACCTAGGATTTTATTGGAAACTCTGATCGAGACACTGTCGTTTTTAGTGAACTAAACCCGCCAATCTATGCACGTTTTATCCGCTTTCGACCACAACATTGGTTTGGCCACATAGCTATGAGGGTAGAGGTCTATGGATGTCAAGGTGAGGAAGTATTAATGTTCTGAATAATGAAAAAAATGCAAAAAACATACGACTTTACGCATTATTTTCATAATCTTTCAACTTTTTTTTAGTCCCCTATATTGTTCTTTAATTCCTTCTACCACACCTCCTGCAGTGCACTAGCATTTTTTGCATGTGCTCGATTGCTGTCAATGTTTGTAACTGCGGGTCAGGATTGCGTCACCAGTTGTGATTTACCAACAATCCGTGCTTGTTTGTTGTTGTTGTTGTTGCTTTTTTAGTCTGTTTTTGATTGTTTGTTTGTTTGTTTTTTTACTATGGAATTTGAGGATAAATGTAAGTACCAAGAATTTTCATAGATTTCTTGAAACCCTCAGAATGTACGAAACCTCTCGGTGTGGGTAGTGGTGCGATATCTGAAAGACAAATGAGTTCTTCTTCCCAACTGGACGATGCTCATGCCGCTGTGCAAGGAAGACTCAATTCCAGGCCAACTGAGGACAAAGGAGGATCTTGGTCCGCTGCTTCGAACAACCGCAACCAATGGCTTGAGATTGATCTGGTCAGTCAGAACATCAATGTGACCCGTGTAGCCACTCAAGGAAGACATGATTCCAGCCAGTGGGTGACGAAGTACAAGCTGCAGTACAGTAAAGATGGTGTAAACTTCCAATATTACAAAGAGCCAATGGAAACTGCACATAAGGTGGCACTTATTTGTTCACAGACAAGCTTACTTCAGTTTCCTCTTCAAATTCCCTTTAATCATCTTTATTTGCCAAACACCAAATTTCCGTCGCATCAGTGTATTTTTTCGCCTTTAACCTGTAGTTATGATGCCCTACAGTCAATACTAAGTTTCGTAACACCTTAGCATACTGATTACAAAGATGAATTGTCTATTAGATAGGTAGAAAGAAACAGATTACTTCTTGTTATAAGGAAAGAGGTGAGACTACTTCACATTTAATATATCGACAGTGGTTTAGCGTGGTGTGTACCCTCATCGACGACGATATTCGTCATCCCAGGGGTCAAAATGTTGATTTTTGATGCTTGATTGTCGATTTGTTTTCTTAACACATATCGACGTCAAACAAAACGATTCTTTCAGTGCGTGACCATAGCGTGACACTTTGACACGAGTTTCTGTAATGCTGAGCTCTTTACTCTTATCGACAACGGCAAATTGGCTGATGAGATTGCGATGTTACTGCCAATTGTGGTAAAATTAGGATTCCACGTGAGTTCGGTAACAAAGCAATACGCTTGTTTCGTTAAAATTTATACTTTAACCCTAAATATCACGATTATCGAGATTATCAAGAGTACAAATTTTTAGCTGAGACGGCACTCCATACTATTTTCAATCTGTAGATTTTTGATGGAAACGTTGAGCAACACGCCGTTGTTTATAATGAACTTGTCCCGCCTATCAAAGCACGTTTCATCCGTTTTCGGCCTGTTGACTGGTATGGTCATATATCAATGAGAGTAGAACTTTATGGATGTCAAGGTAATTTATGATGTGTTTCCTTCCTAAAGACTCTCATTCAATTCATTAAGCGACCAAATAATCGAATTCAGACTTGTTAGGTTTGGTTTAGGATGTCTACGATACCTCCACCTATAGCAAAGGGTGCGAAGTGAATCCTAGATTGTCTTTTTGCCGAGTAAGTCTTGATATCGAGGCATTGTAAGGAAGCATATGTATGTTGGTACTTGCTAAATGATCAAACATTTTCGTGCAACACCGGCGTTTTCTAGTATAAGGATATGGTATCTCAAAGTGTCTTTTCCACCCTTTTAGATGACCGTCCCTGTGACACATCAATAGACTGGTGTGGATGGAAAAACGAACGTGGCTGGAAAAGTATCAAACATAAAGATCTTGATCAGGTCTATCAGAATGAAGGTGGCGGTGGTAAAGGTTCGCGATTACTTCTTCAGAAGCTTTATAAGAATTAGATGTCTTTTGTTTTGATAACAAAATATTTTAGTATTTGTAAAAGACATCGAAAAAGAGATAACGATAGCGCTACTTTATGTATTATTTTGCTTCCGCTATGCTTTTTCCGTCCAAGGTTTTAGTGACAACAACAACTTCGAGGTCCTTCTCCCTGACAGCGAGTACGGTTACATATCATTATCTGATGTGATACTGGATGAATGCTGTTTTACCATTTGCTTCTGGTTGAAAACCGCTAGCAGCGGCTTCTATATAGAATACAATAATGCAGGATCAGCCAAAGAGAACAAGACTCTAGTTTTTGGAATCTATTGTGGAAACAACACATTTTCCCTTCAAAGCGGGAGCGAGAGGAGGTATCAAAGTGGAATCAGTGCAAGGTTGCTTCTTGTCGTACATTTGATTCACAACCATTGCAATTACCCTAACAGAGATGAAACCTGAAAATTATAACTCGTTGGCAAGTTAACTGCCTAGAACCGCAAAACCTCGTTCTCTCTGTTTCTTCATTCAAAGCTTATGAAATAGTGTCAGTCAGTATTGAATGTGATATGCTATCTGTAATTACCATTTACCGAATGTTGCAACAAAAAAGAATGAAGAGAAATTATAAATGAGCAAAAGCTAAAAATTTTCCACTCAACTAAAAATTTTCATTTGAATCAAACAAAACTTAAAACATAATCAAATAAGTCTTCAAACAAATCGAATAGGGAAGAAATGGGAAGTTTTCTTTGGGTGAATATGAACAGTGTCCTTCCATCTTCCTGCACAGTGAGCAGTCAATGGACGTTATGGACTCCACCTGGCACCACGTGTGTGTCTCCTGGGATGGGAGAGTTGGGCTACTTGCAGTTTTCAAGGATGGTCATATAAATTTCAAGTTAAATGACTTTATGGGGCCCCTACTTCAGAAGCCGAATGAAGGTAAGTAGAAGACATATACTATTTTTCTTAGGGGCTATGGGTGAGGGACCTTCGGTGCAATCTTTTTTTTTTTTTTTTTTTCCGGATATGAACGGGTTCAACGAGGGAATTAATGCTGGATGATATTCAATTTTAGTTGACAAATTCAGCTGAAAGGCTAAGTTTGAGTTAGGTTTGATAATGGCAATCATTTTGCGAAGTTAACTTATTGTTTGCGGTTAAAACATGAGAGGCCTATGATAAAGGAGGAGCTATTCAATCAAATAACTCAGTCACTTTCACCCTTTGCTCCTATCGACCCGTGAACAACATGCTTTGCATCTTTTGATCCGCTTAAACGAATTTACCTAGAGAAAAATGTGTTTTAATTTGCAAATACAGGAATCGTGACGATTGGTTTTAGGAATATAAATGAAACTGCTTCTACTGCTCTTGGTAAACTGAGTGGCTTCAATATTTGGAGTACCTTGGTCACAACAGAGGAGATACTGCGCATGTCATACGGATGTGGCACGGAAGCTGGCAATGCGATGGCCTGGGGAAAAGTTAGAAATGGGCTGATTGGGGAAGTGGAGATGAAATCACTTCCAACTTGCAACGATGGAAAACGTAAGGCATACTTTAATAACTTCATCATTGTCATCGTTGTTTTGGTTTTCGTTTTAATAATAATCTCTTTATAAACGTGTTTCATTCCATCAATATAAAAGGATAGTTTGATAGAAGAGCCATCTTCATGTCTGTTGCTTAATTTTATGATTTGTCTTTTCTTATTTTGTTTTCCTTGTGGTTATTGGTATTATTTCCTTTTCCGTTCTTTACTCTCTTTAATGGTGATATCTCCTCGAAGGTAAATCACTAGTGTCAACCAGTAGTCGAACAAAAATCATCTCTATTCAGTTAGTCTAGTTCTCTGTCATGACCTATTCAAACTAATGACGACAAGGAGTTTTTTTGACACAGGATTGCCTCAGTTTTCGGCTGGCAGGAGGTGACTCTGGGTTTTAATGAAATTGCAGCATGATCAGCGCAGAATACTACAAGTCTCTAATATGTTGTGGGTCAAAAGTTTTTTATCAGCGTTGCTTTGGTCTTTTAAATGAAATTTGAAGGAATGCGCGATCCTTTTTATCACACGCGTGTATCATTTGCCACACTCAAAATTCATAATCAGGATCACAAACATTGTGATTGTACGACCAACAGGTGCCAGGCTTGTGGTAGATACCGTCGATTTGGAGCCAAATGGGACCGCAGTTCTTGTGAGCCAGACATACAATAGATCAAGTGACGGGAAAAGCAGATGCTTGAGGTTTCGCTATATGCTGCGGGGATCTGGAGATAAAACGTTGACAATTTTCCAGAAATCAGGAATTTATCGTGAAATACCCATCTGGACTTGGAAAGGCAACTCTGGCCGGGACTGGATTTATGGCGAAGTTCCGCTGACCTCTACTACGAAGTTTAAGGTAATATCAAAACTGCGGAACTTACTTTAATTTACCATGGCTACCACAGAGCCTTTTGGTGTCCTCGCACTACAATGATCATGCAGGCCATTAATTTTCTCTGGTCATTTAATGGTATTACTGAAAAACGTCTTCCACAATACCTAAAGGTAAATTAACAAACTTCTTTTCCTTTTTTTTAGATTTTGATCAAAGCTCAAAAAAGCAGGGAGAAAGACTTGATTGCTTTAACAGGGATATATGTCAAAGAGGGACTCGATTGCAAACTTAGGCCGCTGTCGGCAAAACAAGGTAACTCGTTTACATGTACCCTGCCTTGCATTATTACCTTATGTTATATGATCTTTTTATAGTGGCTGATAAAATTGGCTGAAAATTCCAAAGGAGGAAAGACTGCATTACTTTTAGCCCGCTTTCCAAGGATCTTTTCTTTTATAACTCCATCGGAACTAAGTTGACCATTCGTTTGTGCATATATCATCTTTCTATATATTTCTATTTACAGCTTGTAATGAGGATTTAACTGATCCATCAGGATATCTCTTTTCACCGGTCTATTCCGGTGATGTTCTTGATGATATCGCTTGCACGTGGAACATTACCGTTCCACGCAATAACAATATTCGCTTGGAATTCCGAGATTTCCGTCTTCCAGACCATCCCACATGTAAGGGCTGTGATCTTCAAATTTTCGATGGAAGTGAAACGTCTGCTCCTGCGATAGGTCGATTCTGCGGATATATGTATCCTCCTATTTTCATTTCTTCATCAAATAATCTCAGGATTGTTCTGCGTTGTGCTGCCAATCCCTACACAGCAAGATTCAAGATTTTGTATAACTCCACGGCTGGTATGAAACGCTACATCTCTTTGACTTTTTATTGCAACCAAGCATTTTTTTTGACCTTCCACTTTCAGAGCTCTTATGAAAAATGCGATAAAATAATGGCATGCACTTGTCACGTCATAACTTCATGTTATTGTTTACTTTTCAATTCTTTAGCTCACAAGAGTTTAGAGTCATCCTGCTCACTACAGCAAGGTACACAAAGAATCTTCAGCTAATTTCCGTTCCCTTTTTTTCTCCCTTTGAATTTGTGCCTACGTTTTGTGAGACTGTATGAATTATTATCTCATATACCTCACTGTCGCTAATAACTCCTATTTAAGTCAAGTTTTGTTAGCTGTATAAAAATTAATGAAAAGGAGCTAACTTATTTAGTCTTTCTTCAGCCTTTTGTTCCAAAACTAAAAGTACTTCGGTGCTTCTGTTTTACTTCAACTTGCAAATGATGATCTTAACTTCCTCGCCTATCAATCAATGCCAATAACCTTGTGTTTTACAATGCGTCCCAGAATGCCCAGCAAGCTGCAAATGTGAAGAGTTTGGTGGACAAGAAGATAAGAAGATACTGGTGACCGGAGAAGACTTACTTAATGTACCGAATCACCTTCCAACAAACGTTGGAGCAGTGTATGTGATATTTGGGGTCCTTTTTATCTTTAATGACCTCTTTGTTTTATCGTCTTTTCTTTCCGAACAACGAAATTGCTAGTTCTTTCCTCCTGTTTCGCTAAATAACTGATATTCTTTTTATATGTTTAAAAAGGTTTTTTGGCCAAAATCGGATCTCCCAATTGCGCGAGGAGGACTTCATAAACCTCTTGAAATTAGAATATATGTAAGTAAACCTATTACTTTTGTTTAAGATTGTTCATTACTTTATTGCAGCGACTGTATTAATCTTAAACATTTTTCTGTAGCTAATGAGGATTATGGTTGAGAGAACCATTCGATTTTTTTAACCAACGCCTTGATTGACAAATTTCGGGCGAAAGAAGTTTTCCCAGTACCTTCTGGACTGAGATGAAAACAAATTTCTCAGTTTAAAACTCAATGTCCTTAATTTGAGCTTAAAGCTGTTGTGTTACCGATTTATAACAGTTCTCATCTATCTCTTCCTCTTCCTCAGCGATTTAAGCTTCAATTCCCTGCTTCACGTGGATGAAGACAGCTTTCAAAATGTGACATCCGTCAAGACGCTGTAAGTATCAATTGAATAGTCATTTATTTCATATTGACAGAGCAACTTTTCTGCCCCGTAGTCTGGTGCAAAGTCGATGATCACATTTGTCTCAGCAATCGATATTTCTTTTCTTTTTGTCGCAGGAGACTTGATTTTAACTTTCTTCGAGCTCTTCCTGCTGGGGCCTTGAAGGGACTACCCAATTTACGCGTACTGTGAGTTTCTTGTGAACAATGTTATTCTTGTCCTATGTGTTCTCCTTGGGACATAAATGTGCTTAAGTCGAACATTGCACTTTGGAAAAGGGAACGAGAGTACGGGGAAAGGGGTTTTATGTTATGACCTCTTTTAAAGTGAATAAAAGAGATTGATTGTTTTATTTCAGTGACTTAGGACGGAACCTTCTTCGGGTTGTATTCGGCGAGATGCTCGATGGACTTTCGAATTTGGAAGTTTTGTATGTACTCATTTTCACTATTCTTATAGTTTTAAGTCTATGATAATTAGCTTAATCACCTCACCTCTCTGTTTTGTTTGCAGGAGTTTTCGCTCTAACCAGATCGAGCTGCTGGAATACGGTGCTTTTAAGAACAAAAGCAATATGACTCATCTGTAAGTGCACTAAAATGGTCTCCAGCTCACTCAGGTCACACTTGGTCACTCAGTATTTACTAACACCAGTTGATTTTGAATGTCATCGGAAAAAAATCAATGGAAAAACATGTGACCGGCCAATAGAACCATGGGCCTGATTTCCTTAACAGTGGGTAGCTCTATACAATGGATGAATCTATATCTGGTGGATAACACAATATATTCTGTCAACGCTTATTCGCTGGACAGCTATTTATCCATTGGATAGCGTTATCCGTCCTTTGAAAAGCTAGGCGCAATTTTTTTTGCCAATCAGCAGATACATATTTCCTTTTTTTAATTTTTAAATTTTTTTATTTTTCATTTTCAAACAATATTATTCTTGTGTACATTTAGGTACCTACAACATAACAAGCTCAAAGAAGTGTCAAATGGGATGTTCAAAGACCTTATGAATTTGCAAGTATTGTGAGTGCATTTTGATATCATAGTCAGCACAAATCCTATGGAAAGGGACAATAGTATGAGTATATTGCTGTATCTGTTATATGGTTGTTCTATTTAAAACACAAGGAAGTCGTAAATTACATGTTTTGAATTTTTTTATCTTAATGAATTATAAATTGCTTTCATCCATCATTTTCGAAGGATATCAAATTTAAGTCAGGTTTCCATAGAAAAAATATAATAATAATAATTATACATATGTAATATATATATTTTTTTTATCAGACCTCGAGACATGATGATATTATCTTTCAGCTGACATAGCTAATCTTTTGTTGTTGTCGTTATTACTGTTGTTTTTATTAATCACTAGCGAGACATTTCCTTAATTTTCTTAATTATGTGCTTTTTCTTACCATGATCTGTTTGAAATCTCCAGAAATCTTAGCAGGAACAAATTAACAACTGTTTCGAAGGAAACCTTTCAAGGGTTGAAGTCACTCGAGTATTTGTAAGTGTACAATGTTGCTGAGAAAAAGTAAATTATCCATTTCCCTTTCGTTTGTACCTTACAGGAGAGCTGTATTCACATTTTGTTAGTTACTTAATGATTTGATTTTCAGAAAAATAGTAACGAAAATTTAAAGTTAAATTATATTGAAAACCCTTCTACCACAGCTATTCAAGTATTTACTGCAGTTGATGAATGGTTGATCACTTTTCAACTCAGTCATAAAGGAAGATCAATGATACACTGCGCGAAATGATTTTCCACCATCAACCAAGTTGCACAATGATTTGAGAGAGAAAAGAGAGAGAGTATTATTTTATAAAAATTTGAGATCAGCGAAATACGTTATTTTCATGTTGTGATTGAATAATTAAACGCATAATTCAGTTTGATGTGAATTTCTTATGCATCAGTTGAGTCGATTTTGGGACACAACGGAAAGTGAATCAGTTATTCTTGTTTACTTTGTTGTGCATTAATTCAGGTACCTGGATGGCAACAAACTTACCAGAGTACCTCCAGACGTATTCAATGACCTCAAGAAGCTCAGATATTTGTAAGTGATTTGCTTTTCAATCTTCATCAGTCTAAGTTGCGTAAAATCTAAAGGCAGCTCATTGTACCAACAAACAAAAACTTGATGATGATCGTTTTTACTTAATAAAGGAAAATTTTCTAAATCAACTATATTTTTCCCACTTTAGGATTATGGGTTAAAGTCATTGCTCTTTTGAAATTAATTCATTTTAAGGCCATTTTTAATATCCAGACGTTCCACCGTTCCCCCGTTGTAAAATGACGCATTCAGAATTTTGTGAATTGTCCGTATAAGAAAGCAAGATTAAATTATTAAAGAAATAAAGGTGAGGTTTCTCTATTTTGCAATTTCAACAGGAGACTAGATCACTTCATACTCTGTTGTTACGCCAAAAAGTCAATTGAAGGAGTTGCTTGCGATTCCCCAGTCAATGAATTCTCGAGCTGCGATGACCTCATGAAAAACAAAACTCTTCAAACTTGTATCTGGATTCTGGGAATCTTCGCCTTCTTTGGTAACCTGTTTGTCATCATGTGGCGAATCATCGATAAAGAGGAGAACAGAGTCCACTCGTTCTTATTGACAAATTTAGCATTTGCCGACATGTTCATGGGTGTCTACCTGCTGGCAATCGCCATAATGGACGCAAGGTGGCAAGGTGAATATTTCAAGCATGACCATGAATGGAGATCTGGTTGGGGTTGTCGAATCATTGGAGTTTTATCGATGCTTTCCAGTGAGGTATCTGTACTAATTCTAACAATCATCACCATGGAAAGATTTATTGCAATCGTCTTCCCTTTCAAATTCAAACGCCTGACCATCAGATCCGCTGTATTCACCTGCACAGGAGCGTGGATATTTGGAATAGTTATCTCAGTGATTCCCATAACCGGAATAAACTATTTTTACGATCAAAACGGTGATTTCGGTTTTTACAGTCGTTCAGCAGTTTGCCTTCCTCTTCAACTGTCCGAGGGAACCCCAGCCGCTTGGCAATACTCTGCCTCCTTCTTCATTGGGATGAATTCTGTTTCTTTTACCTTTATCCTGGTGGCTTATATCTCAATGTTTTTGACGGTGAAGCGGGTAACCCATTCTATTCGATCGACGAATTTAAACAGAGAATCCGCTATGGCCAAGAGACTTGTTTTCATAGTCATGACAGACTTCTGCTGCTGGATGCCCATAATAATCATCAGCATTTTGTCTCTGACAGAAAATTTTAATGATCCAGACAAAATTGCTTACGTGTGGATTGCAGTGTTTGTTCTTCCCCTCAACTCTTCCCTCAATCCAATCCTTTACACGTTTTCCACCGATAGAGTAAAACGTAGCTTTAGCCAGAAGAGGAAAAATGTCACTGGTTTCGTTATGAAGACCTTGAACAGACCTACAGAAGGTGGGTATTTCTGTTAAGGAATAGTTTGGTGATCATATTCTGAATGCTGTCTTCATCTTAAAGATTTGAAGCCGTAGAAATTATCTTATTCAGCCGTAATTTAAGTGTGCTACTATTTCATCGTCTTCACTCTCAAAAGACTGCTGCAAAAACAGCGAAAGCAAACATAAGTGTGGGACAAACCATCTGGAAGCATTTTCAATTGAAGCCTTCTCACACAACGTTACACGACACATCAGAGCCAACCTAACTAAATTCTTTAGTGATTGTTCAAAAATTATTCTAAACTGTCAATTTATATGGTGTGTTCCAATCACCTTCAAAAATCCCCTTTTTCTTTTCCCTCTTGAAACGTACCTTTGTTCATGATCAGTATCCTTTTATCTTTTCTTCTGAAGATCGATTGTCCTGTTCCTCGAACATGTCTGGAAAAACGTTGCTCTCTAAAGTCCTTTCAATTTCCAGCCCCAAGCCAGAAGCAAGGGTATTGAAAAAGCCGGAGGTCGGGCGTGTTGTCGTTCACGCTAATCTAAAGCTGATTGAAAGAGTAAATATCTTTAAAGATGATACTGCTGGAAGAAAATCCATGGTAAGTACTTCTTTGTGAAAACCAAAATGGCGCTTTTGTGGCTACCGACCAGTGAAGATCAAGTTACGAGACTTGATCCCTCATGTAGGCCTTTGTTCCGCTCAAGCTATTTTAAGATCGCATCCATTTTCAGAGAGGCAATTGCAAGAACCAATCATGTGCTATATATTTATTAATAGCTAGCAATCACTCTCCGTGGGCGTTTAGGAACATTTACCTCGATCAAGGGAGAGCCCTTGGAGTGAGGCTTATTTGACGAATACATTATTTCTCCCTTCATATATTACAGGATGCTCTACATAAAGGCCTTTCTCATGCTTATTTCTTGAACTTTTTTTAAAGTGTGAAATTAATCTTGTTCTGATTACTTTTTCTATCAACCAATCTTGCGCAAGGATCTTGAATGTCTTACAAAAAATTGGCAAGTAGTACACCCTGTGTCACTTACCTTGGACTTACCATTGCAATATATGACATGTACAAATGAGTATAAGCTTCACGTCACCTCTCGCTGTTACAGGGTTATGTTACAGCTTGGTGCGAGGAAGGAGGTGTTCTCAATGTGGTGTTGCTAAAGTATTTTGGAAAAGAAATGAAGGAGGAGTGGAATCGGGAAGTGAGTGTAGTGCAGAGCCTCTCCTGTGACGAGCAGCCTCTGTCCAATGTGTTACACTATCGATGGCACAACAAAAGTAAGTGACCCTAATCAGTTTTTTCAATTTAACCATCAGTTTTTAGAATTGCCATAAATTTGTTGCACCTTTTTAAATCCTAGGTTACTTACTGCTCTATATTCCATAGAAGTAGTTTTTCACTTTTGTTGTTGTTGGAAAATCAGGATCTGTGACATTCACAATGCCACAGTAGGGACCTTTTTATCGATTTCATAAGTGCTGTGCTGAACCTCTGAAGCTATTTTTTCGTTTATTTCTTTAGCTAGCGACCTGAATATTGAGCAAGGCAAGACGAAGATCAATGCTTTACGAAGAAAAAGTTTGTAAGTTGTTAATGTATTAGAGCTTTATTACCAAACATATTGAAATCACCATACATTTGATAACAAGTAATATAACGGATTTTGAATCCTGCGTTTCCGTTTTTTCTCAAAGCCTGATATGTTTCGACTACGTGTCGAGTTCAACTCTGGAAGATTTGATTTGTGAGAAAGGAATTGTCATCGACTTCGAGTCAATTTGTGCGGTAGCTTGTGACGTCTTAGATGCAATAGAAGGACTACAGGAACTTGGACTACTTCATAATAACATCACAACACGCAACATTCTGATCAGCCAGTGCCCTAGGGTAAGTGAAGTGGTTAAATTATTCACTACTCTCAATCTCTAAGTTAAGGAATCAGTTAAAAAAAATAACCCTACTGGCGTGTTGCGTGACCGGCAGTTCGCATATGTACATATATCCTCTTATATGTTTGCTACTGCAGACTTTGTCCTTCATCGAAAAGTCGACAATTATATTGTTCCTTATTCAAAGGTTGCTTCACTTTGAAAGTCCTCGTAGTTTAACACAAACGTTTCTTCGAGCTTTTGGGGATATTTCGTGAGAACAAAGAACATTTCATTTGCATTGCTTTTTCGCAGTACTATATGGCATATCTCTGATTGAATAGAAATCGACCTGAAATGGTCCAGTGCGGAAAATGTTTTTGGTTTTAACAAAGAGTTAGAATAATACAATGGAGCGTGCGTTGTTCCTAGGTCGAGTCCTTCCCTGATCAGTAAATGGGTTTCGTGTTTCCGGATAGTTCCCTGTTCTACACTTAGACCAGGGTTGTAAATTGCCAACTGATTTGCCTTCTGCCCGTTGAGGTTTTCCATCGAGTTCCTTCTGATGTCTATTATAAGTTTTTAGATATTTGAACGCATGTTTAATTACAGAGACGTAAAGAAAACCACTGAGTCACTCATAACTCTGCCACCCTTCTACGCCCATTTATTGTTGTTGTTTTGAGTTGGAGATAAGTTATGGTTATTACCTCCATGCATTTTCTTTTCATAGATTCCTCCAATCAAAGCAGTCTTAGGTGGATTCTCTCGTGCATCCAAGGTGAATGGAGAAAGCGCGTTCACAAACCAAACTCTTGATGAACAGAGTTGTTTTGGTAGCCATGTTGAGCAGTTTGGACAGTTGTTGGCCACACTACTAGGACACTGTCACGGCTCTTGTGAACAGTTAAAGGTGAACATCGATAAGTTTTATTAAGTTAAATTTTTACTCCTTGGACAGTGATAAAGATACACAGTGACTCTGGCATATATATTATCTTTTTTCCAATAGCTACATGAAATTATGAATCTCTGCTTTGAGGAAACACCAGAGAAGAGGCCTACAGCGTCTAGCCTGCGAGAACTCTTGGAAGAGGTCTGGTGCACAAAGGGTTTCAGTGATTCATTTGTTTGATCTACCATACGGACAAAAACACTAAATAGCTATATAATACATATATTGGCTGAGCTTTTGAAAAATCAAAAAATGTTTGCCCATCCCTGCAGCATGAAGGGTACAAGCCTTATCCAAAAGCCATGTTTATCTCGTCAATAACGGTAGAATGCACTACAACAAAGCGCATTAGTAATTCTGCTTTGTAAATAGTTAAATCTTTGTAGAGCATATTGGTACGGAATGTATATTCTGTTAGTGAAAAAAAGTATTCTGAAAATGCTCATTTGCTCAAGAACCATATTGTAATCTGCACCCACGGTGTTACTTTTAATTGTTCTTGTTGAATAAGATTGGTGAATAAAACTAGCACTTGCACACCTGATTTAGTTCAAAGAAAACACACTGCCTTCTACATTCCTCCAAATGAATTTAACACCTCTATGTATTAACTTTTGACTATGCAGTGAACCTTAAAAAAGTTTGAAAGATTGCTGAAACTATGGTAATGCGTTTCTAATTTAGGTTAATTGGACGGTACGTAATACTTTCATATTTTGAGAGCAAAATAATTCCCTTAGACATATTTACAACCAAGATTGTTACTTTCACGTGGCGTCTGTGTATTCTCAGGGCCTCTACTGAACATTCGTTAACTCCAATACAAATGAAAAAGACCCACAATGTCCAATTTTCAGCTCTCGTAATGCTCCCATCGACACTTAGTTAACAAAAACATCCAGCGGAAGCTTTGAATGCTTTTAATGTCCGCAACCATTCTTTACAGTTCGTTCACACACCAATAACAAAGGAACACATTACTCGTGGTTGCTTAATTATGCCCTTGTTCTGCCCCTTTGAAGTTGCTTTGTGGTCCGATTCAAAAGTTTTCTCCCTTTCACCACAATTTCGGTGGTTTTACAGTAGATTCCCAAGTAAAAATAGAAGCAGATTCAACCACAAGATGTAGCAGTTTTAGGGAAGAAGGCCCACTTGTTTCACCGTAATTGAGCGTATGCACTACTTGTCTGTTATTGATTGGGATTATGCTAATTTTACTCCACGAGAAGTGGTTCGGTACAAATTGCCTGCTTGTGCCTGTGAAAATTGCGTGATCAGTTGGAATGTTTAAGGGAGTTTTAAAAACCAAATTTAAAACGGTATCTTGAATTGGTCAGGTCGCAGCAAGTTGTCTTATCAATGATGAATTGGATTTTTCTTTAATTCTAATTGGGTGATTTATTTGTAAGACTCTTTTATTCAGCTGCACATTGTCTCTGCAGTCTAACATCATTGACACTGAAGGACATGCAGACAATCTTAGCGGTTTAACCTTAGTTGACCACAAAAACGTTGCACTGAAAATAAATTTTTTTTTTGTTTTAATAAATATTACGTTAGGCAACATTAACAACTTACAAGTCAAGTTGAGTGTATCTTGAGAGAAATAAAGATGAAAACTTATTAAAAACTTGCTAGGCTGGAAGAAAGCCGAGACAAAGAAACATAAACAGGTAACAATAAAAACTCAGCGCAGATTTCTCTTAAGTTTAATACTGGTGACATTAAATTGGCTTACGGTAATTGGTAAAAGGTGAGTTATATCACCATGACAACTTATTTTTCGATTACAACTCATGGTTTGAATTAGGTGTGCTTTCATTAGTTTCCTCCGATGACAATAGCTCGTTTACAAAGATTGATTTGAGAACATTGAGCTGTTTTCCGGCTGACAGTTTAATTGAAAACTCCTAAGAAAAAAAAAAGATTTTTAGGAAATTTCAACTCGTATGGCAACTAGTTTCAAGATGTTTCCTTAGAGTTCAAAGCTGAATTCAATTTCTTTACTTGAAAAATATTTCAGTTATATTACGACGTAGGTCGTTCTAGTAATTTCAGGAAGGCCTTAAAAGCTGCAGAATTCAATTTTTTTTCTCGTGCAGAGGGTTCCTCGCACGCTCCACCAGCGAATGGTTGTCATACAAACGGAATCGATCGCAATATCATCACTTTTAGACAACCATATGAAGCTAGGATCTTCAAGTCCTAGTAGTTTTAGTTCTTAATTTTTAACTACTCGAACTTAAGTGCTAAAATCAAATCAGACATTTCATATAATTCTGAAGTTGTGTTGTCTTTTAAGATACTTTAGCTCTTCAAGGATCTTCAAATTTCTACTCCAAAAGGTAAAATAATAATCCAAACGACCATTTTATTCTCATCTTGATGTGTGGGGTTTGGAAGGCAAGTCTTGATTTCTTCCTCCTTTTACCCATTCAAGCAATCAACTGAATTTTATCCAAGAGCAGAAGTTGGTGTCAAGATTTTAAAGCCAATGACACAAACCGATCTGTCTGCCAATCAGGTAGTTCAAGCTATTTCGTCACGCAGCTAAATTAATTCAACGAACCTAATGTCAGAAAGAATAGCATGCGGTGTTAATTTCGCTAACTGTCGCAGTTTTGAGATTTTCATCGACTGAATAACGCGGGCTGGGTGTATTTGAAATGAATAGCATTTCTGCTGACGTTTTTGGACGGATAATTCTGTCGGCTTACCTGTCTTTTCCTCGAATGTTCTCCGGCAACTACACGCTCGCGGAGGTTCTTTATGTACTTCGCCATAATTCAACCACTCTGTGGTACATAGCCAATGCGACTGACTTGGATGAAAATGTGGTAGAGCGGACTGTTGACCTGTACTTGTGGGTAGATGAGTATATCTTGCAGGCCACTGAAGAGCCACCAACGAGCAACACGACCGCCAACGCGTAAGTGTCACGCCGTGTTCGTAAACTATACCTGTTAGAGCTCTAGAGTGAATGTTTACCTTTTTATGGGAAGCTCTCGGTAAGATTTTAAAAAGGATGGCTTTTCCTTACCTTTGTATTGAAATTTTCAACGGTCGAAACTCATTCACATTGAATTTGTAGCGAAATGTATGCCCGACCCTCCAAATACACACTTGAGCATTGAAGGTCGTGATTTTGAAAGTTTTACAATCATATTTCTTTCGACCATCACTCCTCAAGGTGAATTTTAAACAAGTAAATTATGTTGTTAGACTTCGCCCAAATTATTATCCTCTTAAAATAGCGTTTCCTTGAGTGTCATTGGTATTGCTCAACAGGAAAATTAGTTGTTGAATTGCTGGTGAGACGGCTTATTTTAACGATCGAAGCAATATTTTCGAGTGATTGTAAACACACTAACGTGCGCTTAATATCCAATGTTCTGTGAAGCGTGACAGAGTTCTAGAGCGAGCGTGCTCTTCGTTTCACGAATTTGCTCTCTAAGTGGCGACGGAAATCATTTTGGCGGCTTTATTTTGTGATAAGCTGTTGCAGTTGCCTCGAATTGTAGCTTTAAACCATTTATGTACGGCTCACGTTATGACACTGTAAATGTATTCAGCTTACGATCGAATATTTTGTCTCCTTGGCCTGGCGCTGTGAGAATGAAATGCAGCTGCAAACCAAACGGTAGTCGCAAACGCTACCCATATCCTCGACCTTTATTTCGAAACTAAATATTCATTAAAATACAGGCGTCGAGGACATATTTATCGCCTTGATCGATTAGAAATTCGAATTAGCTGCTTGCTAAGGGTACATTTACATTCTTTACACAGATACTCTCGTTGTCACAATATGCATAGGATATGGCATTTGCAAATATTATGCTTCAGAAAGCCCGACAGTATAAGTATTGGAGAAAAATGTGACAAGATTCACATTAACAGTCTTCATCCTTGGAGAAGTCTCAAAATCCAGTTACAAAATTATAAAACGACAAACGACTTGTCTGAAATGTAGCTGATAATTTCAGCACGGCAAAAATAAGACACAGGTCTTAACCTTACACGCAATGTCGCGAACGTCTTATAATACCGCACCAAATTACCACGGTCACGGCTCGAGCCCCATCCATTTAGACATTATGAGAGAACGAACTCATTCAATTGTACGACTAACTCAAGCAAGCGGTAAATTATTTTCACGATCGTGTCTTATCCAAGATCCGAATAGAATTCAATCGATCTCTCGTCGTGATCGGTTGTTATAGAATACAAATAGGTAAAACTGGTTCAAAAGAGGCGGAAAGGATGTCAACAATATATTGTTAGAGGACTTGGGTGCGGAAGTTGCATTCGTATAGCTAAAATATATGTTTACAGTGAGACAATTTTACAAGTGGAGATGAGTAATCCACTTTCCTTGGATTGCCTCTCAGTCTCAGATGAAGTAACAAGTGGTAGATTTAAAAGATACGTTACAGATTAGCCTTTCACGCGCTATTAATTAGGACGTCAATGGCATTTTCGGTTTGTTTATGTATTCTGTTTTCGGAAAAATTAAAATGAAAAACCCTAATTCAATTCATACAATATGAATTTAAAAAGACGAATTTTACGTTGAAGATGATTAAGAGAAGAAAATGATCTACTTGTTTGTTTTAACCTCTATTTCGATGTTGCAACCCACTCGTGCATATTTTGGCTAACCCTGAGGGTCTCCCCGCTATGGGCGAATATCGATTCAGAAAAAGCGACCAATGGCTACATGTGTCTCCTACTAGTATGGATAAAGAAGGCCTACAAAGAATTCACGAGATTCAATCTGTTTTCAGTTATTCCACTTCTTTCAGCGAGTGTTAGACTTTCAGTTTTATTCGCACTTTGGCAACTGGGTGTTTCACATGCCTATGCATACTGTATTTCCTCAAATGAGCACCCATGCTCAGTAAGTGCCTTCCCCCGACTAACTCCCCACTCTTAAGGAAATCGATTATCAGCACATAGATTGATTGGTTGATGAGTGATACCCGATTTCCTTACGTGCTCGGTTCTTTTCGATGGCTACAGTGTCTATTGCTTTCTAAAGTAGTAGACACAGAAACGATTTAAATGAATCCCTCAGTAGACACAAAAACGATTTTATTGAACCCCTCAATTGTGTTCGTTTCATCACTTTCGGGTTTTTCATCCAAGGTTATTGATATTACTACAGTATTGGAGTTAGTCAATTACAGTCGAACCTGTACTTAGCGGTCATCTTGGGTGAATGGTGCTTTATACAGGTCGACTTATTAATACAGGTTCCACAGATCAGGAGTATTGTGAAACGATACGCGTCATATTATGCCATAATTGATCATTTAGCCTACAAAGACTCGTACACAAATACTATTAACGTTGATTTCGGGAGATAAACATAGATTAAAATTTAAATGAAAGTTTATTCTTAGTTTTATCACAGTGGTCCCACTTTAAGAGACCGTTCAATACAGGTTATAGACAATACAAACAGGCCGTTGGGACTCAGCATAGGGTGACCACGACCGCTAAATAGATGTGAATATTACAGCTATTAAGGGGAAACAATTTCTGGACTTTGATAACCTACCTACTTAATATAGGATGACTGCTTAAAACAGATTCGACTGTATATTCACAAGGAGTCTGATTCACCTACTAGCAACCACCCGTACATGTTCGGTTAAAGGAAGAGACAAGTTTTCAAATTAAGAAAGAAAGAAAGATTAAAAAAACCGACAACAAACAACCATTACATGCTTACAAAGTGCATGGTTTGTCGTCAGTTTTGGGTGTAAAGGCACCGGTTCTTTTTTTGCTTGTTTTTTGTTTTTTGTTTTTTCGCGTAGCTCTGCCGCTTTTTTATCATTGGACACCCGATAAGCGTCTACAAAAGGGACTAGAACTCCCAGATCAATGTCAGTATATAGGCAACTTTGCACCCACCCCTTCCTAACCCAACAATAGTCAACTGATCACAAGTTTGGGTTAAAGCGGGTGAGGGGAAGGGTATTTGCGCAGCTCCTTAGATATAGACATTGATCGAAACTTCCAACTGGTTTGTCTAGGTTCACCAGTGTAGGCGACATTTCATGTTACGTTCAGGTTCTTAGATTCAGTAATGTGAAACGAAATGATTAATGTTTATTTCCATAGTACTGAAATCTGCGTACCTGAGGTGACTGGCGGGGAATTGACATATCTTTACCTAATCTTTGCGGTATGTTTCTTCATATTTTTTCAAATAAAAGTAATGTTAATAGAAGGCCCTGAGAAAATGGTGGAGTAGCTTGACAAAGGCTGCCAAATAATCTTAAGTAGTGCGTTGTTGCTAAGATTACTTTGAACGAACTGTAATATATAGGCTTGGGAAAGCAGCTGTTAGTTTCCACGGCCTTCTATTATATAAATTTTAAAATAATTGTCAGTGTACATTGAAGTATTAAACAAAGCCTTTCCATTGGGTAACAATGCAGTATTTTCAATGATCTTTTGAAAGTCCTATTTTTTTTTTCTTTTACAGCTGATAATCTTGCTAGTTCTGTCATTTCTTAAAACACGTAAAAGGAAGGTTAAAGTGTGCGGGGGCAAAACCATTGGTCGTCCAGGATTGTGCATGTAAGTATAAATTGTTCTTTTCCTTATAAGTTTACCTTCCCTAACAACTATATATGGGTGGAACAAGAGTACTTTGATATCTACGTTACACTAACAACAATAAAGTTGTGCGCTACTGACAATAATCTACACTATTTACAACACTATACCCAACTAACAATCTTGGTTTTACATAGAAAACTATTTAACACTGTTTAAAAATAGTTTTTGCGTTAATCTACTTAATGTACTTATTGTACAATGCACAACCTAATATCTGATACTTATCCGGATTTAAGTGGCTACGTTACTGTATAACACTTCTCAGAACAAATTACTCACAATACTACGAATAGTTACAGTGTCTTGAAAAATAGCGCTATAAACCAGAACAAAGCAAAAAAGAAACGAAATAACAAAACAGAAACAATTGTTTCTCCATTTATTCTTGTTTCTAAATAACTCATTTCCATCGTCGCTGTTGATAATATGTGCTGTGGTTCACAGTACTGTCGAAACTCTCCATAAGGTTCCCCTCGCGGACAGAGGAAAGAAGCATCTGTGAAGACTAACGCGTCATCAGAGATAATATTACGCCTTTTTCATGTTTTTTTTTTTTTTTTAATTTTTGCTTTAAAGTCTTGGACAAGTTCGGATTAATGTCAGTATCTGAGCAACTACGCACCTACCCCTCCATGAATGAACATTAACCCTAAGTTATCAGGTGACTCAGTTGCTGGCATTGATCACCAAGCTCTATCAATTCGGTGAAACATGATCAATATCGAGCGACTATTTAGGTCGTTTAACGAGCTTCAAAGGCTTTTGTTAGGGTTCAACGAATTAGGGGAGGTTCGACTGTATGAACTGGTCATTTTACCCGAGTGATGTTTATCTTAAGACGGTTTATTTTTGTTTTATTTTAGTCCGGTGAATTTAGTTGACAGTTACGAAAATAGAGTTGGCTTTGCTTGTGCGTTCGGTGCTACGACATCGAAATGCTTGGACATCTTATTCAATGGGGACTTTACTCAAATATTCACGAGGGAGGAAATTCAATATTTTGAAAAAATGCCCTCGTACACGTCAAGTAAGCAACTCTGGAAAATTGCGCTACTTAAGCCTTAGCGAAACAAAACTCGTAATCGCACAGATTAAATGTGTGCAAAAGTCCTATTCAAATGTATGGATTTTAAATTATTCAATTACAGTAGGATTTTATCCTCTACAAGCTATGGCTCAAATAGCTCCTAGCTCCCATTGAGCGTTCAAGCTAAGTTAGTTAATTATAGCGCTTTGCTGGTATCGCGGGATGGTCATGGGTTGTAACCCTATATCTTTAAGGGCTTTCCTTTTACTTCAAATGAATGATTTATTCGATTGATTCAGCAAAGATAATTGAACAATCAAAGAAAAGAACCGCAAAGAAGTAGCAGCCAGTTCAGTTATGATTATATACTTACTGGTTTTTCTTTTTTCATCCTCACGGATGCTGGTTTCTGTTTTAGTTATACTTAAACCGTGCGATGCATCTTGTTAAACTAAGGCTACTCATTTGATCAATTCAAACTTTTCACTGTAAGTTCATATTCGAGAAGTAACCATACGCTATAAATTATTTATTCAGATTGAGTTCAGTCGTGTGTACTCAGGCGCTTGTTCTAAGTAACGTTCCTCTATATGGCTGCTCTGATTAATTCTTCTATGTTAATTTGTTTTCTCTACCTTTCTTTTCCGCAGTTGTTTGGAAGATATTGGCTATGTTGTTTATTGGCGTCTCCTATTACCCTCTCTTCGCTTGTATGGCCTCTAATTGGAAGATCACGGGCTATGTCTTCGGTTTCCTATACTCCACTATGTGGTTAGTTTGACGTGTTTCCCATAATCCTTTGATTATGGGAATCACTCCAGAATCGTACATGTAGGTCATGTGAATAAAGGAAATAATCACCGACTAAAGAAGTTCTTGATTGCAAAACAAATTCTCCTTGTCAGCACCTTAGGAAATGTATAGGGAACAGTATAGAGAATATGCATACTGAAGTTTGGGTGGAAAGGAGTAAGCTTCAAACTTTCTTTTTCTTTATGATTATACATGTTTAAAATTATTAAAACTCATCTTTTGAGTGATGTCGAACGGATGGTATGACCATCGCAGTTATTGTATTTGGGTACAGTTGTGTTCAAAGGTGCAAGTGTTCGAGGGAGCTATTCGATAAAGCTTTGTTTATGTGTTAGTAAATCGGAAGTAACCTTGGTTTTCATTGTCGACGAAACTTCAGCCAGTAATCTACAAATGCTTTTAAAGGAAAGTTTTTGGAGCCGTTTCCCAGAGTGCTATCAATATGATCATAACTTTTTTGGTTCTACTTCTTTCATTTTTCAGGATTATCTTTGAGATATTAAAGCCCCTGCAGTGTCCGGTATGTAAACCTTAAAAAGGCGGCATTCTTTATGACTAAAACGGCCAATCTTAGCGAAGAAACATCACGATGAGCCAATGAGGAATGAATCATGTGTAAGCCAACTGGCATAAGTTCAAGAAACGCATTTTCATTTCTTTCGATACGTAACTGATTGAAAACCATTTTCTTTATATTTTGCCACTGTTATTTGTTTTTGCACATGGCAGATACATCCAGCTCACAGTATAAACTTTTCTCCCCTTTTTAATGACACTTGAAGGCGATATCATTCTCTCACAGTACTCTTTCCTTTGTTTTGTTGTTGCCTTGTAGGAATTTGCTGGAGTTATATTTGCTGTTGAGCTTCCCACGTATTTGTGTTTGATCTACCTTTGTGTGAAGTACTTTGTGCTATTGGTAAGAGGGATATACAGGAGATGCCGTCCAGGTGCTTCTCCAAAGGTATATTTTTCTCGCAGATGAAAAAAAAAAGGAAAAGAGATAAATCAATCTTTATGAGAACTTGATATGGAAAAAAAAGAAAGAAACAAGGACGAAAACCTGCATGCTTTTTTTTTCAAATGTTTGTTTTTTTGTTTATTAGTTATTCTTTTTTTGTTTTGTTTTGTTTTTTTTCACATTCTTTTTTTATATTTATTTTTTTTCAGGACGAAGAAAATGAGTGGATGACGTTTTACAAGTATAGATACGTCGTTAAGCTTTTAGAGCCAGTACCAAAGGAGTAGGTTGAGTTATTCTTTATTGTTAAGACTCATTTTGCTTGAGCGTGTAGAGTGTGATGACACAGACAAATTTGGGTCTTGGAGGGTAGCTACAATACATATAGTTCCACGAAGTAAATTTGGAGATTTATGGTGAAAGCGCAAACGAAGGCGAACCAAATTTGGCAGTTATTACTTAGATAATTTGTTCGACTCGAGTCCATTAAATGCACTTAAAATTTTTTCTTTTCATTTCAGATTTAGAGACAAAAGCGGGGATACTTCTTTGAAAGGAAAGCTGAAAGGAAAGTTTTACAAGTGGAGACCGGGTATGCGAATGACCAACCTTCAGGAAAACAACAACAATTACGACAACAGCAACAACAACAACAACAACAACAACAACAACAACAATCCCAAGCCAACGAGTAGGATCCCATCGCTGCAACACAATTGTGAATCCCCTCAAAAGATGAATTATTTTTTTGTTTGACTTCGTGATTTTTTTTTTTACCTCTTTTTTCAGACTTCAAGTATTCGACACGAGTCATTTGCATTTACGCTGTCAGCTTCATTGGGATATATATGGTAAGTTTATGTAGGAAGACACATGGAAAAAAAAAACTTTTTTTTCTTTTTATTCAAAGGAAAGTTTAATATTTTATAATCATTACTGGGTGAAAACGACAAGAATAAGATCAGTTCTTGCTGTTTTAGTGTCTACTGCATGGCTCAAACGCTGTTTTGCTATTTTGTTACACGTCCTTTTTTTTTTCGATCACCATACTTTATTGAATGCGGAGCAGGTGTGTGTAAGGCTTAATATTTTCTGGATTACGAGCAGTCTACGAGCAGTCTTTATCTTTTCGGTGAAGTCTGTCCGTCGTGCCATTCCTTCAACTCGTCAACCATAATTAACCTCGAGTGCTGATTTGTGTTGACATGCATCAAAGCTTGTTGACAGATCTCCGGCCATTTCTAATTATATTGCGTTGCGAGCGCAATGCATAAATCAAACTCTTTGGCTTTTTCTGCAGTCCCTACTTTTCGTGCGCCTCACTCCCTGGGTTCTGTGCGGCGCGATAACGTCAGTTTTGTTTTTGTTTTTGTTGTCACTGAGTTTTAAACTCGCCCAATGGACTTCGCCTGAAAGAAAAGGGACTGCTAATAGTCTTAGTACTTTCCTGGTGAAAACTATAGCTGTCATCTTTGATTTTTATGGCAGCAGAGGGCTGAGGAGAGAAAGAAATTTGTACGTTGGGGGACGGTTGCAAGGGAAGAGAGGGTGATGGGTGTGGCATGCTTCTGTCTACTCCTCGTTCATTAACGTACATCACAAGTAAAGTAATCACATTGCCATTGAAAAAGCAACTTTTATTTCAGATGTTGTGATTTACCATGCATTAATGATCGACCTGAGAGAAAATATTCGCATAAATGTTAAGTAATTCTCGAAACATATGCGCTTAGATAATAAATTTCAGGCCTTTTTTTATATCTTGTCTCCTTATTCAGATTCTTTTTCTCGACTGTTGGTTTGCAATGCAACTTCTTTGGTTACAGGACAGCATTGTCGAAGGTTATGTGGCTACCGTTGACACAGTCAGAGAGTGGCTGATGATTGGAGTAGGTGTGTGCAGTGATCTTCTGCTAGAGGCCGAAATGAGGGCGAATACCGATGAACACCAATGCGATTTCCCTCTTTGCCCCAATATTAAGCTACCACTTCTCTTAGCTCTTGCTCTTCAGGATTTATTACTTTTCTATCGCGTTCCTCTCTCTTGTCACAGTTAAACCGTGTAAGAGGTGTAAAAAGATTTAACACACCTGTAGAGCTCTTTCATTCTGATTCCATTACAACTTTGCCTTCCTTCATCTACATCTTACTCTCTTATCTCTCTCCCTGATTAGTGCCTCTGTTTTTTTTTTTAATCGTTGCCAGTAGTGGTAATCAATGTCTCGGCGGCTTTTAGGTCTATTTTCCTCATTTTCTTACTAGTGTTTTCTTTCTCAACAACAGTGTCCATCTTCGTAGCTGCTGGAGTGGCTGGAATTCACAGTATAATACTGGTGGCAAACATGCTGTCATGGTACAGGTGAAACACCATTATCTGTTCTTACCCATATGCGATCACTAAGTTTAAACACTATGATTTCGTTTTAAAAGAGAAATGTAATCGTTTTTCTCACGATGTGGTCACTTCGGATGTTGGAGCGTGACGTTTCGACAAACGATTGCATTTCTCTTTTGAAAGTGTTATTTACCACGACGACCAACCAAGACCAATTTTACTATGGGCGTTGTTGCTTAAAGGCTGGGACTGTCAAGGGCTTCGGATATACCCTTTTGTTTCCACTACATGTTGTTTCTATCAATATTTTGGTCAGATATTGTTATGCAGACATTTAAAGTGCATTTGCTTGAGTGAGTTGTGGATGGAATATCGAAGGCAATAATAGTGCATTTACACCTGACACAATCAATGGTTTAATCCCAACGCCCAGGAGACACCGAAGTATTTCGTCTTTTTGTTCGTAATGTGGTTCCCATTTTTTTCCCTAGAGGACATTTATTACGTCTTCAACGTGGGGAAAAGAATTTTCTACCAAAGGAAGTCTTCGACAAAAAACCTTCTGCTATCACGGTAAAGGGCAATAATTTCCTAGAAAGAGCGCGTTTGCAACAGAGCTACATTGAAACTAATCTAGTTATGCTATATACTGCAGTCTCATCTATTCCAGCGAGATTAAAAGGTGAAAAAAACGTGTGAATTACCACACTGCTACAAGCACTTGTAGTAGCTGAAACACTTTAACACTCGTGTTTCTACAAAAAAAAAGAAAATCTAGGAATATTGAAGATATTTTTAACACATTTCAAAAACGTGACAAGTTCATACATGGCTAACGAATTTAGGTCGCCGAATAAGCGTTCTTTACTTCAAATTCAAATTCCTTAAAAAAAAAATTTATGAATCTGAATGAAAGTGTACTTAGGCACCTTGATGTTGCTCTGATTTCAGGTTGCGACGCTGAAATACGCAGGCTTCCAAGTGGCTTATTTGTGTTGGGGTAGGCACCTTTTTCATAGCATATTAAACTTTCCTCAGTGTATTTTCAGCATTTGCTTCCGAATGTATAATTTCGTGAGATTGTTGATAACTAGATATTTCGAAGCATTCATCATACATCGGAGAAAATATACCTCTTAGGTGTTCTTCGCGACCAACTGCTGAAGTGCGATTACTTCCATCACCGAATTTTAAATTTTAATTTTTGATGTTATATTCTGCTAGCGCAGAAGAAAAAGCAACAGCAACAACCAAAACTTTAATTTGATGGTTGCATAGTGCAAGAAACTCGAGTTTTCGTCTCATTTCCTTCTCAAGGTGCGGCAATCACCACTATAACTGTGACCGCAATCGTTTTTGTGATTGGGCAACAACTCATTATGCCCATGGTGCGTGGAAACTTTGACACCTTTCTCTGGTTGAAGCTCCTTAATCTCTGGTAAGCTTAGTGATTATTTCACATAGTCCAGGCAAGGGCAGTAGGCGATGGAATTTTACTCTCTTTCGTTCGCATTTTGTTTTATTTATTTATGTACACACTTATTAATTTTTTTATCTATTAATCATTGATTAATATATTGAAATTGGGATAAATGTAGAACTTATGGGTAAAGGTTATATCTCTCAGTCGGTTATGTACTTGCGTCAATTAAGCTGGCCCTTAATAATTCAAAAGTTTGTACAAATTGACACTCCCTTCTAATTTGAACTGAAAGATATGATAAACACTTTACCAACTTCGTTTTCCAGATCTGTATTGTTAGTTACGGAACCTGGTTTTTCTCGCCTGGAAGTATGGCCCGCGCAATTCCCAGCTAGGCCTAAAATCCGAGCGCAAAACACAAGGTCCGTAAGTAACGGTACGGACCTCGAACTGAGTCAGTAAAAAGTATGTAAGACTTAACAGCTAGCAATAATTGTTGTCGTTCGTAAAAAAGAAGCATTTTAATTTTTCAAAGGCTTTTGATTCCCACATAAAAGTCAAGGTCGCTTTTTGCGATCAATGAATGTCACCAAAATCGGTAGCCTCGATGTTAGAGGGAGAGCAATGAAATGGGAAAAAATTTCATTTACAAGGGCTAGCCCAAAATAGCCACAAGCATTGAAAGTCAGTGGCCCAAATTCCGGATGTATATAATTACTAAAAAAATACAATTGCAACTGTAGTAAAAAGCATACCTCGCAATCTATCAGAAATAACCTATGAAGGCAACGTCACAGTTAGTCAATGATGAGAGTAACATAATAATTCTAATAATTTTCTACAAATGTGCTATTTGAGATGAGTATTTAGCTGGTAAGATATAATGGCACATTGGTCATTTCTGTAAGCTTATTGTTCCTTGACGTTTGCTGAGATGTTGTGAAGACAAATGCACTTTGCTTTCATGGTATAGACCAGGTTATTGTAAAGCACAGTGCAAATATGTTTATTATTTTGATGTTATTTTATGTTTCAGGCCCGCCGTCTTGATTTCCTTGGCGTTCTTCTTCTTCCAGATATTAATGGCCAAATATGCATTTTTAGTAGGCAAGGATACTACATTGGCCTTGGATAACAGGTAAACCAGGTTCGAGATTTAAAGTTTTGTCTTGGGAACGCTCCGTACCTCTCTTCTTATACTGAAAACGTGGGCATGAAATTTCCCTGGACTTTTTTTCTTATTCGCGTCATGATATGCTATTTTGGGAAGTACTAAGACTCCTTTCCAAAGAGAAAGGTAAGATAATAAAGATAGAGATAAGCTTGCAAAAAAGCAAGAATGATGAAGAAATGCAAATATTGCTTCCGTTTGCTTTATGAGAATTTTTTAAAATAGTCATAAATAGGAAAGTAGGCTTCGTCTCTGAAGATGCTAAGCGAGTGACGTGGCTGTTGCAATTTCTTACTAATTAACCTTTATGCTGCTTACACTCAGGCGCCTATTCCACATCTGCACCTATTTTTTATTTTTCTTCAACGTTTTTCTCGGCGTTGTATCTTGCCTCAAGCGAATTTTGATTGGTGCCCTTCTTGGCGTCTTGTTTCTTGGACGAACACAGAAGAGTCTTATATCACGGGATTGGGAGCTGAAAGATCCAGGTAACAAATAGTACTATAGTAGGTTTTGTGCACTACAGTGCTAGATTTGGGTTTTTGCTTTAATTAACTGGACAAAAATTAAGGCACTTGTGCTGGTGTCCGCCTATGAAGAGTGACTGCTTTGTTTACGTTTTGCTTGTGAAGGGTTTCAGTCTATCGAATCATTGAAAACTTGCGTGTGTATTTCTTGGCAGGATTTAATGCATACGTTGGATATCTGCTCTTGGAACACACTCATGCTAATCCAGTGCTGGTAACGTTTTGCCAACTGCTTGTCAAGACACTTAACGACAGAGCGGATCTTGAAATGTCAGAGAGCTTTGCTGAAACAAACCATATTATTAATTCTTCATCTTCAAGTAAGTCAAATTTCTTGTTCTAGTTCTGAACAACAGTACTGCTCACTTACATCACCCATATAAGCAAACACTCAACGAAGTATTAGTAGCAGCAAGTTGCAGAGACGTTGCGTTTGCTTTATTTGTTGCAAGAGTTATCTCTTGCACGCAGAGTGTAAGACTTTGATAGAAACATGCTGTTTCTTTTCCTGATGAGATCATCATTCCCATAGATCCTCAAATATTTTCGGGAACGACGTTTGAAATGTAAAGCTTTACGGCTCATATTCTTAAATCCAATCACATCCAATCACCCCCCTTCCCTAACTAGCTCATTCCTTCTTTCCCTCTGTGTTCTCCAATATGTCCTAAATTGTCATCCATATTAAGTATAGTGTCTCTTGACTTTTTTTCTAATTGAAACCAGATCCCTTAAATCGTGAAAAGAATCACATGTTACCACCCCGCAGTTTCCAATGCACTTTTATTCTCTTTGAGGTTCTTTCCTTTTTTATTTTCATGTAGACAGCTCTGATTGCATCAATTTTGTAAAAATCCAATTCATGATCATTTTGTTTCTTGCTATTTTCTTTTTCTATCGCTGATCCTGGTCGTCCTTTAATCTGCTGTGGGTCGGTTGTCAACCCTAAACTGAATTACTCTTAAATGCTCGTCCTCAGACAACCAAGTAAGTATTGAACTAAATGACAGCTCGAGCAAGAAAATGAACCGAACAGTTCGCAATCGCTGGCAGCTACTTCTTACGCTGCATAACAACCCATCGCTTAAGGAGCACAGACGATCGGAGCTCTTCGTCCAAAAGTCGCCTCTGGCAGCTTTTGGAGTTATGATAAAGAAAGGCATGATGCCGTACAGGGTTGACGAGGAAAAGGAAAAGGAGCATGAATCTGATGTTGAAGATATCAAACTGTGATTTACAGCAATGTCTCAGATCAGGTCACAAGTTATTTCAATGTTGAAAGTCCTGGTTATAAACAAACAATATGTTTCTGATTGACCCGCCTATATTCGTTCTGGTAAAGCAGAAATATGCGTATTTGGCAGAGTCCGTGTTTTTTAAAGAGACGAAAGTTCTCGTAGGGTACTTGAATGTTTGTGATCTGATTTGTTGCGAAAAAAATTTCTTCCAGAACGATTGATATATAAGAGAGTACAAAGTGCTGGATAATAGGACCACTGCACCTTAGTTCACTGGATGAACGATTGTGATAAATTTAGTAAACCTATGTAGCCGAGAGAGTTGTGATGTTAAATCATGTACAAATACCATTGCCAATATAGGGATACAGGTTTTTAAGCAATGTATATTATGACTCTATGTTTCTTTATTTATTCAAATTCTGAGAAATATTTTCAGGAATATGTGTTGAAGTTAAACCGAGTTTAAAAAATGCCGTTTCCCTCTAATGTGTGTCTAAATTCCCTTTCAGAAAGGGAATTTAGTTATCTTTTAGCAAGAGGCCTTTTTGTGTTTGCAATACTTATTTCAACTCGGCGACAAATCTCATGGTAATAAACTTTGAATGTAAAATGATGTTATTAAAGAATGGCCCATCTCAATTTCTTAATTATGGAATACTTTATTGTGTAATCAAGGAGCCTCGCTCAACTTTTCGTCGAGTCAGACCTGATCATCTTCCATTTAATTCCTTTCAAACAGTATTTCCTGTACGGTGTTTATGCTGAATGTTAACAGTAAAACAGCTTGAGCGAATACCTTTTTGGCGAACACCGAGAGAATTTCCAATTTTGTCCTTCTATCCTTACTGCTTATTGAACCTCCATTTAGCAAAGGTGTTTACCAAACGGCCACGGACTCGTAAGTTTTGCCCTTTTTAACCCAAACACGAATTAGTCCTATTAAGCGGATTTTTTCTAATAGCCTACTTTGGTTAATTGCAGTTTTTATCAGTGATTTATATGCACGGTAAGGCATTATTCTCCGCGCCTATCTGCAGTGAATGCCTAGTTAATCGGAAATGGAGCTTTTTTTCGAAAAAACTCTGCAAACTGATTGAGTTCCACAACGCTGGGTTTTTGGTTGTGAGGAAGCGAACTGAAATGGTCACCTGATTATATAAAGACATTATTAAACTTAAAGTTAACGGTGAGAACGCTGCATTTGATGACCGCAGTTTTTACTTCAGTGACAAAAGAGAGCTCCGAACTTTTAAATTTACTTCATTCTAGTTAAAAAGTGAAAGGAAGGCTCTTGATAAATGCTTTAAAAGCATAAAGGACAATATTATTCAAATGAAAATTTAGGATGGATGTATCATTTTTATATGAGCGAACAAATAGACTCAAGCGTATTAGATCCTCTTTAGTGTCTCCCTCGAAAGTTCCTCTGTTTCGTAAGTGACAAGGACAATTCAGCCCTAAACACAACAGAAACCAGCGCGGAAACGTCCTCACACCTGTCTTTTTGTTTGAATAACAATGTTCACAGCTTTCTTTGTACTTCCACAGTTGCAAGGTCGTTGTTTGCCGCACCTGAGTTACAGAGATGACACTTATCAATAGATCTTACGATTGAAAAACATTGTGGGCTGACAAGGATTTCACCTTACTATTTCCATTGTTTTGTCTTAAAGAGTGCCGAAGCGTCATTTATCGCGTTCTTCGATTCTTGGAAACTCTACGGCCTTTGTCCAACTGTAATCATTACCGTAGAGGAGACGGAAAAAATGCACAGTGATATAGAAATAGTTCTTAATGACATTGTTCCTTGCCTACTAAAACATCAGTGTTTTCCACGTCCACCAAGTATAAAATTACATTTCACTTCACAATCAATTAGAAGAGGGAATGTTTAAAGATTAGACTCTTACTGCTAAGTGACTCATCAATTTTGTAGCACCTCTGTATTAAAATGTCAGTCGCGCCTAATATACCTTAAACAAACTGATGCATTTTAGTTAAACGGTGGAGACTGAGGAATGCTCTTTCCGGAGCGATTCTATATCAGGATTTTGCTTAACCTTTTAACTCCCAAGATCTGATGAGTAATTCTCTCCTCTAGCTGGTCCACATACCCTTGTAAATTAGTCATGACAATTTGGTGTTAGATCAAGACAACAACTTCTACCTGGTAAGCTTGAATATTACTCATCATTTGTTGGCTGGAGTGTAAGGATATTATTGGGAGAAGTTTTATGTTGATTGCCTCTGGGAGTTAAAGAGTTAAGGTTATCATTAGTGACTCTTACTTTTAGATATTATAAGGAGAAGGAATGGAATCCAGCCTTAAAAAATACACTGTGCTTTTATAATTTAGCGTCGATTATTATTCTTTGTAATGATGCATATCGTATGGAAATAGCGTTCCAATGTATAGATATAATACGTTTGTGTCTATTTCTATTTTTCGTAACGAATTTAACCAACTTATGAAGACTTTAGATGTGTCCGCAGAATTTCAGTATTTTTTTTCCTTTCTTTTTTCATTTTGAGGTGTGGCCCTGCAATTGCTGTCTTTTTTAACATTGCGTCCAGGTTCTTGAATATTTTAATTTATGGTCAGATTTCACTTTACCTAAATTCTGAGCGTGACATGTGTCTTACGCGAAATTTGTTTTCTCTTCGTTGATCAAATAAAGCTGAATTATTTTGAAGAAGATTTTACAAACTGCCACAAACCCTGTCAAGTTGGACTGTCAAACAACAGTCAGTCTGTTGTAAATATCATATATCCGGCTGTTTAAATCCGAGTGGCGTATCTGACTAAATACTAAGTTTTTCTAGCTTGCAATTGGTGGAGCATGGAGAAACCAAGATATTTTGTTAATATAGCTGATTCGAAGTGTTGCGCAAATGCACCCATAAAAACGCGCTCAGAATTGCTACTAGCCACTGTGCCTTGGAATCTTCACAAAGAATCATGAGAGCTTTGGTACTTTTCCTACTCGTGGCTTTCGCCTCGTGCTTGAGTGCTAAGAACTATGTACGAGTTTGCTATCACACGAACTGGTCTCAGTATCGTCCAGGTGCTGGCAAATTCTGGCCCGAAACCATCGATCCTGAACTTTGCACTCACCTAGTGTACTCTTTTGCGAAAATCAATCGAAACACTGACAAACTGGCCATGTACGAATGGAACGATGACAAATTATACCCAAGATTCAACGCATTGAAACAAAAAAATCCCAGTCTCCGAACCCTATTGGCTGTGGGAGGATGGAATCATGAAAATCACAACAGTCCATTTTCAAAAATGGTCAAAACTGCGGCTTCAAGAAAGGTATTTTCAGACGATATTATCTCTCTTATCCAACTGTGGACTAGTTACCTGGCTTAATAGTATATTTGCCTATGCCATCGGTTTAGGTCAGACAGTAATAATGCAGTCTCAGAATATAAAGAGATTACCAGTTATTTATCACTATTATTGAAAGGCTATTATAAATTTAATCATTCCGTTTTTATCAACACTTAGTATGATGGCTTACATTCGTGCTATTTGATTCCTCAGGAGGCAATAAACCCAATTAATTTATCTTTACTCTCGACATGTGGTTTCGTACCTCGGTTGCACGCAGCGTCCAACGCCCAATGTGCATTTGGGAGGCACGTCCCCTTCTAAGCCTCTTCTAGTTATGTCTGCTTGTTTTTTTCCTTTAAATTTTGTTTTTGGTTCAATTGGTTTTGTTTGCGATGAAGGAAATTCGAATGTTACTGTAACATTTCAAGAACAGTTTTTTTCGCTACTCACAGTTTTAATGCCTTGGTGGCCTCGTATGTTTTCGCCTGCCACTAATGCAAATTGCCTTGATCGGCCTAAATTCCACAGTTGTTATATTCCGAGAAAAAGAGTAAATATTTTTAAAAGGAATAATAAGAAAAAAAAATCAGTCGGTGGGACATGACGTAGAAGACCCAGAGGAAAGTCAGAGAACTTGAGAGTAGTAAATACTGACTAATAAAATGACAATTTTTTCTTTACGTTCCAGGTGTTTATAGACTCTGCAATTGAGATGTTAAGAAAATGGGATTTTGATGGTCTCGATCTCGATTGGGAATATCCTGCCACTCGGGGAGGTTCACCGCCTGAGGATAAGCAGAGGTTTACAGTACTCTGCCAGGAATTATTGAATGCATTCAAAGCTGAAGCAGCCGAAACGGGAAGACCTCGCCTGTTGCTGACTGCTGCCGTTGCAGCTGGTTATAAGACCATCGACAAAGCGTATGAAGTGGCCAAACTTGGCCCTCTTCTGGACATCCTCAACCTCATGACCTATGATCTGCACGGCAACTGGGACAAAGTAACCGGACATCATACGGCTATGGTAGGGGATGACAAACTGACCGTGCCGTATGCTGTTCAGTACTGGATTGACAAAGGATTTCCAGCCAGTAAGATCGCTCTTGGCCTTGCTACGTATGGAAGAGCATTTGCACTGAAAGACCCAAGCAATAATGGTCTTGGCGCTCCTAAGCATGATTGGCAGAAACCCCACAAAGGTCAATTTACCCGTGAGGCAGGCTTTCTGGCATACTACGAGATCTGTAAGCTTGGCCTGACCGTTGTCAATAATAATGCTGTCATGGCGCCATATGGACACAAAGGCACCATCTGGGTTGGTTTTGATGACAAGTACAGTTTGCAGTACAAGGTGGAGGAGTTAATCAAGAAAAAGGGTCTGATGGGAGCGATGTTTTGGGCTCTCGACTTGGACGATTTCAGTGGCTCCCAATGTGGCGATGGCCCATATCCCTTGATGAACGCCGTCAAGAAGTACTTGGGTGGTTATACACCACCGCCACGTCCCACCGAGCTCACCCCGCCTCCTCAAACTCAACCTCCTCAACTCCAAGTGCCAACCGACGGACCAGGACCTGCTACCCCGATGCCGCCAACCGAAAAGCCAAGACCTCCTTCTGGGGATTGCGTCGCTATTCCACCTTATGACCAGTCTCCAGGACAGGATGCATGGTGCAAAGCTAACTGTGCTGTGGGATACTGTCCTTCATCACACTGCAAATGTGATTAAATGGGGAGCACGATTGCATAAAGAAGTGAGAAATGTAATAGATTAAAATAAGAATGAATAAAACTACTTGGCATGAACAGATGCGTATCTTGATTCTCACCCTCCCCCCACCCCCCTAAACTACTACAAGGAAAAATGGAAAGACAAGCCGTCTGGTTTCGATTATTAGTGGCCATAGCCAATTGTGGAACTTTTCGAAAAAATTGGGCCAAAACTAAGAGCTAAGGGAACTAGTTTTTTTTTCTCTGCATACTGAATCAAAATACAAATTTTTGCCTGGATTCTTATTTGATCAACCTATTAGGAAAATTTTAGATGTTAAGATGCTAACTCAAATGACGTTAGCCCTTTCTCTATGACGAAGGGCTTACCTCACTTCATTGAATGCTTCTCTCTCACAAATAATGTTTTACTCTTCCACAGAGAAACTAGAAAAAATTTTCGCTCATTTTCATCACAAGGGCCCTTACTCTTTATAGTGATGAGAGCGACTTCGCTCATAGCCTCGTTCTAGTGCCGTAATTTCGGAACCAGATCACTTAACCGCGAGAACTCGGAAGTGGTCTCTTCAACCTTTGTTAGTTGACTCAGGTTCTCTTCCACAAACCTTTTATGTAGCGCGATATTCATTTTACCGCGGCGACAACTTCCATAGCGAGAACCTTGGAATGAGAGGGAACATTTTTTAAAAAGTCTGCTCTTCATCCCTCGGAAATAGGAACTATTGTTTATTCAAAGACCTTCGCTCGACCGTTTTGTATATTTTTCTTAATTTCTGTACAAGATACATGTTGGATCCTAAAATTAAAGTGGAAACTTACTGGAGTGATACCCAAATTTAGAAGACCTCATAAAGGGGCTAGGTCACGCATGACTCGCACATACGCGCACATTTCAGAAGAATGGAGAAAATAATGGTACCAACAGGCCGCTGATACCCATCGCCGTCGAGTCTCCAACAATCGTTTAAATCATAGGATTTTTCCAACTTAAAATGTCTAAGATATGATTCAAATCCAGGATTCATGTAAGGTGTCGTTTAGGAGTGAGTATTTTCCCGATACGTCGACTGTGCAATTCTTATGTGTCTCCGAGTGTTCGTCTAGTTATGGAACCACGAGGGAGAATTTCACCCGGTCAGTTCAGCGGGGTTTTTCTTTCGTGGAACAAAGGGAGTCCGACGATTGTTATTTAAGGAAAAACTGTGCAGGGAGGGAAGCTTTTTTTTCTACTAATTTTAGGATAAATTAATTGGCGAGTCGTCGGAATCTTTTTCTTCCGTTTGATACATAGCTCGCATCATTAGCGGCGAGTTCCTGCAAATTGTTTTTTTCTGTTTTGTTTTGTTTTTTTTTCATCTGCCCAATTCTCCACTTTCCTAAAGTTAAACCATCGATTCGGTCATTTCATTTCTCGTTGGTTTGTTTTGGTTATATAAGATGAAAATTTCCCCTCTACTAATAAAGCGATATATTTGACTTATTCGCCTACGTAGTATCATCTTTTTTTAACAGAATCCAGGATTCAGCCTTTTCGGCGGCATCGAACTCTTGAGGTAGCTCTCTTGTTCAAGATTTGTTGTTTTGAGCGATGGAGTTTCGAATGTAGAATTTTTTTAAGGATCACTATGAATAAAGCGACTTACCTGGAAAGCTGTTATGATTGTGTTCTGTCAATTTGCCAAGAAAGCGCGTGAGAGCGTGTTATATTCTTATCGTGCCCTTGACAAGTAGAAAATAACCTTCAGATAATGTGCTCGTCAAGAGGGAAAGCCCTAAAATGTATTGGAATTTATTGAAACTCACACGAAACGAAAGAGAGAAAATGGTCCACATATTGAGTAGTAATTACTTCGCATCGTTGTCAACAATACGTGACTAAAACACCTTGCGATGGTTCCATTTTGCAACGAAGCGCTCTATTTCTTTTCGATTGTTATTGGGAACAATAGCGATTTTATGCCTATAAGTGTCAATCAGGGATTACTCAGGGCGCAAGCTCAAAGCGTGACCTATTCCCTTTCAGCGGAGACGGGGGAAATTCCCAATTTTGTCTTTGATCCCATCTTTACGGTGAACCGAGCTTGCATTTAGCAGAAAGGTCTATGAAACGGCCGCGATCGCAAGAGTTGAGTAACACAATTACAGGACCTAATCAAACATGAAAAACCAAAACAATTCCTCTTCTTTCTTTTTATGCCTTTCTTTTCGTTATCTGGCTTGTATGTATCACATTTAAGCTGAAAGCAAATAAAGCGACTTTTTGTCTTCTTTTAACAAAGGTTATTTCAGAAAAACAATGTCCATTCACTGAATCAATAACCCCGAATTACTGAGTTGTTAGCAAGGGTGTTTACTTTGGGGCAAATGGCTCCTTTCATTGCTCGCGTTGTTCCTACATCAAACAACACCTGCCTCAGTTACGCGTTTCTACCAGCCGCTAAGGTTATAACCTATTCATACGTAAAAACTGTGCATTTGTAATTCTCAGGCTGAATAATCTAATTTTCTGACGATTTAAGGCTAAAACATATTTTGTTCTCGCTCGTAGTTATTGTTGCATTTCAATTACTTAGTTCACATACAGTAATTTCAAAACCCCTGATTACGGATATCCAGTTGATAGATATGTTTAGTTATGGCGGAATGTTCAGTACGACAGCTTTTGTTTAACTTTTTTTGTTTTGTTTTTTTAATCTTAGAGATCTTTTATGTCATTCTGTTTTGTCTTGGTTTATTCATTTGCATACCGCTGAATCTCTCTGATTTTTACGAGTTATCGTGTTGCCCTACCAGAGAACTTGCCACGATTACTATTATAAGTTCACTTATCTTTATATTGTTTTGACTTAATGAACTTACAGCACATACCGTTCAAAAGCACATTAAAAGGTGGAAGAAGCTATTTGTTGTCATTTGAGAACGCACAAACCTGAAAAAAAATCAATTTATCCCCAAGAAGTTGCAAACACAAGAAATTAAAAATTGATTTACTCTTTGATCCCCGAGGAGAAAGAGCACAACTGTGAAAGCTGGATTTCTCTCGATACATTTTTTCCAGGCACGTGAGCGTGCGTCGAGAAAATTACGCACGTTGATATGTGTGTAGATGCATCCGTTGACTACACGTTATTTTATTTACAATTTCAACTTTTTTGAGGCGTTTCGCCGCATTGCGAGAGTGCAAAGAAAAGTTGAACAGCCCAAAACTTTTAAAACCTGTGGTATTCATATTTACGCTGTTTTAAAAATTCGGAATTGTTACGTGACTGGAAGTCCACCTCGCTGCATATAGCCGCAAAATGGTCATTTAATCTTAACCCACAATGTTTTGGCCAATCAACTAACTCGCGTTTAGTGTTTTGGATGAGCGTATACGCCAAATGATATGGACAAACCGTTGATAAGAAGACTTTGTATGACTAAGTTGGAGTCCGTATTACTGTGACTTAAAATATCGTAATAAAAAATGGCTGCAATTTCAAACTAAAAACTCATGAAAAGAGTGATATAAAGAAATTAACATTGAGTTAAGTTAAATTCAGTAGTTTTAAAAATACAGCTTTGCCAACAAGAGCCTGCAATAACACTTTGTCAACAATAGGTAGTGTGATACGATCGGCCCACGGGCCGCGTATTTAAACAGCTTTAACACCCTACACAAAGAACTGTACCATGGTGCAATTTGCCTTTCAGGTTACGGCTTGTATCACTCGCTAAGTAATCATCCAGTTTAACCATGATTTAAGGCTTGAACTGCCATCAACACCTTTGGTTCATGCTGACCAAACACGTAGCCGTCAGTTTATCTCTGATTGGCTTAAGAAAGTAAAGTAAGTTTGAGCTACAAGCATGAAAGGCTTACTCAGCTGCTTAGAAACTTAAAAGCCAGATACCTATAAAGTACGGGACCGGACCATTTCCCTTACATTACAACGGTTTCTGTTCTACGGTATTTGTTCTCTGAGTCATGCGATCTTTCGTTCCTTTTCTGTTTGTGGCGATTGCCTCATACACTAGCGCTAATAACTATGTACGAGTGTGCTATCACACAAACTGGTCTCAATACCGTCCAGGTATTGGAAAGTTCTTTCCTGAAAACATTGATCCTTTTCTGTGTACCCATCTAATGTACGCGTTTGCAAAAATCGATCGAAACACCAACAAACTGGCCATGTTCGAGTGGAATGATGACCAGTTATACCCCAGGTTCAACGCCTTAAAGAATAAAAACCCTGAGCTGCGAACGTTGCTAGCAGTAGGAGGATGGAACCACGAGAACTTTGACAGTCCATTTTCAAAAATGGTTAAAACTCATGCTACTAGAAAGGTATCGATAATGAATACAATTATTTTATCTTAATGGTTCCCTTGTATTTCATCCAACTTAAACTGTTTTCACAAACTTTAATGATTAAAATCTGCTATGGATTAAGGAACGATTAAGTGATCCTCTTCAGGAGAAAATGCATTCAAAGTTATTAACGCCGTTAAGACAATGCACATAATCGAGAATGTATAAAAAGCTTTTCCCACTGCTTTGAAAGAAAGCATCAATGATAATGATGAAAATTATAAAAAAAAATAAACAAACAAACAAAAAGATCAATTTAAAAATAAGTTCAAAACTTTTTTTTATTGATGACGTTGGTTGCTGTTCAATATCAATATTGCTGTTGAATATTATGGGAATTCATTAAATCAAATACAGAAGAATGAAAACTCCAAGCGGATGACAGTTCATCAGCATCATACTGCCACAAATTGTATATCTCTTATTATGCTCAGCAAAATTTGTATTTAACCAACCAATTTTTATTTTTATTTTTTTTTTTTGGAGAATTTTTTTTTTCATATTGACAATAACAGAGAACAATATGTTTCGATCAAGCCGGGCTCAGTTCGAGTATTTCCATCTCTTCTTGTCAGATATGTTTCCTGTCATAAGAAAACGAAAATTCAGAATAGCTTACTGACAGAATTTTTCACTTTATCGTGGTACTTCAGGTATTTATCGACTCCGCCATTACGACACTTCGAGCGTGGGGTTTTGACGGTCTCGACCTGGATTGGGAATATCCTGCCTCTCGGGGAGGTTCACCGCCTGAGGATAAGCAGAGGTTTACAGTACTCTGCCGGGAATTATTGAATGCATTCAAAGCTGAAGCAGCTGAAACGGGGAAACCTCGCCTGCTGCTGACTGCCGCTGTTGCAGCTGGCTATAAGACCATCGACAAAGCGTATGAAGTGGCCAAACTTGGCCCTCTTCTGGACATCCTCAATCTCATGACTTACGATCTACACGGGAACTGGGACTCAGTAACGGGACATCATACTGCCATGGCGGGGGATGACAAAATGACTGTTCCGTTTGCGGTCCAGTACTGGATTGACAAAGGATTTCCAGCAAACAAGATTGCTCTTGGACTTGCTCCGTATGGAAGAGCATTTGCACTGAAAGACCCAAGCAATAATGGCCTTGGCGCTCCTAAGCATGGTTGGCAGAAACCCCACGAAGGACCATATACCCGCGAAGCTGGCTTTCTGGCTTACTACGAAATCTGTAAACTTGGTTTGAACATTGTCAACGATAATAAAGTTAAGGCACCTTACGGCTACAAACATACAATCTGGGTGGGTTTCGACAACAAGGACAGCCTGCACCTCAAGGTGAACAAGCTGATAATGAAAAAGGGTCTGAAAGGAGCGATGTTTTGGGCTCTCGACTTGGACGATTTTAGAGGATCCCAATGTGGGGAGGGCCCATATCCCTTGATTAACGCTGTGAAGAAGTATCTAGGTGGCTCAGTGCCTCCTCCTCGTCCCACTGATGTAATACCGGCACCTACTACAAAAAAGCCAATGCCACCAACCGAAGGACCGGAGCCACCAACCGACGGACCACAGCCAACTACAATCACCGACCGACCGGTTCCTACTACTGAAAAGCCCACTGCTTCTCCTAGTGGTTGCGTGGCAGTCCCACCTTATGACACAGCACCAGGTATGGTCGCATGGTGCGTAGCAAATTGTGCGGCTGGATACTGCCCGGCTTCTCACTGTAAATGCAATTAAATCTACAATTAATAAAACAAAGATGAAATAAAAAGCATCGGCGATAAATAACGTCCGCATTCATTATTTTCCTCTGGGAGGTTCTAATGACAGAGGAGTGCTTCCTAATGGTTTTTGCTGACATGATTGCGAGGCTGATCCCGACCTTTGACCTCCTTGGGTGGCGAAATCCATATAACCTGCAATACGTGCGCATTTTTGAGCGGAAATTTGGCTTATTTCTAACGAGTTGTCATGTTAGAACCTAGCTTTTTTGTCAACTCTCTCCAAAAACAAGACACAATTCTTTCAAGATTGCCATAAACGAAAGGTTTATAATCTCTCGAAAAAATGCAAAGCAAGAAATTCAAAGGAGTTAGCGAACGTGCAAGTCCTTTTTTTTTTTTTCCAACGTTAACTTCCTATGAGAATCTTCGCGATATATTTCGAACTACTGCTCTTTATCTCGTCGGAGCTGATAATTTATTCAACTCTTTCACTATCTGTAGACGACCAAGCATTTGACGGGTCATCGGTTGGAATGAAGAACACGATAGCTTCCTTGTAGGCTTTCTTTTTCAGTTGCTCGTTCAAACTAGTATTAATTACGCTTGTCCAATACTCTTTCTCTCGTAACACTGTTTTTAGCCACGTTGTTCGCTGGGGTTAAAATGATAGATGGCTTTCTCGCACACCGTGAGGATTGACCACTAGTTTCTCAGATATGCACCAAACAACGGATTTAAGGTTAATCTCTTCTCAGTTAAGAAGAACAGCCGAACACAAGCCTTAAAACCCTCGTCATCTATAATCTTGGGTTCTTGCCTCACCACAACATATCACTGCGGACGCTTCCATTGTAAATAAGAGGAAAATCACAGCTTTTGCAAGATATTATCGTTAGTAAACATGCGTACACTTTTTTCTTTTTCGATATACGTTTAACCCAACCTGGTAGAATTAGGGAAAAGATTGGAATGAAGTGAAAATATTTAAATAAACAAATAGACGAATAGATAAATAGACGAGGAATCTAAACACATGCAAACTGGAACAATAACTCTAACAGGATATCATCAAGCGTCAATTACTATTTTTGAAGCATCGAGGCAATGCTTGTTTCTTCTGAGGTCTTGAAACGGAACGGGCAGTAGCATATAATTCGAAGATGAATTTGTACCATATGGATATGATTAGGACGACATTGTTTCACTCGGACCTTAAGTGATTAAGACGGTATTAATCACTCTCTTCCGCCACATCTATCATCACATGACAGTGATTGGCAATATTATGTTGCCATTGAGCAGTACATAACAACTTATACCTCTCGCGCTCCTCTGATGTCTCCATACTTCCAACGTTGTCATTATCACCATGCGTAGAAGTATTTCCTGCCCAATAGGTCCCGTAAGAACCATGAAAGATGCATATGCACCGGGTGCAATAGCGCTAAGCTTTTCGCCAGGAAGGTGGGATGTTTTCACCGTGCATAGTACTTCGCTTTAATGAAAGTATAGAAAGTTTTCGTACCTTACGTTGGCTATCAACATTTTGTAAACCTTTTCTGCAGGCATTCCCCTGTAATCATTGTGCTGTTACTTTTTTCAAATGGAATACTCGTGTTCACGGTGAGTAGCCTTCTTTTGACACTTCTGATTTATTGTACCTGCAGAATACTACGGCAAAATTTAGATTTTTGAGGAACCTGAGGAGAAAGTCTTTGTAAAAAATCATTTGCATTAATTTTCAGCAAATATTTAAAAAGACCAGATTAAACTCATGTTTACAAAGCGAGCTTTCATAGAAGAAAAATAAGCTTGCCCGGATTAATAGGTAACTGTGGGACTAATTTCAAATACTATAAATGCCTGTGATTCCGGTAGAAAGGACACCATACGATGAGATGAAATGTAATCAGAGATTATTTACCCAAACAAGTGGTTTGTATCATCTTTTGCTCAAATCAGAATTATGACAAGTAATTCATGGACGCTAATAATAATTTGTCGAGCTGTATTAGTTAAGTACACAGTCACACATTGTTAACATAATATTATTGTTAAAATCTTTATAAGATAATGGGCGAAGGAACACAGAAAGAGACGTGAGTTGGGAGGGGAGGGGATGCAGCGAGGGATGCCTTACAATGCTATGTATATAGATAGAAGTGTCCAAATCGAAAAAGTCTACTTTCAAATCTCCCCATAAAGCTCTGAGAATTTCGCTACATATGATTTCTTTCCAACAAGCCTGGGTGCTCACTTTAAAATGCACATATTTTTTTCTTTCAATTTTTTAGGACAGTTTTGAACATTGCTTTCCTGATGTTCTCATATTCCCCACACCCACCCAGCTTGGTTCACCCTAAGGGTTGGATATTTGGCCATATTTGCGTGACCTTGGATTGTCTGCCGGCGAGTGCCCCGCCGTTTCACCACTCTATCGCCAATCAAGCATTCCACATTCGTCTTGTTTCTATATTAGGAAGCTAAGCAACATCATAGCGTAACTCTAGCACTACTGAGCTTGCTCTTGAGTATTATTCGATCTTGATCTCAGGACATCTTCTTGTCAGTTGATGAACACGCAACTCTAATTTACGCAAGTGCGCGACACTGGCTCTCATGATTAGTTGATTAAAACCGCAAATGTTTTTAAAATCACCTGCTGTAAATGATCCGGAAATCTATTGAGGCAGATGATGTCATTAGATCGCAACTCACGAACTGCAGATTTTCATATACGGTGTGCATGGTCTTTGCAGAAGACTGAGTCATATATCGAGCCTAACCACTACCACAGGAATTGCATCGTCTCTATCTTAGTGACAAAAAGACTTACCACACAGGAAAAGCTCTCGAGACATTCCTAAAAATCCTGTCATAGGATCAGTAAAAGTTATGAAAAGAAGAGTCTCTTTTACTGTGATATGACCGCAAGCAGAGAAATGTGCGTTTGTCCTTGCCCTTTCAAAATGAGCCTCGAGTACCTCTCAAAATCTGATCCCTAACTCTTACTGATTTAATTCTAACAAAACACTTGGCTATCTGATTCACGTCGGGGAATTCCCTCATTTACAGTCATGATGACAGCATCGATGTCATTTATAAAGTAACAGATATGAGGAAAATGTGTCTCGCCCACATTCCTTACGGATGTCTGGACCGTTTAGCCTAGTGTCCTCTTTCATCTACGTATAAAAAGACGAGGGAAAGACTTTCAATTAGCAGCCATACAAATAATTTGAAGCATGCGATAACGCCACTGACTTAATCCGATTTTAACTGTCATCATCCTAAGCAGAAATCACACAAAAGGAAAGACGGCTTGCGTTTTAAAGACATTGCAAACCAGATTTACGCTATATTTGTTTACGTGTGTGACAAATTTTAGATTTTGGGGGACAAGAAGTTTACTATGAGGGTCTAAGCATCAACCTAACTCCAAGCTGCTCGGAAGAGTGTAAACTGTGCTTACGGCCAGTGTTCTCGTACATAAGTAACCCAGTTAAGAATTACCAGACTGGGCCGGGATTGAGGTGGCTTTGATCTCTTTCCGGAATACCTAGAGGTAGATCACGTTTAAACAAAATTAAGGCATGTCATGCTGTTTTTAAAAACATTTTATCTCGCTTAAAATGTTCAGGGGGCTGATACGGAGAACCGTCTGCGTAACGCTGACAGCCGGGAATTTCAAAATACGGCAGACGGCGAGGAGTTTTATGAACCATTTTACGAATGGTCCGTGTGGAGTCCATGCTCTCGCACCTGTGGGGTTGGCGTAAAGTTTCGAGGACAGCTATGCCTCAGGTAAAAAAATACTCCGATTTTCTCTTGCCAATGTGTATTGCTGTGTGACTGCAGTGATTCGCCGCGACTGCAATAATTCGCCGCTTTGATTTCGCAACACGTTCTCTTTTCCCAAATTAATCCAAATATCTCATTCCATTCTCGATTAGACGGTCTTATTTCACATGAAAGCGTTAGCTTAGAGGTGACTTAATGTTTTTGCTCAACAGTCATTTTTCTCACTACATTTTGCAATAAACAGGAAGAACAAGGCTTTGTGTCAAAAGAAATCCAGGATTTATCAAACATGTAATACCCAGGTACGTCCCAAAATCCTCTATTCATGAATACAGCTATGCTATACCGTTAAATCGTCAATGCAAACTGTTCAGGCAAACAGCCTGATTAGTCGAAGGACCGGCAGATACTTACAGACAAAGTCTAAGTAACTGATATACAACAAGCAAAGACAGAAAATACATGGAAAATTTAGATTGCTGCTTAATGTGCTGATGTGCTGAAGAAAATACATGACGCCACATTATTCATCCCACAGCCTTGCCCCAAAGAAAGCGAGAATTTCCGTGATGTACAGTGTGCATCGTACAACGGAAGAGATATATTTATCAATGGTGAAAGAGCAAAATGGAAGTCATATAGTCGAGGTAATTGTCATAAATGTAATAATCGATCAACCTTTTAAAGGTAGTTTTTTTTTTTGTAAACTCCCTGAAGTATGTCGAATAATTAAACATTATGATACTATGTTGTTTGGCATATCGAGGATGTCTCAAAAGTAGGAAATATCATAACTTGCCTTTTTGAACATTATTTCTTCGCATACTTCTAGGTGGCAACCAATGTTTATTATTCTGCTATCCTTATGGAGAAGAATTATTTTATTACTTTGGAAAAGCCCGAGATGGGACACAGTGTTCCAAAGAACCCTACGGTGTCTGTGTACGTGGACGGTGCAAAGTAAGAATGAAACTATTATACTCACATCTAATGCAAAATAAGAACTCGGGTATTCTTTTTTAGTTAAGACTTACTTTATGGTTGGGCTGCTAAGATAAATATTAAACAAGAATGACGAAAAGTGATGACGGTATAGTTGTCAGTCAATCCGTCGTTTTTGTTGCTGTTGTTGTTGCTGCTGTTTTCATCCCATTTTTATTAATATATTTTATTGCCGTTTATTTACCTTTAATCTATTTCAGTCCGTTGGATGCGACTACAAACTCGACTCGGGAGTGTATATGGACAAATGTCGAGTTTGTGGTGGAAATTCTACGACGTGTCAGCCAATGAGAGGAAGAATTCAGAGGTCTCCAACACTTTTTGAACGAATCTCAGGTAACTTGTGAGAGTTAATTGCAATGTTCTGAAATCATAATTACTCGATGAATTCTTCACTTATCAACTTCAGTTTATCATTCTGATTCACACGCAATGGCAGCTCTTCAGCAAGGCTAGATTATTTCTTATCGATTTATTTTAGGAGAGATTGGGGTGTGGGTAGAAGGGTTTAAACCTGCACATAAAATAGAATCCAGGGGAGTAACTTTTTCATACTGAGAGAATTGAAATCACATCAGCCCTAGGACCCTCATAGATACAAAATGTAAGGCAAATTTTTTTGTAAACACAGAAGGTGAAATGAATATTGTAAAATTGTATTGCTTTTTTTCCTCAAATGAAGTTTTCAATATGATCTATGATTGAAATCCAACAGGCTACGCAGATTTGATGGTGATACCTAAGGGGGCAACGAGTGTTCTGATCACAGATAATACGTGGAACTACCTAGGTAAATCGATTACACTCAACAATGATTTCATAATCTGCCGGAATCATTGACTGAATAACTGCGACTGACTGATTCTCACTAACTCAATGAGTCTGACTCCCACAGACTGACTGACTCTCTGATTAATGTCTTTGATCTGACGAGGAGCTAACGCTCCAAACGTCAGCTTTGAAACTCTATACGGTGGCCAATTTACATTATTAATTCAGTAAATAAAACCAAAACTGTCTCGTCATACTCCCCTACCAACGCACGCAGCCCCACAGTTTCTTTATTCATTTAACTCTCTGTCTTACTCACTCACTTACTGTCCTGCTGAGTCATCGCCAGGTCATCGACCTCATAACTGACCGACTGATTTATCAACTGACTGATAGGTTGGAAAACTTGTACTTCGATAGAGTTAGCAGGCAAAATTTGACATTCTCTCTCTCTCTCTCTTTTTTTTTCTTTTTTTCTGTATCTTTGTTTATGCTATCAACCACTTTGTGTTTATCGTTTTGGACAACCTCAGCTCTCAAAAAACAAAATGGTAACTATGTTATCAATGGTAATCGCATCGTCAATTGGTCTGGCATATTCAAAGTTGGTGATGTCGAAGTGCAGTACGATAGAATCTCCAACAACATTAGAGAGACGATTGAGATAACTGGGCCCACAAAAGAAGACATTACTGTAATGGTGAGCATGAAAAAATTTTTGTTTTCCCTAAGTAAGCACATTATACGATTGAAGCCTTGCAAAGTATCCTTTTTTGTTATTTACTCAAGCTTTCTCTTAGGTATTTACCCTGATGTTTAAGATCCTTTAAACATACTGTTTAGAAGATCTAAGGAGATCTGCTCAGAGATTGCTTAAGATTGTAGTAATAATAATAATAATAATAATAAAACGTTAGGCACTTACGAAGGTGATACTTTGGCAAAGTCACATGCCTATTTGGTAAAACAATAAAACTATTTAAAAATGCTTAATTTTTAATTACAAATTTTAAATTATATTTTTAATTATTTGTATTTCCTTCATTGAGCTTGTTACAACTTATCATTTCAATAGAATGCTTAGCATAGGTTTTCGGTATTTTTGCATTAGCTGGACTTTATAAAAATTGTAGCGACTAACATATCATTACAAATCCGCAGTGTCTATTAATGGCGGGTAAGGTTAATATGAGCTTTGAGTACTGGAGAGCAGGTGGAGTTTACGCCGTTGGAGGTATGTGTTATTAGTCATTAGTAGCTCATAAATAGGGATATGACCACTATTTGACATTTTTTAACCTTCATTCTACGACTAATCGACCTTTCCCTTGACCTCTAGCTTAATTGCTTTTACGTGACAGTTGCTGTATGTTCACATGGCTCCCTGCGCTCATAACAATGTTATCAGCGTCGTTTTGTTGTCAGCTACAGGGTTTTATCCTCAGTGTTTCCTAGGCTGATACACCCTTTAATCGTGCTCCTTTCAGAAACACCGCAAGTTGGGAAGGAAAACCGCTTAACCTTACAAATGGGCTGGGGAAGCTGGACTACCTGTTCCGCTTCCTGCGGAGGAGGAATCAAAGTACGTTCACGATACCGCGCTATAGAGGCAGTTGCATCATTCCGTGACAAGGAGACTGATGTCCAGAGATGCAACACTGAACCGTGTCATATGATGAAAGCCGCCTGGTCAGAGTGGGGTGATTGGGATGACTGCAGTGCTACTTGTGGAGGAGGAGCCAGGATCAGGTTTCGAAACTGCAAGAAGCCCAGCGCCTCTTCCAGATCTGGATGCCCTGGAAAACCTTATGCTGTGGAACAGTGCAACGCAGAGGAGTGTCCTAAAAAGGGTGGGTTTTGGATTCCATTTAACTTAAATAGGAGGATACATTTCCTAGTTCAAAAGGGGAATAGTGGCCTTTCCGTTGTGGTTTTGCTCTAAGTATTTTCCTTTTCATTTCGGCAGTATCAAAAAAATTAAAGCAGAAGCTCTCTACCTCATCAAAGTCTTACTGGGAATAGTATGTGGACAAATTTGTAGCCTCAGCGTGGCGTTTTGTTTAAGCAACAACGCTGATTTTCCCGATTATAAGCAAACAGTGAAAACAATCACAGTCAACTGCAATACATAAACGGCAATGAATAAATCAATATTTGTTTCCAGTGTTTCAGAATTGAGATGCTTTTATTTTTATGCCTTTCTTCTTTCCTGAACAGAAACAAGGCCAGGTACGTCAAAAGTGCTAAAACACAGTTCATCGTCGATGGTGACCACATCCTCGAATCTGCACTCAAGGGAGTCTTCAGAAGGAAGGAAGAAACTAACAGAGTCGTTAAGAAGGCCACACGCCTCTAGATTAAGCTCGGCTTCTCAATATCATGAACGTCATAAAACTTACACAGAGAAATTATCACAGGATATACTGCAGACTGTATTTTCAAGAGGAAAGCAGGGGCATTCTATTTCTTATACTATGAATACATTACCAACTTCAAGGTCAAGACTTCTTTTTTCATCAGAAAACCGGACCTCGACTGGTTACATTATTGGATTTCCCACAAGAAGTCTGAAGGAGACTTCTACCTTATCGAGTAAATTCGTGCGTCTGCAAGTTACATCATTTTATCACAAACATACATCGTCCGTGTCCCTAGCGAAAGAGAAACCAGAGTTGCTTACTTCGCCTATAAGGAAAGGTACGCATACCAAAATCTTTTTACACAGTTCCTCAACGCCATTACTTGATGTTGGGGGAGGCTTAAGTGTATTTTCTACAGGCACCTCAGTTCCAGCAAGTTATGAAATTGTTAGGCCGTCTGTGGGTTTTATGACCACTTCCAAGGCGTCTAATTTGCGAACAACTTCCATAGGGTTGAAAGTCTCATTACACAGTGGTGTTACACCTCGTCCGAGGGAAGTCAATAATCCCACTATTTCCTTTGGATATGAAAGGATATCAAGTCAAGTTGACAGGAATTCTGTTTTGGCTTCATTCAGTAAAGAGACTATTGAGCAACCAGTATCGATATATAGTAGGCAGGAATTGGTATCCAGCTCAAAATTGAGTAGAGCTGAAAGGACTTCATCACACCAATACCCTGTTGACGTAATGGGACTCAAAAGCCGCGAAAGAAAACATCACTTAGTAACCTTATCATCGGCAAGTGGATTCCGCACTGAGCCATCTATACTTTTAACCACGCCATTAAAGAGAGTTCCATCAAGTTCCAGGGAGACATTGAACTCATCTATGATAGACATAAGAAGGATTGAACTGCGCCTAGAAGGTTATAGTGATATCACTTTGCAAAGTCGTAAGAAAACAATTCTCTTAACAAAGAATTTCAGTGCTAGCCATGATTCCCTACCTTTTGAGATAACAGAAACACTTAGACCTGGTTCGTCATCAACCATGAATGTTTTACCTTCTAGGCCAACAAGCTCTAAAGTAATGCACGCAACAAGCGTGCTTGAATTATCAGAAAACACTACTTTAAGTCAAATCTTGAAAATAAGATCAGAATCTAAATCGGTTTCCTCGACTCTCCATCTGTTGTTTCCCCCATGGCAAACCTTAACAGACTACCTCTTCCTACATGGATCATCGAAACCAATACCTCAGACGTCAAAGCTGATGTCATCTCAAATAACTGATTCAAGAAAGATGGACGCATCTTACAACATGTCCAAACTTCATTTTCTCCCTCTTAGAAGCTCCCCCGTTAGCATCGCAACCTCGTCTCAAACGTTTGCGAGGACTTCATTGTTAAAGCCACAATTTCAATCAACATTTTCAATTGAAAAGAACATGGAATACAAGTCAGCGTTTTCTATATCTGGTATCTATGAATCCCCAATCGTCACTAGAAAGAATTCTGATGATTTTGCCTCATCAACATCGTCATCATTATTCTCACTGTCATACATGAAGTTAAGTCAACCACTAAAAAGAAATCCAATGACCGATTCACCTTCAGAGAAAGATTCTCTTTCAAAAACAAAAATAGCGGTAATTTCAGAGCGCTTAGCAAGGACGTCACCTACAAATCCAAGCGGACTATTTTCTTCAGCGAAAGAATCGAAGTCTCTGTCACTCTCTCAGGAAGACTACCCTTTTTTCAAAGTAACAGATTTCTTGTCATTTGGCCAGGAAACAAAAAGTCAAGCAGCAACTACTAGTAAACAACATTTTTCGGAGTCGTCCACGCAAGCAACAATGCCATTAGTGGCGTCATCTTTCAACACATCAATACTTCCGTCAGCTTCCTCGGCTGCTAGGATAATTTCGTCACCATTGTCAGATATTTCGGGAAGTTCACTTTCAAGTAAAGAAATAAAATCATCAATTTCATTGGGATTAACCTCTATAACAGAAACAGAGACCATGGCCATGAGTTATTCAAAATCGTCATTGCTTTTAAGGCAGATTCTGTTCTCAGTTATGTCTTCAGAACTTACTCTGTCGTCACCGAGTACTCTCTCCTCACAATACCGAGGCGTTACTTCCGCAATGCCAGGAAAAGTCGGCGAACATATGCAGTCATCTTTCTATCCAAAATCGAGCTCCACGAAGAAAGTGAAAGAAAGTGCAAATCTTGCCAGAGGGTACAAATTACACACGTTGTCATCCCAGTTCAGCTCACAAGCTAACATCAAAGCTACGTTTATTCACCTAGAATCTCTTGGAAGTCATTTCCCAGAACAGCTATTCCCATCACCAACATCTATAGATTCCACCTCAACAAAAAACATGGAAGAAAAAATTGGCACTTTGAATTACTTAAAATATCCGCTACAAAAGCGTGACACACTAACATCAAAGCATGTTTCCCTTACCTCAATGCCAGAACGAAGTCTCACGGAAGTCCTCGTGCATTCTTTAAAAACGCCATTATTGCAATCAGTGCTTATTTCCAGGCATTTACAGCTTTCTTCTTCATTGCGAAAAGAGCATGTGGCAAGTAAAAAGTTTTTCGCAACACCAGCTGTATATCCTTCCTCGCAGCAATTTTTCTTAGGAAGATACGATAAGGGAAGAATAAGTAATACAGGTTCTCTCACATTTTCGCCGTCATCGCAACATATCCCGTCATCAATACCTCATTTGAATAGCCCAGAACATGTAGGGGTTACTACAAATTTTTTATACTCTTCAAGAACTTCATCATCTCATAATGAAGCTCTTCCATTGATTTCACCGCAAGCTAGTCCGTCATCAATGAGTAAAGTTCTTCGAGGTCTACCAATTAGCTCAACACTAAAGGAAGAAGCTAGTAGAGGTTTTAAGGATTCCCTGAGAATGTTCTCGTTGTCATTATCGTCCATAGGAGATAATTCCATCTCAAAAGATGAGAGGTCGGTAATTCCAACCTTCAGCTATGCCGAAATAGTCTCGTCGTTGAAGGATCAGGAATTATCGCTAGAACGGCTACCTACCAAGAAAGCAGAATCCACTATAAACTTAAGAGGTTACTCGGAAAGTTCATCGAAGCAGCCCTTTCTCTCTTTGAAATCATCCTACAGAAGCGGTCTGCCGCAGTCTCTCACTCTATTTTCTAAGCAAGATAACTCAGCTCCTGAAACAAAAAGCCAATTGAGTTTTTCGATAGCCTCTCCTTCGGTTGTGTCCTTGGGATCTGGCTCAGCGGCAAGAAGTTATGCCGCGGCAAGACGTTGGGAACAGGATTCTGTATCAAGACCATTGCTATTGCCTAAATCGACATCATTATCACCGACGCAGCTAAGCCGAACCAAGACACCTAAATCACAAACCCTCATGGTACACTCATTCAGCGCCTCGTCATCAACTAAATTCACAACATTTTCATTGTCTCCAGATGTGATCGCGGTGCGGGACAAAACAGCGCTGGAAAGCTCAGTAAAATATCGAACAGGAGATACCTTAACAAAAATTCCCACGCTTAGACCATACAGCTTCCTGATAGAAGCACAAGGAAGTAGTATTGTCAAAAATTTCAAAACCTCTGAGCTAGAGCAGGAAATATTACTCTCAACTGTACAGTTTAAATTGGTGAGCAAAATCGCAACAGAAGCCAAAGAACCCCCAAGAATATCCTTCAGCATACGTCCAATGCCATCAATTATATCTCCACAGAGTAGCTTACACCCTGGAGTGCGAATCACGAGACTATGTAACGATTCTTTCAAGACAATGTATGAGATGCCCTCTTTTCCTCCTTTAAAGACAACCTCAGAAATAAATGTTGAGTACACTTCAAGCCTTTTGCAACATCTTTCCTTGAAGTTTTCACCAGATTCTACCTCCTCAGCGGACGCACAATCCATTGGAGGACAACTGCATTCTTCGTCAATGCAGCACATTACGTTGTCGAATATTCCGCAGTCTAGCTCACCTGTACAACTAGACACCGTGAAAAGCATTGTTGGGTCTTTGAAAATGGCTCCTTCATGGGAAACAGACGAATCGCCTGTTGCTGCCCGGTTTAACTCCACTCAAATAAGCATAGCAATCTTCAGTGAAAATCTATTGCGTTTCTCATCGAGCAAACAAGTGTTAGCATCAGCGTCTCGGCCATCGAATTCATCGTTAAGACATGAAGTCAGAGCGAGTGTAAATAAAGCGCATTCTATAAAAAGCTCTCCAGCGGGACAACGCACAATACCTCTTTCTCAGCAATTGAGCTCGGCAGTGAAAGAACAGGACATTACAAACCGAGTTTATTCTATTGCATCATTGTCATGGAAAGCAAAGTTAATGGCAGAAAATTCAGTTTCACCGAAACCGTATTCAACAGGGGATGAAACTCTATCGTTGCCATCTTCGCCAGTACTCCCAAACTCCACAGTAAAAAGTACGCTAAGCACGAGGGAGTCATTTGACATTTTTTCTTCAAAGCATGGAGTGTCAACATCTTATGTTCAGGGAAGTTCAAATCCTATTTCTGAGATTACGAGGTGCATGGAGGACTCAACAAAACCAATCCCGGTAAGGCATGCAAAGCCTTTGTCGCTTGCTTCAATGATCAGTTCTAGTCCAGATATGCAATCTACGAGAAGCCTGCTAGTTTCCTCAACAACTCTATTTTCCAGGAATCACACGGTGATGATATCTTCTCGATTAACCTCAGAAAAACCCATCACAAGCCTTCAGAAATTGAAAACTCTTTCAATCAGACGAGAAAATGTAATTTTAGTAAGTTCTTCACTCAGTGGAACTCAGTTTCATTCCAAAAAACCAAAGGATTCTTTAAGAGGTTTTTCACCTTCCAGGCATGAGGCATTCCCACCGTCTCAACAACGTAGGTCATCTCTAAAAGAGGACGGCATGAAAAGTCCCATGGACAACTCAATAAAAATGTTAAGCCATGAAGTCATGTTATTAAGCTTATCCTATGGTCAAGAGTGGCTAGAAAGTTCGAATTTGCCTGTTTCGTCTACTTCTGATAAGCAAACTCAAAGTTTCAGTTCAACGCATTCCTTTCCGTCAACTTCATCTTCAGCGGAGAAAATCCTCCAGTCAACTACTGCTACTACTCATACAACGAATCCAGAAGGAACACGTAAGTGGTGTTACAAAGTTTCATTTGCTGTTTTCTCCATTTTTAAAAAATTAGCGGAAATTGTTGGCATTTTGAGTTCAGATTAATTTTTTGCCGGAGTCAGTCTTTTATAATTCAACAAGCAAACAAACAAAGTCTTGGATGCAGATGAAAATATTGTTCACTCGTTGCCCAATAGACCAGGAAAAGACACGTTTGTGCATGACTGGCAAGCGAGAAAAGAAAAAAGAGTATTTGAAAATACATGTACTTATTAATTATCTTTTCAGCAACTCTCTGTCCTCGGTGCGGTTTGTCAGAGAGACTACACGAGAAGTACTGTTCAAGCGATTTTGGTAAGTGATTGTTCCCATTGAGAAGTTTTCACGTAACAGGTCAATTATGGTAGAATGAAAGCCACACGCATATTAAATGCTCTCTTGTTTAGTAATACTTAAGGCTTAGGCTCAGTCTACGTACCGTACAAGTCAGTTGCTCTCAACTTTGCACAGTCTCTGCATGCTTTCGCTTTTCAACCTTGAGATCTCGAACAATTTTGGAGTCACAGAAATATACAGATATGAAGTAAAATAATAAATCTTCCTGGCGAGCAGATTACCTAAGGATCTGATTTCGAATGGAGGAAGTTTCACATAATTGAGTCTTCACCAGAACCTTACAACGGAATGATTCTCATCAAAATACACACGGCAAAAGAAAACATGATTAAAATTTAGATCCTGATCAAAATTAACTAAAAAACGTAAATCATTAGAGGCCTAAAAGATCACGGTACGTTTTTAATTTTACCGTTTCGAACAAGATCATTTACCTCTCTTTAACTTTTTCGTATCAACAGCTATACTTGTTCGCGTTCGTACTGGGGCAGTCACGAACAGAAGTGAATCCTCTCATCTGACCAAAATAAGAAGAATATTCAAGACGAATAAACCAGTGAAAAAGAGGCCTGAGCTAAGGTTTACCATCGGAGATTGTAACTGCAGACCTGATCTCTTGCTGAAGAGGGATTATTTTGTTTTTGGCAATCATGTGCCATGGAACAGAACGATATCGATCTTAGAAGTTAATCAAGATAGTTTCGTGGCTGAATGGAAGGAGACATTGGAGGAAGAAATAAAACAGTTGGAAGGAAGATGCTCGAGACACTCCACAATTCCTACTCCACGAATTTCATCGACTGTCGCACACGTTACAAGTTCATCTTTGCATCACAAAAGAAAATCAGTTTCTGAAGGTACGTTACCTGATTCACTCTAAATCTTAATCACGTTTGAAACCTAGAAAATGGTGTAACGTTTTTCAATAACCTTAAACTTTCTTTTTTTAAATACAGCTTTGTTGTCGACCCATAGTACTCAAATAGAAACACCTACTTCCCTAGTGACAACTGAAGGTGAGTAGAAGAAAGTCTTAAACTCAATTTTTATTGTCTAATAGAGCAATTTTCAGTTGAGGGTCTAAATAATCCGAGATTGTTTCTTTTTTTTTTTGCTTAACTTCGCTCAGTGATTGGTCCTAGAGAACTTGCACCACTTTCGCAACCATTCAGTTTCAAGCACAATATCAATCAGAACTTGGTCGCTCTCTTTTTCCCGCTCTTTAAGCAGGTTAACTTCTTTGCTTAAACCTTGGTTGTTTATTATTGTTGATAGATAAATTCAAGTTCACTTCAGTTTCCATTTGCATTGATTTGGTAATTTGCAGAAAGTTGTGGCCCATGTGGAAATCTTTTCAGAAGGACCAGGGCGTACTGCACGAGCGACTTCGGTAAGTAAATATATCACGGAGATATACTTTGTTCGTTTGTCTCACGATAAAGTCGCTTTTGATGTTGATTGCCACGTTTCAACTGCAATATGGCTAGTCTTCATCAGGCGGTGTGGTCGATTGTTTACGTGTCGCTGTTTGTAGCACTTTGGCACGCTGCTATTGGTGCATTTCGATCCTGATTATTATTTCGGTTGTTCGATAGTGTTCCCTCATAGGTCCTTATAAATCAGCTGTTGTGTTGTTTGATCGTGGGTATTCAAGCCTAGGGAATTTTGATTCCCCTATCCCTATGGATATTTCTGGGATAAAGTCTTATATGGATAGCCTCTTTGACCCTACGTTTGTACAATTGTGGGTCACTATCAATAACTAAACCTTGCTCCAAATAGAAATATGCACCGTTTCTTTAGCGTGCTCCGAAACCGCAAAGGTCTGAGTATGAGAAAACCGTATGTCTCTACTTTTAGGAACTTTCTTTAGCTTGTTCAAAACCTTTTTTTTTTCTTTCAGTGGTTCATGTTAGGATCTTAACTGAAGCTATCGACGAGTATTCTCACGACACAAAATATCGCGTCCAACTGATTCACATTTTCAAACTTACCAAAGGCGTAACAACGATAGGAACGGTCTGGATACTAAACAATTCATGCCGTTGTCCATTGCTTCTCCCTGGGAAACAGTACCTTCTTATGGGTAGCTTAAGCTTCTCTGCGGCGAAAACTGAGCCAAAAGCAGAAATAAATAGGCAAAGCTACGTAGAGGAATGGAGAAGATCAATGATACGTCGACTACCACAATTGCATAAGAGGTGTTCTCCCTTTACTACAGAGATGGTAAAATTTCTAACAAAGACGTCTGCCAGGATTACAAGTACGAATAAGATACTTTTTTCTTGCCCCATGCTCATTTAGAGCATCATGATAGCCTCGTGTAACGCCGGGTTTCCCTTACTCTTGACCAAATTCGAATGACATTTTTTTTAACGAATAATAACATGATAAAACTAGAGGTACTGATAAGAAAAACAGTAATGATCATAATAACGATAAAAATGATGGGGATAATGGTAACTTGAATGATGATGATGATGACAGTAGTAAATTGTGGCAGAAAATAGAAGATAAAGCAGACTCAGCTTTTCACATATTCGTCGTTTATTGACATCTTGCGCGTAACTTCTTTCAAAAAAATGATGCTTGGTTTTATTTTACAGGTATTGTATTCTTAACTTTCTTTTCTAATCATCAGCCCATTCACTCTTTTACTTTAGAAGTAAGTGCTTGGCATATTGTAAAAGAATACCAAAATGTTACTCATAAGCTTCCAGAATCTTTACTCTTATTCCTACGAGTTCCGATTAGACTTGTTCCAGGTGATTATATTTTACTAATTAACGTTTTAATATTTGTTTATTCTTGATCTACAAAACTGACTTTACAGGCACAATTTTTTCGACAGCAACAGCAGAAGAAATTACGACACAGCCGCCCGTCACACTACCATCAACGGACCTACCGAGTGGTAAGAGATAGAAAATTTTCATCAAAAGAAAAAAAAAACTCTAAACTTTAGAAGCGAAATATTATGGATTGGATCTTTTTCTTTCTCTTCCTGGCCGATCTAACTTCTTTCTCGAAGCAATCAGTTTGAAAACGAAAACAAATTTATAGTTAAACGGTTTCTTTCAGTTTTTCTTTGACTAAGACCCCCCAGGTTATCGCATATAACTATTCTACACGTACTGTCCCTCTTGCCCCAAAAAACTTCGAAATATGTTTACTGCAAATTACATTCTGTGCCGGGCCAGTAGAGTCTATTTCCTGTTACTCAATACGATTGAAATGAAAATTTTGTTGGACACTAACAAATTCTAGCGACTATATCACAAATTTATTCCAATTTTTTGACAGCAGCCTCTAGTTTTACAGCTTGACTAACGCCTGTTTTCTTGTCATATTATTTCACAGAAAAATGCCGTGCATGTCAAATATCAAGGAAACGGAACAAATACTATTGTGACAGTGACTTTGGTAACACCTTCTGATATTTGTGTTCATATGTTACAATTAAAATACAAATTTGCAGCCTAGAATTTTATACGTCCAGGATTCAATGTTATAAATCTTATTTAACCAAACATTATCGAGCTGTTGTAGGAATCGTACCATCACCAACTTTCAATTAATTCCTTGTGCTCAACTAACGCTCAGCCCTATTACTGAGTTCAATATGCATGAGGTTTCATTTTCACCTCAACTGTGTATACAGTTTTTAGCAGTTTTAACCCAAAATTGATAAAATTCCTAATTTGAATTTGACAGTTTTTTTTTTATTTTCTTTGAATTCCAGCTGTCCGAGCCAAAGTTTTGAAAGAATCGTACAACGAAGTTCGTAAAGAAAGAAGATATCGAGTAAGGATCATTGCAGTGTTCAAAAGCAAAAGGAAACTGGAAAACCGAGATGATATTTTTGTATTTAATGACTACTGCAACTGTCCTAAACTCCGAATGAAAGAGCAGTATGTAATAATGGGCAAAGAGGAAAGGAACACAGGACTAGAAGACCTTGGCTCATACTCTCAACTAGTGATTCCTCCAAGACCATTTGTTTGGAAGTGGAGGCCAAGAATGACTGCTGGACTCAGATCGATTAAAGACATCTGTGGCAATTAAGTAAATCGCCAAAACTCATTTCAAAGGCTTCCTTAACATCCACAAAAGCAAAACAAAAAGGCGAGATATGGAGGCACAACAATTCATTGTTTTCTATGAATGCCTCGTCATTCAAGAAACTAATATCTAATGAATTCAGTACCTGTTTTGTCTTGTGTGCGCGGTAAAAAGTCATCCCTTTGTTTTCATATCGCATCGATGTGGCTCTATATAGCAACGTAGAACCATTGCTGTCAGCCCATCATTGTAGTTTTTAATAATACATCGACAACTCTGAAGAGCTACGTTCCGGTAGCAGAACAGCAAGGATAACTTCATTGATTATTTAATAAAAGGATCTTGATTATTACGATTTTTCACTCTTACTTTCTTGTTGTTTTTTTTATTACAAAAACATGTGTCTTGATCTGCCCACATACGGTTATTGCAATTTTAAAGCGAACTGAATATTTCCTTCACTAAGACATAGAACAAATCACAATTAAACAGTCTAAAAACATACAGCGCAGGTAATAACCGCTAATAAATACAAATTCAATGGAATCTCTTGTCAGTAAAGGAAAATTTTTCTCTGGTCTTTACTGTATCTGTCTCTGCAACTGGCCCGCAGCAAACCTTGTTCGACAACATGAAGAATCACTCAGGAAAAATCAACTTTGCAGCATTGTCTACTTGAATAAACTGTGGTAAACCCTAGATTGTCACGATATATTTGCTTGAATCAATGTCTGGATTTAATTTTTTTGTTTGTTTGACTAGTACTGAAACTTACGTCAACTCCCATATACGAAACGAAAAGTTATTGAAAATCTTACTGGAAAGCGGTGCAACCTTCAATTGTCTTTCGAAAGACCCAAAACAACAACAGCCAATCGGAGCGAAAGTCTTCACCATCGATAGCTTATGAGAACTCAAAGCGAACCACATGAAATGCAGGAAAACTCGAGTGACCATATCACTACTGTTTTTAGTCGTGAATCTGATTGGTTGAGGTAGCGCGAGTTTTCTGGACCAATCAGGGCGAAGTTGAGTAAAAGGAAAGGAATCTTGGATTGCTTTCGACTCTCAATTAAAATTTGGCTGCAGATTATATTCATTTGTTCTGTCTTTCTCAAAACTTGAGCTGGACCCCAAGAAGTGATCCTCCCATTGATTCACAAAAAGGTTAGCTCGTGGTAACTGGAATCGAAATCTTTGATAATATCCCCAAGGGATGTCAGCCTGTTTGTATGAATCAACTCGCAAGCTTGCGAAATTTTCTTGAAGTTGAAAGAGAAGCAGTTATGTACACGAAGACAGCTAAAGGCGCAGGAGAAATCGTCCCATGCGTGTACCGTCTCAATCACATGACCTTTAAGGGCGGATCTCTCTGCTGAGTATGAGATTAATGCCCCAGATTCTCTCTCGGCTAAGAAGAATCAAAGGATATTTGAGAGTTAGAGATATCTTGGAGATAATTTTGGAGTGTGGAGCTCACTAGCCACTTGAACTTGACATGCATGTCCAGAGACAATGCGACGGTCGTAAAGTGATAAATATTTTCTACCACTGACCGTAAACTGTCTCGAAACACAACTTTTCAAATATGCAGCGATTGCAAGACTGATAGAAAATGTTTTGTGACATAAGGTTTGGATCCACTGGGGTAATAGTTAATCTGTGCTATGATCGTCTGAGCTTAAATTTTTGGTGCGCTTTTTTACCTGTTGAAAACGAACAATCAATACAAACGAAATTAGAACAAAACCAATTTAAAAGAGACCACTAGTTTTAATGTCATTGATCATCAAGGAAACCGTCCCTGGGCTCTCTCATAACCAATCAAAATAGATTTTGTCAAAGAGGGGGGTAAGTTTCTGAAGAAACTATGGTGCTACGTCGGTTGGAGAGTATAGCAGGTAATACAGTGTTAACAACTGAGTTGAAAACGTAGATTGGCCACCGTAAAGAGTTAAAAGGCTGACTTTTCGAGCCTTAGCCTTTCGTCAGAGCGATTGGATTCGTTAGCCCTTTGTCAGATCGCTCTGACGAAAGGCTAACGCTCTAGACGTCAGCCTTTTAACTCTTTACGGCGCCCAATTTACGTTTTCAACTCAGTTGTTAACACTTAATTATTTGTCAAAGAGGAACTGGATCAATTCTTTTTTTTTTGTTACAATTCAATCACCTTGTTTCCAAGGTAGAAATGAATTCGTGAAGGAAAAATCGTAGAAATTCTGAAGAGTATAGCTTTTGCTTTTTACCTTCGCAAATCAACGAGACAAGGTTACTCATGGCAGTGTAATCACGTGAAGAGTGAGCTATGACCACGAGACGTTTTGACGTGGCAACTGATTCCAGCTGTTCTTTGGTGACATTAGTGTTTATCCACAAACTAATTATGACAATTCCGTCATCCTTCGGTTGCTGTGCGCTCGACACTGCAAGATCAGGATCTGATGGGAGAAAAGCAATCGTTGATAATTTGCCTTTGCTTAACATCAAGAATCATCTAATCTATTAAGCCAGACCTAAAGCTAAGATTAGTATAAAATTCACTCCTTAAATCCTCAAGATTAAAATTGAACGAACGCCGTAATGTACGTTCACCTTACATATGCGGCTAATTTCCTATGCCCAATCCGTTCTCATATCGAGCTAAAAAATTAAATAATAATTTTTTAAACAAATAGAGACATACGTATGTATCGACCATTTGAAGCTACAACCAGTAGTCGTTTGAGGTCCTTTTGCGGCCGGTGTTCACCGACATCTCTTGTGGCCACACTAAAAGCTCGATACATAACCGGTTGCCCAATCCCGCGCTGAATCTCATCTACAGCCCTCTGAATGGTGCTAACATCTTGTGTACCGGAGATCTGATACCTTCTAGTTAACCCTGACGAAAAGCTTAAAATTCCTACATGAGTGCCTTAGGGATAAATGAATAGCTGACAATTAAATCGAATAAACAAAGCAACGAAAATATAGAATTGGACAAAAACATAAACAAACAGTTTGGCCGATGAATTCAGAGCGTGTAGAGATCAACGATGCAATTTGCTAATCATAACATCCAACTAGGGTTAAGTATATCATTACAAGGAGCCAATGAGTTTTCAGACTGAAGCGTGCGTATCACGTTTGCATCTGATTGACTGTGAGGGTCGTGCGAGTTCTCTTGGTTATCAGAGTGGGAAGTATAGCAAAACCAGTGCGATCCCAGATCTAGTTCTGCACTAAAAAACTCTTCTTATGAACTATACCTGCTTCATTAAGATAAGGCATTCAATTGTTTAAAGTACCTTCGATTGAGGGATTGATGTAAGGTATGATGTTTTTGATAAACTCCTTGGTATCCGTGAGCTCTGAATTATTGATATTCATTGACGTGTCAATCATGAAGATAACGTCCAGGATAGTAGGGCATTCTGGGGAAAAATTACTTCTTAGGAACTAAACGTTTCTTTAAAAAAATTTTTCGGAAGTAGTGAGCTGTTCAATAAACATTCAGATTATTGTGAAAAGAAAGTATCCGCAAGTTACTGAGAGACAAAACTAGTAACAATTTGATTTGATTCTGACAGGTCAATCGTGTACTGACCAGTCGCAATAAAGTTAAAGACATGCGAGCCACTCTCAAAACCACAACATTATTACCATTTCGGTCTCGTGTTCCTAATTCCTCGGTACACAATAGCAGTCCGTAGATATTTTCTAGTCTTAAAGATAGATTCGAGTTCCTCTTGCTACACTTCTGCTTACCTGGAATGTGTGCTGACGTTACAAGAAAGACAACCTTAGCAGAAAAAAAATTTAGATCATGATAACGAAAACAAAGTAGCGCACAAAATAAAAATGAAGTAGAAAATTGTCTTTAATTACATTCACTTCACGCTTGAACCTCCCCCCCCCCCCCACAAAAAATCGAAAACCGGTGTCTCAGGAACAAAATTTTGATTACGCTTCTCCGTTCATTAAGTTTCTTGCGTTGGCTTCTGCTTTGATTCGCTTGTTTATTAGACTCTCACAGACCACGTATTATTCGAGAAAAAGTTACATGCAAATTAAGTTGTATAGGGTAGGAATCATCTGTTTTGTGTATTAAGAATACTAGTTTCTCAAAATTTTCTTTTCTTCATCGTTCGTGTGCCCAAATTAAAGCGAACACAATTTCTAAAAGAAATTATCCTAAGTTCAATCAATAGTATTTCACTTTTTTTTAGCATGACTTTCTCACTGCTAACATGACCCTCAAAGTATATTTTGTGGAAATATAATAACGTCAAACCTGATGATAAGATTATCTTCGTTGTTGGATAATAAGGTTTTCCGAAAGTTCAAAGTCTGAGTTCGAGTACGGGTAAAATTGTAAGCTCTATTTACCTTGAAGACCCAAAAAAGCCACAAACTCGACATGATCTCTTCTGTAAAAACGGTGTTTATTTAAACGTGAACGAACCAAAGTATTCTCACAATCATAGCGAGTTAATTACTTTTTGAATTGTTGACGATTTAAGCGGAGTGTAAATTATGGCTAAGGCAATCAGCCAGGGGCAGTTCAGTTTTTCTTGGAACGCAATATAGTTAATATGTTTTTATTTTAATTTTAAACTGTACAATATCACATGGTATTTGTTGTAAAATACAGAGAAGAAGTTAGAACCTTTCTGCGGGGCGTTTGGTATATGTCCAGCGTGTTGTGTTAAAAAGCAGATAGAGATTTATTATGTAAATTTTCACTTTGCCAGCCTAAGCCGTAGGAACCTCAACGAAACAAATTGTATAGGTTGGTTTTTTCACACTTTTTCCGAAGCTCGTTTGATTTGCTCCAGGTTTCTCACCTCTTCTGCAAACACTGAGGAAAAATTAATTGATTTTGCCTAATCAAAAGTAGCCGCATCGAATATCATTATTGGCGGTACTTTTGTTTTCGATGTTTGTAAACTGGCAACGTGGCGCTTTGTGAATCATGAACCATCATGCTTTCTGAGAATTCCACTTCGAAAATTTGGTTTCTTTGGGAACGAATATCTCGGAATATATGTATTACATGATGTGCCAGTATAATAAATTCCATGGTGGTATATTGGTGCCAGTATATACCTCCTAACTCAAAAATTAAACTCGGGTGTCGGCGTCGTCGATGCTTGTGTGCTTTCGTACTGAGTAGCAATTATGAGTGGTCTTGTCAGTAAGTTTCGAGTTTTTATATCAATATTCCTTCTTCAGATCCTCTTTTAAAGCGTTTTACCACTAAGAATGCGAAAACATTTTTTTCTTGAGGCCGGTTGACACTTAAACTTGATGCGCTTTGAAAGTGCACGACCTGATCACATGCGAGTCGATAGTTCAAGTTGTTGTTTTGCTTAAAACTTAACGAGTTTTGTTCCCGTAAGAGTTCAGTAAGTTTTGGCCATGGCACGTGACACGCTATCCCCCAGTCGGTAAAAGGATTGGGTTGGGAGCTCGAAATATAACAATTAGAAAACCAGCAAACAGGCATAAATCTTAAGCAACCATTGAAACCAAAATCGTACAGCGTCAGAAAAATCGTGTCAAGTCTTATTTTCTATGGGAATTCTAACTCGTAATAGCTGTATTGGAAGTCCATGATAAGATCTTTAGGTGACGTCATCCTGTTGGAGTGGTTCAACTCGCAAACTTGTGAACTTTCTTTGAAGTTGAAAGAAAAACAGCTCTTTGTATGAAGACAGCTTAAAGCGCATGAGAGATCATCCCATGCATGCGTCGTGACGATCACATGATCTCTTAGTCTGGAGCTCTTACTAAAGGAGACGATGAATCCGGGTTTCCTGTCGACTAGAGGAACAAAAAGGGTTGAAACAACTAGTAACGTGAAAGTGCACAGCCAATGGAGGCCAGATAACCGGCGGATTGCAATGATACTAGCGCTCTTTGACCCTTAAGAACTAGGATTGCGAAAACTTGTAGTTCCACCAACCGCTCTTGTCTTCGAGATTAGTACGGTGTTTATTAACAGAGTAATCTGGAGGCGAAAACTAATCAGCGAGAATTTAAAAAAAAAAAGGATTGAGAGCTTAAAACGTCAGATCCATTTTTTTTTGTTTTTTGTTTTTGTTTTTGTTTTTGTTCTCTGACAGTTGGTTTGTTTGTTTTTTTCAGTTGTTGTTGTTGTTTTTTTGTATCTGTGCAAACACTAAATAGTTATATTTCTGATAATTTCAATTTTTCCAAATTCTTTTTGCATTTGCTTGGTTTTCGCAAACAAATTGAAAAAGTGAAAGTTTCCGAGTCTCACTGCTCTCTATGGAAAACCATGCAATATTTAGTCTTCGTGATAGTTGAATGCTTCGGAAATGAAATACAAGAATTTCCATACCATTACCAAAAGTACTTACTTACACTGAACCTTGCGTCTAAATTTCGTATGAATTGTTTAAATTCTGCCCTGGCCAACAATTAAAGATCAACAAGCAAACAATTGCCGTTATTTACCTTTACAAATCGTAGAAATGAGGGCATTCATAGTTGACTCATCACGTGGCGAATTAGCTATAACCACATGATTTTCGGAGGTGGCAACTGACTGAAGCGGCGCTTTGGACGCATTATTACTAACTGCCAGGCTGATAATGACAATCCCATCATCCTTTACCTGCTGAGCAGCACTTATGCCCATGTCTGGAACTGTTTAAAGAAAAGCGAGATTTCTCCTCAGGTACATAAAGGATGGTGCAATTTCATTTTGATTCCTATATATCGTTGTGGTTGATATAACAAAATCTCGTTTGCTAAGTTTTGGACGTTGAAATTAGTCGAAGTGAAGAATTACGTTTAGTGCTCTTCGCGTGCACGATACAAGTCTGCTCACTCCTCCAACGGCAGAATAAATCTTGTTTAAATAAATTTTTCCATCTGGTCACGATTCTAAGCTTGAATGTTTCAGTCCCACACAAAAGTAAGAGGGAAGTCCACAATAACTTCCAAAATGCAATGGAATTTGATACGAATCATTTTGATGGAGCACAATGCTTTTCACGGTATAATTAGAACAAAAAGAATCTAAAATAACCCACAATCTGGTCAAAGAAGCAATTTCTACTTATCTAGGGTTTCCTAGTTTTATTGCCTTTGCTCGTTTTTGTACGCTGTGAGTGGTAACCACCAATTCTCAAGTCAATCGGTCTATTTCACTTCTTCTACATTATCAACATTGCATACTGAATCAATGAACTTCGAGTAGGAAACTGAATCACTTTTCTACTCACATGAGTAGCGTCCATTTGACCCAAACACCAGTACTCGTCGTCGCTTGTCTTGTTCACTACTTTGTACCAGATTCATCTGTCTGTAAGCCTCATTAAATGCAAGTAATGTGTTCGCCTCTCCTGCCCATTGAGTCACCCCACTCAAAGCATTTTGTATTGCTGTTTTATCTTGAATATTTTTCAAGGAATGTATGATATTCGAAGATTGTGCGAAGCTCAGAATTCCGACATGAGTTCCTAAAAATGGTGATTTTATATTTTAAATTCATACGAATAATCTTATTTGGCTGAATAATAATTTTTTCCATATTTCAATTGTGTTGATGAGATATGTCCTTCCAAAACTTTGAAAAATGTATGTATGACCAGATGCACACCCTCTCTCTGCTTAAATCTCCTGCATGTAATGCCTCCCCACCCCTTCTCTTACATGTTTACCCTATCAGATTCAAATTCGTATATGCACAACCTTTGGAAAATTCACGGTGGAAATGATGCATTGAAATCCCACTTTAGTCTTTTTATTTTTATTTTTTCACTGCATGCAAAGGTTAAAGTTGAACGATGACTTGAGAAATGTTGCTTGGTGCATTGAAGTTTCTTAGTTATAAATCGTTCTCGACGAAGAAAAAAATGGTTTCACGAGCATTAATTAGTTACTGTTCGATGTAAGAATTAGCGGCTGATTGATTTAGTGACTGATGGAGGCTCAACGAGTCGTTTGATTTCTTGAATTTATTGATTAGTAAATTGATTGATTTATGATTATCTTGTACAGAGTCTGACGTTTCTTAAAGATGATATTACAAATGTTTGCTCTGCTTTACAATAACGAAATAATGAAATACAACATATATAGAAATGAACTATGTAGACACAATCTGGTCGCCCAAAATATCTCTAGAGCTAAGCTTGTTTGGTGACCACGATTCATCAATCAAAGACGTACAACGTTGTCGGAGAATAAGCTTATCTCAGCAGAATTAGAATTATTACCTCAACTTACACTTCCGATTAATTATGGGTACATCTACAACTAGGTAATACGTCAGATTATTACTTGCTCTTTAGCAGTTAAACTCACCTTCAGTGGAAGGACGCAGATTTGAAATAACATTGCTCATCATTTCTTTAGTGGAGTCAAATTCCATGGTCTTCATGGATTTTGAGGAGTCGAGCATAAAAATGATATCCAGGACAATCGGACATTCTAAAGACCAAAATAATTATAAAACGCGTTTATGGTGTCAGCGCATCCCACAAAGCTTTGCGGCCAACTGACCTGCTTTATCGCACCTTCCACATTGCAAGCCCTAAAATTGTATCAGAATCCTAGTACGTGATTCGCTTTTCTGTCCCTAGCTTTCTTATTTACTAGTAAATCCGCAACTACCAGTGTCCAGATCTCGTCTTTGGTAAATTAACACAACGATATCAGCCTATTGATAACAATTGGACATTCTCATTGAGCAAGTCAGTAATTCAAGAAGAAACATAATAGAATTCTGAAAGCTCTTACTTGTGTTATCAACAGTTCAGTTTTGAAAAAGGGCCTAAAATTGTTGAGTCAAAATTATAATTGGTCTGACAGAAACGTTTTTATCACTCTCTTACCTTGAATGTGTGATGGTATAACAAGTGTAGCACCCTGCCGAAAGCAGAAATGAGAATGTTAAATTAGAAAGTAAGTACTACAGTAAGAACTGCATTAAATTGCAATTCAACTTCGCATTGGCAAGAACTGCATTCAGTTGCAATTCAACTTTGCATTATTGATATAACAGCAAAATAATTTTGCAGAATGCGAAATTTGAGTCGCATTTTTTCGAAAAAGTAACAAAGCTAAGCTAGCTTGCCTTATTAATAAACTTTTATTGAGGACAACAGACTCATAAAATGAAAACATTGAAATTGGAAAATGTGTGGATGAAACCCATTTTCATAGAGCCATTTGTAATTGACTCTTATCTCTCAGTGCTCTGCTTGGGATCAACCACAAGCATTAGTCGCCATGGTAGTTTAAGCAACTGTTCTACTTGGCCTACGAGTTAAATGTGGCCCTACGTATAATTTTGGTTACGGCAGAAGTCTTTTTCTGAACAGCATGCTAAATATGATGCCAGCTGAATTCCAATAACGTAAAGCAATAAGAAAAGTACTTCGCGTGGCTACAGTTCCATTCCTTACAACTGCATGACCACTTTATGCCCTGTTCTTCGGAGTCGTCGTTTAATTTGAGAAGGGTACATTTTAAGAGAGCCGGTCATGAATTTGACGGACGGAAATATTTCTAACCGTGGATGGTAACACAAAGATAACATTTACGTTACCAAAGTTAAATTGTATGAGTATGCATTATTAGCCCGAGTTAGCTCTGAGAATACTTTTCGCATGATTTACTCATGAAAATAAAATGGCGAATCTGAACAGATATTCTTCGTATCCAAATCGAACAAATTCTCAATTACAACGCACTTTTGTAACATTTTCCTGCGTAAACACAAAGTACATCGCATTTCCCGTCGTTTTTCTTTAGTGTGCAGATGACGCACCCTTTGATTCAAAGTTTTCGAGAGCAAGCTAAGGGAACTAAACTGTAAGTTTGAATTACCAGTTATACCTACCCGAAAGAACCACAATACGACCCAAAACAGCGACAAATTAGCCATGGTCTTCCTTTCCAAAGGATTTGTGTTTGCCTAAAGGTGATGTACGGATTTCTTTGTTGAAAATTTATTTAGCTGCTCATAAGCGTGAAATGGAAACAATTTCATCCAAGTCATTTTTCAGCTGTTCTCTGAGAAAACAATAGAACACTTTTTGGCGGGAGATATTGCCAGTAGTTGCTGAGATGTCGCCTATTGTAATAAGCTGGTATTAACAGATTAAGATGGCAGAATTTTAAATTTTTACTTCTCTTTTTCCAAGTAGATTATTGCAGTAAGCAGATAAGCAGGAAATCTGGAAAGCAAGGTAATTTGATTTTACCAACTGAGTTGATTTTGTAAATTGGCCATCGGAAGGAGTTTTTACGGTGGCAATTTAAATTATAAACTCAGTTGATGAAACAAAATTATCTTGTAATACTCTCCCCCAACATGGCACCACAGTTTCTATGGAAAGTTACCCCCTTTACACAATCCAGAATACAGCCGGGAAGAATAAAACGAGCGGCAAACAAGCACTCCCCGATGACAATGTTAATGGAAAATGAAAACCCAATGAAGAGAAGAGGGACACAAATACCAAAGAAGTTAGAATAAAAGTAGAAATGAATTCTTCTTTTAAAAAGACAAAGACTGTACAGCAGCTTTGAATGTCGGTAAAATAGAAGAGGTTCGAATGAGGAAATTTAGGATTAGTACAATAAACAATGGTTTTTCGTTACTCAATATTTGTGCTTGGTAAACACCGGAAATTCTCTTTAAAATTGAATGAATTAGAGTAAATATGCACGTACTGGAGTTTCCGACAAATACGATCCTGGTCTTGCTCAGAAATAATGTAAACTTTTTATTTTGTACAGTTAAGGATCTTATTTTTAAGATCGCTTTCCGTTTGTCAGAACTATGGAAGAACGGGCCATGATGCCCGAAAATAAAACGAGATATATGAATTTCTTGACAAGTTTGTATCCAAACATACAAGCAGTATCGCAAATCTCATAAATTAGAAATGAAATGTATCACGAGACCCGTGATTATGAAAGGGATATCGATAACTTCGTGCGACACGAAACAGTAGAGAAGGAAACCATTCAAAGTTTTATCAAGCACTGTGCGCGTGCGCTTTCTGTTCACACCTAATTGGTGGATGCGTAACCATTTGTTTGTTTCGTTGTCGTGCACTAATGGTTGCCCTGCTAACCCTTACCATGAAGTGGCATCGTTTGAAAACTTTCCTTTCAAAGGAAAAGCCGAAGAGAGAAAGAAGAAAAAGGTCTAGTAAAATTATCATTTACATTTAAGAGTGACTGCCATCAAATTTGATTTCTTGCGGAATCTCTAATATACTTTGTCTTAACAGGAAAGATTTAGAACATGAGCTTTGTAAAAAAATCAAAACAATCAACGAATATGAAGAGGAATTGTTGCAAGGCTGGTGAGTAAATATCTGCTTTGTTTTTCTTTCTTTGTTTCATGAAAATAACGATCTATGTATTTTATCGTGAAATGTTTCCCCGCAAAAATTGATTTCTCAGATTTATTATGATTGGTATTAAGTGAGTTGTAATTTCGTTACCGTTAAAGTACAGAGTTAACGTTACAATTAAAAGTAGCATGCAATAGGGAGCGGCATAGGATGATAAAATTAGTTCTGCGAACAGTAATGTATTAAATTAGATATTTCCAGGGAGTTTAAGCGCGCAAGAACTTAGCAGCATGATTGTCAAGTAAAGTCATGTTTGATAGGCAATTAGTGCCCAGGAATCGTTGTAGAACGTGAGTAAGTCTTAAATCCCACACGGAATTACGTATCTGGGTGTGGATTTCCCTGGCTGATAAATGTAACATTTTTGGAACCCTAGGATTAGATCGTAATAGAATAGATAGATGCAGAACGGAACGAGTAGTGCTGAATTGTCGACAATAAAGCCCGATTTAAGTAAAAGTATACTGTCCAAGATTACTGAACCAGCGTGTGCGGAATTCTCAGTAACGCAAGTGGGAAATTCTGCGAAACCCTGCTTTGTTTGTTCTATGTGTTTTCCTTTGATTATTACGAAATAATTCAAGCATGAGTTCCCTAGAGAGAGGTCGTACCTTCAAACCTTTTGGCTAAGATACTACACACTTCAAGAAATCGATATTCAGATAAACAGAAACAATAAAACAGTTCACGTTGGCCATTATACCTTTTTAACCAAATTTTTGTGATTCTAGGAATACTTTGGAGGAAACTGATTCAAGAAATGAAAGAAAAACTCAGTTATGGCTAGCGGTTAAAGAGCGCCATGATAAAGCCACAAGAGATAAACAAATATTGATGGATGAAATTCAACGGTTGGAGATTGAACTGAAGAGAGCACTGAAAAAGCGGATGGAATCCTTAAGAGAACAGATGTGAGTGAAACAAGAAAAAACGATTTCAAATCTTTAGGTACAAGCTGGGTGCGGTTTAAGCAATTTGTTGGGCTATTGTTCATGTCCACGTCTCGATGATGATGAAGCTTATAGTTTCGGTGGAGTTAAAAAATGCTCACTATAAAACAAGCGCTACAAATTTGGGAGCTTTAAGGAACAACTCAGCAAGAACCTCGGATGGTTTGATTTTTACGTTAAATGAGCTATTAATTGCCTTTTCTGACAGAGTAATGGCCACAATGGAGGACACTCACACGTGATCTAAATATAATCGAACGTTTTTCCCTCTCTCCCCCAAACAACGTTGAATATCAGGCACTTTGTAAACTTTACTAAGGTGTGGTAGGTGTTTGATTTTACCAACACGTGGAGGATCTAAGTATACGCCTGAAATGGCAAAAGAGTGGTCTTTTTAAATATATTTCGATAAGGATATATTTCAACAACTGTCCCAAGGAGTTTTGGCCTCCGTTGTAGCTTTTAAATCTCTATAATCACTGGAACCAGGAGTCGATCGGGCTCCTGCCGGAACTCAACACCAGAGGAGCCTAATGAGACCAGTGAGAAGTCTTAATTACTTTTTTGATTTAATTTTTTCCTAAGAATTCGTCGAAAGGCGCGGAGCGTTCCTCAGCAAAAAGACTGTTGACAATAAGTAAATATTTGTAACCACTGAATAACCATTCATGGCAATTCCTGAGAACTTATATAATTATAAAATTTGACCTTCACAGCCAGGTGACATGGCGGGTACTACAGCTAACGAAGAAAAAAGCAGCTATTGAGCGGAAAAGCGTGATGATTCTGGACATGAAGGCTTGCCATGACCGGCAAGGAGAGAAACAAGAAAGGCGTGTAAACCTGCGCCGTACGCGTTCACAAAGTGACATACCAAGAAATGCATTATGCAATAGGTTATGAAAAATTTGGCTAAAATGCTGAGATTTTTAAATCTAGTAGTATAAAAATTCTTTTTCCATTTAACTGAAAACAAAACAGATAAAAATGGTACTGCTAATGCTTCAAATACTTTTCATAAAGAATCTACTTTTAAATTACGCCCGGAACGAAAATATATATATTAAAAAAACTTATTCTTCGTTGCTTTTCAATTGATTTTCTGACGTTATCAATATTCTGTACTGGAATGTCAAATTGGATGGAATCTGAATAAAATCGATGTAAGGCCTCTATCATTTAATAAACATTGCCTTAAAATTCCGTAATATGAAGAGTTTTAAGTCAGATGTAAACCAAATTAAAAGCAATCAAAGATTTTAAACAGGGTAAAGGAAACACAAGAAGGAACTCTGAACTTTGACATTGGGCGTACTGAATGAAGCATAGGAGCTAGGGAGAGGGGCGAGTCATTAAGCTGATATTGCATCTAATTGGTTAAGAAGGTGTCGTGAATCTTTGGACGGCACAGAGATCCTACTGAAACAAAAGCAAAATCCTGGCGCTTCTTCCGACATTCGATCGGAAACTACTTCATGAGGAATACAAATCAGTCGTCGCTGTCCGGTTTACACCTAATAACCACAAACTTAATTGGTTTAATTAATGATAGTCTCATTAAGAAATGAGTGACTCAGACACCTTCTTTTTAACTAGATTCTTTCGACGGTTTTCCAATGCGAGATGTCTTCGGCAAGCCCATCCGCTCCAAGTTGTGGACTCAAACAATTTAAAAAAAATTTCGTACAATTCCGTGCCTCATACTTTACCACTTACACAATGTCTGATCATCATGTCATCATATGTAGCACCTTTCCACAAAACCTAAAGCCATCTGGTTTGTTAAGCCATTCAGATGGGGTGTAATGAGATAGAAACAGTTGTCCTTTGCTTAACATTAACTTGTTTCTCTTTTTTATTTCATTTTCCGATTATGAAGATCATATCCATTACTTTCTGTACCTTGCAGTAATAATTTTCACTATTGCATCATTTCTCCATCGCCGTGTTGGACAGCGTATCTGGAATGAGCGTTTTCTTTTTAAGGGAGGAAAGGGGGTCTTTTTTTGAAAAAATACATTGATACATTGGTAAGACTATAGTAAGGTACATTTTTCGGAAATAGCCATTCACCCACGCATCACAATGGTTGCTTGAGAAACTTATTAGAGTCTGTAAGACCTTAATGATCGAGGCAATACAGACGGCCAATCGCCTCGTTCTGCAGCTTTAAAATCCAGGACTGAAATTATAAATAGAAGAGTTCATAACACAAAAGTTAATTCATGACAACGCGTCGGAAATTATCATTGCTGATGAAAAATAAAGTTAAGTGCAGTTTCCGGTTATACAAAGCATGAAAGAGGCAATATCAGCTGGGTACGCGATAACATTGATATTTTAAGTTTAAGAAAAGTCGATTCTTTGCGTGATGAAACTGATCGTGGAAAGGTGGCCTATTCCAGGTAAAACGAAAGTAAACAAAGTGTGGGCGCGATGGTAGTAGCTGTGTGGAAAAACGAGGGGCCCAACCCAAACCTGCTTTTTTATGGTTTCATTTTTTTTTTTTTTTTTTTTTTTATGTTCATTTTTTATTTTATTTTATTTTTTGCTCCACTGCTGCTACGCACCGTTCGTTTATTTCGCCGGCTAGTGGAACGCTAATAGAACATTGAATAATGGAAAATCAGAAGTGAAGAGGACAAATTAATTTGCATGCAGCGTCGATATCACCACTCTCATAAAGCGATCTTTGAACTCAGAAAGAGCCTGGTGATGACATCTGTATCGCACATAACGTGGTTGTCATTCATGGGAGGAAACGCTGCAATCTTTAGCGAGAGTCTCGTTCCCGCTTGGATGCTAACATTCCTGTTTGAACTGTTGTGGAAAGGAGTCTCTTCCTCGTTCTTAGAAAGGAGAGCCATACCTTCGCAAGACAAATGCAGCCTTTCCTGATAGACTAATTAAGGCAAATTATCAAGTGGAAAACTACACAGCACGTTATTTTGACACGTGACCCTCTCCTTTGCTCAGAAGTTTCGGGAAAAGTCAGCTGGGTCGGCGATTTCGGGAAATTCTTGTAGTGGTTTTATATATATATACGAATTCACTAATTTGTCGATAGAATTTCTCATAGACTGCAATGTGGTGGGATGACGACGATTACTATTCCTTACCGTATTCCTTCGGTTCAAATGATGATATGGACGATGATAGCGACGATCATTACACCTTTGACGACGATTACTATTACAGTAGCGGCGAAGATTATTCCGATGTTATTTCTCGACGGATGAGATCAAAAAGTGATGATGTAGAAGATATTACAGAAATCGAAGCCTCCACGCCGAGTTACCAAGTTTCTTCTCTGCAAGACTTGTGTTGTCGGTTTATTTCACGGAGATTTCCCTTCGCTTTCATCGAGCATCGATCTCCCCCGATTCCGGACCAGCTTCAGCTGAAAATCATCCAGTTTTCATTCCCCGAAGACGAAGATATGATACGGAAGTATGCTGAGTTTAGTCGCAGCAGTGTTGACTTCTCTGCAGCGAGAAGGCTGGTCGAAAATGGAACTGTGAAAGATGTGAATCAGATAGGTAGGTGAAATGATTATATGAAAGTATTGTCCACCACTGATACTCTTATTAAAGTGTGAACGTTATAACAAAGCCTACCGTTTAAAAGCCCCTTCCTCCCCCCCCCCTACAACTGACAAAAGCGTCTGATTTCTAGAGCCCTTGCACCTTCCCCCTTCCCTTCCTGATAAGTCCTCTCTTCCCTCCTCAAAGAATCAGTTCTTTTGTGGTATTTTTATTTATCTATATTACACATAACTCTTTTTACACCCTAATATCAGTATGCATATTCTCCATACCCTTCTGTATACATTTCCTTTGGTACTGGCAAGGAGAGTTGGGTTAACAATTAAAGCTTCTTAGGTTGGCAATCATTTCCTTTATTCTCATGATCAAGATAAAATGACTCAGCAGTTTTACCGTAAGGAGAATTAGATGTTGACTTCTCCTGGGGTTTAAGGGAATTAGAAGCATTTCAGTTCAAGGTATATCTGTATTTGAAAGCTTTTATTAGTTCCTGTCATGAATAAGGTTCTTTCAACCAAAATAAAAATGCATACTGGATATGGCAGTCATTACTTTGGGTGATTCAGAAGGAACACAATCCACATTTGACCAGTTTTAAGTTTTTATTGAGCCACTGCTCAGAAAGAAGCTATCCTCTCCTATAAGCTCCCTAACTAGAAGCCTGTTCTGGGAGGCGTAGTAGGTTACAGTGACAATGAAGCTAGGATTGATTTTGTTTTGCATGCAAATTTTTAGAAAAATTCATGCTTCATATTTACTTTAAACAGCATCTTATTCATCATAAGTTCAAAAGGGAAAACTTTTTAGAATCTCCCTTCATGTGTGTGAGGTTTCAGGGAATTCTTGAGGTTTTTGAAAGGAAATTAAAGAAAAATTTCATGTGTCAGTTATATTTCAGGAGGCATCATCATGCCTCATTCTGATTCATAAATTCATGAATTGTGCGTGCCTTTCTGCAAAATTCACAAATCTCATGAAAATTTTGGCCTTAAGCACAAATTACATATAGACCCTTTGCCAAACTCTCTGCAAGAAGATCTCATTAACATAGGGAAAACAAAAGTATCTTTAAGTTATATTTACTTTCTTCTCTATGTACAACCTTCTAGTATACATGTATGCTATTTACAAAGAGATTCAATCTACTTTGAATTTTCTTAGGTTTTCGCCTAAGTGCAACTGTTGGTGATCGAAGGACATATCCTCGCCGAGGAAATAACAATAAGAGCTACGTTACTATTCAGTTTGACCGTGGGAAAATTACCTCTGCTCACTGTTCTTGTGAGCTGTCCACAAACTGGTGTGTGCATGTTGTTGCAACATGTTTGGAAAGAATCAAGAATAAAGACAAAATTTCTATTCACATGCCAATCTCTGACTCACTCAATTTGTTGGACAGAGAACAGTTGTTAAAGTTTGCACAGTACCTGCTAAGTGAACACCAACATGAACCTGTTGTAGAAACAGCCCAGCAACTGCTCAACAGACTTTTGTCTCGTCAACAACAGGACAAGCCAGATGACATTAATTTGATTGCTGGTGCTCCTGATCCAACTGCAGGACCAGGTAATGCACAAGATAATGTACAATAAATGTTATCGCAGTAGACACTTTAGTGGCAGATCCAGGGGGGCTAGACCCTCCCCCTCCAAATATATAGATTTAGCCAAGCCTAAAAGTGGAGCTCGCACTTTTTTTTCCCACATGTCTCAAGGGCACAATGCCTTGCTCTGGCCAGGACTAGAACCCGGGTTGTACGACTTGGAGCCCAGTGCACTGATCATTGGACTACTAAACAAAGCCTGTGGCATGCCCGCGGTACAGTTGACCACACATGTTAAAAGTAGCACCTTGTACAGTCATACGGTCATATGGTTGTACATTCAAATTTATTTGGCTTGATGGGTTACTACTATTTTGTATAATTATGGGGCTATGCTTTGTGAGCTCCACTATCAGACCTGTATTTTACATGTTGTCTAAGCTCAAGGGCAGAACCACATATCACTACTCAACTTGAAGTGTTTCACTTACTTTGAGATCTCTTAAAATCGTTTAAGCTCTAGTGTAAAAAAAAATTCTAAGTCATCTTGATCAAATTGTGGACCCAACTCAGGAAACAAAAGTTCTTGGATCTCCCCTGGTTCTTTATACAGTTTATGGCCATTTTAACATGTGGAAAGAAAAACCCATAGTCGTACTTAAAAACATTTTTCAATTGAAGGGCTTGACTCGGAAATGTCTATTACAGTGCTGTTAATTCCTGGATACTTTGCATAAAGTCTGTTAAACTAATTCCTTGTATACTGTTTTTGATCATTGATATTTTACCCTTATGTGCAGTATGATTCATTCAAATTTTTGAATATTGATTGTTGTTAAATTTTCAACTTCAGATTTTGAGTTTCTACTGTTCTTATAATTTTGGAAATGTAGAAAAAAGGAAGTGAAAAAAAGTTCCAAATATAGGAACATTCAGGATATAATGAAAATTAATAAAAACATTATTTCATATTTTGTGATTTTTGGATACAAGACTGTTATAGCCAACTTGGTGCTATGGGCCTGTGGCACCGGCTATTACCATCTCATTAATGCAATTAACTGTTAATTATATAAGGTGTATTTAAAGATATACACTGTACATACATTCAAATATTCCAGTTTATTTTTTTAAGTCTTCTGGAATGCTGCCAATGAATTTTTGTTTAAATTATTTTCAGGCTTGGACGAAGAAGCTCACTGGTTTGTGTCCAAGAGTGGATTTCAGTCTCGCTGCGAGAGCTTGATGTATGAGTCTCAAGCAGATCTAGGATTCATATCCTACAATGATAGGGATAATGACAGAGGCAGTTCGGTAACTGAGTTATGGGCTAAGAATTGCTTTCAACATGCGCTTGTTCAAGGTATAAATTACCCTCAGCAGCAATTTACTTTAAAGTGGTACTCTAATTGATCTCATTGCTGATTAAATGTTTGGTCACAAAAGAAATCATGGGTGGCAGATTTTTGCTAAAAGTTAAAAGTACATGTACATAAAGGGATTTTGAAAATGGAGTGGATAATAAAGTTGGCTGAAAGTTTGGGCCTGGTTTTGGGATTCTGTCTGTAAGGTAGTTAAGACCATTTTTCTTTTGTGGGGTAGTTGGTTTTCATGCTGAGTCAGCTTTTTGCATTTTTTTTTTGTTTTTTTGTTTTTTGCATTTATAAAAAGTATGAAAACCTTTCCAGACTTATAGATCCTTATAAGTTGCACTTGGAAACATAACCATTAACATTTGCAATACAACTTATATGCTTGTTGTTGCTTTTTTTAAAATTTTTACACTGTAGATGAAATGGACCTTCAATATAATGACTACAGCACCTACTCCTCTTCCCGTCGCCTAAATGTTCTTAAAGTCTTGGAAGCAGTTGCTGATCTGCTTGAGGATGATTTTATGAGTGCAGTGTCAGCTTTGACCATGTGCACTGAGCAGTTAACAGAGAGATTGAACAAGATCTGCCGTGTAGACTCTCCTGCTGCTGATACAGCAATAAGGTGGTGTCGTGCAAAAGAGGAATCTAAAGAAAACACTGGGACTTTTTTTGGATCATTGGCTGGGGGCTTCACACCTAGAATATCAAGGTAATAGTGTAAGCTGGGAGTTTCAATAAAAAGGTGGTAACTTTCTAAAGAGGCCACTGTAAAGAGTTTTGAAGCTGAATTTCTGAGCATGAGCCCTTCATCAGAGCAAATGTTTTCAGTAATGACCTGCTATGGTAGTCTACCATCACTCATAAGACCTCCTACTCCTGTCTGTTTAGCCTGGGAGCAGGCTCTTGTTCTGGGCACAGCTGCCTGCTACATCATTAGCAGCTGCTAACCTACAAAGTTGTTGAAACCCTTGGTGTAAGGTATACATATATGGGTTAGCTGTGTGAACTAGTTGTCTCTAAATTTTTACCTGCAGTTAATAACTCAAACCTTCAAACTTAAACCTTCAAACTTAATCCTTCACACTCTTACATCGTTATCCATTTTCTCCATACTCTTTTCAAATATCGTTCCAAAAAAAAAATCATTCAAAAATCAAATCTTCTTAGGACTGCAATCATTTTATTCACTCTTATGATTTTAATGAATGATTTAGCAGTATTACTGTACTACTGAATTTCAAGGGTTGAATGAGGTTTTTCAGATAACTTGTAGAGTATGGGGAGGTATTGTGATTATTTCTGGAGGTCTGGCTCATTATTGCATGGCAAACATCACTATGCATAAGTGTGACATTGCTGTTCTGTTCAATTTGTTTTCTAAGTTGCTCTACACTGAGTGATGAGGTCTCAAGACTGTGGCGATTAACTGTACTTTGGCCTGGTGTTCCTCCTAAACAACGCAAGGGAATGATTGAACAACTGAGAACGTTAAATCAAACAGGTATGATGTAGATTTTTTCTTTTTTGGTGTGAAATATATAGCATTACTTGTGAGAATTTCGTTAATTCATTAAAGAGAGCACATTAGTACTGTGCATCATTAGACCAGGTGAATATCTTGAAAATTGAATTTGACAAGGATACCCAATATTATGAAGAAACCTCGACTTAGGCAGACAGTAACAAAGCTTTTATGCAATTCTGTCAAATACAGGTTTTGTTGTTTATTTATATCTACTAAGTTGCGTTTTTTTTGGACAGAGATGAATGCTTGAGTACATGTACATTTTTTGTCACCACTGTTGTTGTTCTTTCAAAAGCATCTGAGTGTGGGATGCATGTACCAGTACAGGCATCGTGAAACTTGTTAACAAGTTCTCTGTGGCTTCTTTGTTTAAACATCCATCGGCAAAGTTAGAACTTGCAACGGTTTGGATTCTCACCATGACCTCAGATTTCGTTGTTGCGGCACCCGTGACAAATGTTCACCATCGCCCTTAAACGAATACAGGTTTGTAGTTTATGTGATTTATTGTGACCAAATTATAACTCTCAGTTTCCGTAGCATTCATGAATGGTCCATTACGTCCTTGGCATGGTTTAGAAGTCGCTGTCCGATTGGCTTCCATCAATTGGGGTTCAGATGTCTTCCAGAGTGTCCTCAGGGGAGAGTGGATCCAGTCTCCTGTTGTAGTTAGCTGTATGGCTATCCACCTAACCTGCCAATTAAAGGATCAACTTGTGAATTTGATGGAGGTAGATGAAGGGCAGAAAAACGAGGAGCAGTGCAGAGCTAGTAGGATATTGTCATTTCATAATCCTCACTGTATCTCGTTTGGTCCACATTGTATTGTCAATATCCACTCAGTGTGCTCCATGATCGAAGCCTTATATATCAGCAGCAGACATGATGAGGCTATGCGTCTAACTGTTACCCTATGCAGCACGCTTGTGCTATTCTACAAAGGTCATCTCCTTCAACTCTTTGATGCAGCCACATTGCCAGTGTCTGCCAGATGCCATTTGGGGTCAAGTACATTACCAGAGGGTGTAAATGAGGGAGATCATCAAACTGAAAACAAGGTTGACTTAGACGGTGGCCAGGAGATGGATCCGCTTGTGGAAATCAATGGAGAGTCGCCAATGAACGTTGATGCCCCTAATGAGGAGCCAAACTTTGATCATGTCTGGCCGGAGAACACCATTTTGTCTGTAACTACTTTTGCATTCCTTTTCCACTTTCTCTCTCGAAAGCCTGATTTGGCCCAGGAATGCCTCGCAAAAATGAAGCACACGCTATCTGAGGAAATTAGTCTTCATGCCTTGGAGGATGCAGAGTCGCTCAGGTTTCACATAGGAGTTATTGGATTATTACTGCAGAGACTTCCAGCTCCATCTCTTCACCATGAGGTATGTTGTTTTCTTTTTTTTTTTTAATTTGTTCCTTTTACTTTGTTTGCTTACTACCTGTTGCATGTAAAATTCTGTTTTGATTCAACCGGGATTATTTTTGTAACGTGCACTTTTGTAACGGTTCAAAAGTCCCAGAAAGGAACTTTTAATTAATTTTCTTTTTCATTATTAGTCGGAATAAAGCATAGGCGTAGGTCTAGGCCGAAGCTTAGGATACTTGAAACGCTTGGTTGCATTGTCTAGTGAATATTAAGGTGGATTATGAAGTCATAGGTTGAGATTTCAGACCTTGATTTACGGTAAGTGCAACCATATACCCAAAAGTAATGCAAGATATCCTGTTGCCCAGTAGAAATGAGACCTTGTTCGACAGAAATACGTCTGAACTTCATCCCAGAGCTCGCGATATTCAGAAGGTGAGCCATTGACACAAGTCTACTTCTGAGACCTGCCTTAAATTTGTCATACTCTTTAAGATACTCTATATACCTGGTAGTCGCCAAGAACTGGGTAAGAAGGAAAGAAAGAAATGGGATACTGCTAATTTTTTTTCTTAACTTTATCAGGTGGAAGAGTACAATTATGAATGCTGGCTCACCTACCAGCTGATTTGCAGCTCCCCAACTCCCACGGATCTGAATTTCTTAGCACATCTTGGACAACATCTAATGGGTGCAGCCACAGCCACAGCCACACCCACGACCACACTTGCGCCACCTTCATCTCTGACCCGCGTGATATTTCATCATCTCTTGAAGGGTGCTCCCGCAGCTCTCAGCAAGAATCTCACAGAGCAACAGAACATAGGCCTTGACTCTGCGTTTCATGTTCTTGGGCATGTTAACAAGTACATGTTGAAAGAAAGATCTCCCTCATGGATGCTGTTCCAGTACGCAAACTGTAGACTCTGGGCCAAACTGGCTGAAGTGGTGTTACGGTCCCTGTCGGACTCTCCCGAACTTCTTAAAAAAGCTATGACCTATATCCTTCAGCCAAGGGGAATGCTAGGTGTACCAATTCCGGAGGGCACATCAAATGAAACCATTTCATTTGAAGTGATGTCGCGTTTGCGTAACATGGAGGTTGTTAAGGCGAAGTGTCGTATAGCTTACAGCCTGGCGAAGGCGCTCAGCTCCAAACAGGGTAACACTATAAAAATGTCGGAGTACAAAGCTGAGACTGGTGGTCGACAATGGAGAAGAGAAAGTATTGAGATGGAAATGCCTAGAAAGATCATGAAGGCCGGTGTGGGGAATGCGCTGAAAATGTGCGCGGTTCAGATTGGTGCTCACTGTCTTTATTTAGAGAAGCTTTCTGACAGAAATCGCGCACACAGTGATATGGTTAGGTGAGTTATAGACTTGTGTGGGACACCACGATTGTACCCAACCGCTTTGCTACTTATCACAGGGTTCGAAATTACGATGAGTTGGTCGCTTATGCGACTGAAAATTAACTGTTGGCGACCAGAATCTCACCGCCTGCTGGCGACCTTCTTTAAGCCTTGTCAAGTTGTTTTTTTATTTATTTATTTTTCCTTTTTTTTTAATGTGAACCAAAATTCAAGAAACGAAACTCCCGTTCTTTTGTTGTTGCTGTTGTTGTTATTACTGCGCTTTTTTTACTCGCATTCTCGTATTTGCCTCTTTGGCACCAAAACGTAATCGCTTCATACGGCGTTTGTGGAAACAGTGACTGGGAAATAAAAAAATTTTATAGAAGCACTGAATGTGCTCTGCATCGGGTCCACATCAATGCCTCAATTTTGGGGAAACGGAAATATTGTTTCTCCATTGTATTTTTTCTGATAGTTTTATTTTGATTTTTTACCCCCTTAAGTTATGATTAATCGACCTAACCATTTTTCATAGATGGCTGCTGGACTTTGTTGTGAGTTCGGGAATGGATGCAGTGAAGTGCCTTGTGAAGTGCGAAGGTGGAGTTATGCTTTTCCTTGCTCAAAGCGAACTGTTGACTCTTTGTGAAAAAGTCCTCCAGGTAAACAAAACAGACATTTATACTATGGCTAGTTTGAAAAAATTTTACTCTTTCCGCACAGTTGAATTGTTTAAAATGAAAAGGAAAAAGTGCGAGATATACCATCTTTTCAATATGCAGTGTTAGGGCTCTACGATCCAGGGCGTGAAATTAATTTTTTTTCTGATAGCCACCTGGCTCCTAAATTCTTCAAAGTGGTAGCCAATTCAAAAAAAGTTGGTCGCCATTTTCAAAGACAAACAAAATCTCTCTTTACGCTGTCAGCGTTCTAGATAGACCCTCCAAAATTAAGTTAGGGAAAAGATCTTTAACGTGCTACAAAGTGGACACTAGGATGGATGATATACAAAGTTCAGGCTCATCTAAATCCAAGATGGCGTCTAGTTATCGCTCGAGATGCATGTGCTACGTTTTGGAAACAAACTTAAGAGGAAGTTAGCCGCGGATTTATCTTTGCAAATCTTTTTAATTCACTATATCTCTTGGTAAGGTTATGATGAAACGTTGTAGTCGCCAATTTGGCGACTAACTTTCAGGATTTGGTCGCCAAAGTGAAAAATTTAGGCGCATTGGCGCCTGTATTAGGCGCAATTTCACGCCCTGCGATCAGGAGAAAAGTTTGCAGATTTCATTTTTTGCGTTTCAATGTTCACGCCCATCCCTGTAACTTGGTGTTAAGGCTTTAAAACCCATATAAAGAATGATCCATAACTGCCGGAGTCTACTCTCTTTATTCGTTTCAGATGCTCGTGGCCATAAGTTGTTTTTCATTTAACTTTATTTTTCAGTTTTTTTTTTCTTGTCATCCTGGTACGGGCCTTCTAGGTATTTGGAATTGAGGGTCGTGCGTTTGCTTGTTTTTCTTTAGAAGTTTGACCTTTTAAGTGCTAGAGATATCGTCAAATCCATTCTTCTGTCTCTGTTGGAAAAGGCCAGTGGTTCTCAAAAGTTAGACGACATGAAGAAACTTGTGTCGTTTTGCAGGTAACGTGAATGTTCTTTTTCGCATTATATTTGTTTCCAGTTATTAAATAAAGATACATTATGTTGGTCAGTTGTAGAGGCCGCTTATCAGGTCCATAATCAATCTAAACGGTCAGTTTAGCATTTCATGCCACGTTAACTAGATCGACCTATCGATTGACAGAATTTGAATCCAAGATGGTGACGTGTCTTTTTCCACTGTGTTACAGTCACCCAGGGGTTGCGCAGAGTCAGTAACGTGCATTAGTTTCGCAATTGTTCGAAAGATTCAAAAGATACAGAAAGCTTGGTCTGTAAAAACATTTTACTAACCAACTTTGCTCATCGTTTTGTAGAGACAAGCGATGTGCTATACAAATGGAACTTCTTCCTTGGATCTGCCAAAGACTGAAATCCCTAGCAGAAGGCGAAGCCTTTTTACCCTTTGAAGTTCTCATGGATGCGAGCCTAGGTATGTTTGAGCACTTCAAAGAAAAGCTGTCAACGCAAGAGAACATCAACCGGCGCATGTGGAGTCCTAGGGGAAAATTTGGCCTGGTAAGGACCTTTTTTCTATTTGAGCATTAGGCACTTAATCTATTGATAATCTTGATTGATAAATTTTTGTAACACTTATTTCAAAAAGCCTGCGACAGTAGTCACCGGTTTTATACAAGTTAAAAAATTGACAAGCCAAATCAACTGGAAAAGGAAAACGCGCAGTCCACATTTTCAAAAGCCAACAAGCAGGCTTATCTAAGACGTGTAACAAAGAAGTCGAGCTCCGGGGCAACTGACAACAAATCTTGGGAGTAGCAGGATGGCGTGATTGACTGCCAATAGGCTGCAAATAGGGAGCAGGGAAAGTTTCTAAAAACACCTAAAAAATGTCTCTAAAATATTAAATATAATTCGAAAATGTTTATTGTTTCGAAACCCCAGAGGAGGCTTTTCAGTGATGAAGGACAAATAGAAGACGACTCAGACAATGAGGACAGTGACGGTCTTATGAACAATAGGAATCCATACAAGACTTCAGAACCACACCCGCACCTGCAAGTGGCGTTTGATCTGGGAATGATGGGATTGGAGAAAATCAAAGAAAGAGCCGATGAATGGGAAGATGATTGGTATCCACGTTATCACCGCTGTCCAGTCAAGGAGCACCTCACCGTATTCTGCAGGTATTCCAGTCTCTCTCTCATAATCATCGTCATCATTAACATCATCATCGTTATCACATCGTTTTCTACCTAAGCCGAAGGCTTAGACAGAAAACACAGACACGAGGTTTAATAATTCATGATATCATGCGAAAACCGAATTCATTTAATTGTTTTATCAAACATTTGTTAAACAATCTGCAAAAGAAGACACCTGTCTGAGTTTGCAAAGGTTTGTGAACACAACACAGACGAGGTGCTTGGAACTTAGGAAGATTTTGAAATGATAACTCAATATTATCTGCAGTAGATATTGGGTAATTATGGCTCTCGACCAATCAGAGTTTTTATAGTAAGTCCTATGTCTAATAACATTTTATATCAGTATCGTGTTATTGTTATCATAACCACAATCGTTTATGGACTCCATGAAATAAACCTGCTTCCTAAAAAAAGCCTTGGAATAAAGGAAAACGACCATGTCGATAAACCCTGTAACTTTAATAATATTAATGACGTTATTTACGAGTCAACGTGATTTAGCATCGCTTCTAATTGGGGACAAACCATCTTGGCATGTGAAATTAAAAATGCTAGGATAACTACGCGCGGTGAAAATGTCATGAAATAGTGGTATTTATTTACGTCTTTACTAGTCAATAGTCTTTATTAGTATTTAGTGTCATTATTATCATTATTATTATTACCATTGTTATCATTAATGAACCGATATTGAATCAAGCCCAAATTGGTCACAGGGTGTATTGTCTTATTTTATACTGACAGGCTTGTGTGCTATGTGGCAAAGAAAACGTGGCTCACTGAAACTCAAGAAACATATCATAAATTTTCCAGAAAAATTCGAATTCTAGACAAACCTCGAAAGAAGGTCGATAAAACAATTGCGATTTCCGATGACAAACCAGGATGCAGTCATTGGGAAGATGGTATGCTTTTGTTAGATTTTATTGTTTTAGTTCAAGGGGTAGAAGACATTGGATGTACGCTGTGCTCTTAGTTCGATAAATTCTTGAGCGGAATGTACCAGCGCTAACGTTAGATAAACTCAAGAAGCCATGTCCCAGTGCTTCTAAATTAGATTTTGTACAATTTTATTGAAGCACGTGTTGACTAAAACAAAAACTAAATAAGTCAACGTTTCAACAACTTGATAGGAACCCTTAAGAACCTGCGATCGACTGTCACTCTGGGTGTTGTTGTCCTTCTTGCTATTTTAAAACAGCTGGAGCTTCTCTTTTAGGCGAGGCTGTATTAAATGCACTTTGGCCTGAAGGTTTCAGAATTGGGGAATATCACTTTGGGAATATCACTAGACATTCCTCAGTTTTAGCTGGGACATTTTCGGTCACGTGGTGCGTGTAGATCGAATTACAAGAAGAATTGTCTTCCATTTATTTTTGCATCTTGAACTCATTTAATTTTCAGCACAATCACAGAGTGTCTCTCAAAAGTCTTCCGAGGATTCATACCTGCACAAATTCGTTTGTTCCTTGATCAGTAACGTCGATAATCCCATGTGGCTTTTCGAGGTGGTTAAAGAGGTAACACTTACATCTGTAAAATGATATAACCATTTAAGGGATGATAGGATGTTCATAGGGAAAAGCTTGATAATAAGACTCCGCCTTCTTAAGTCAAAATTTTGCATCGGATTGCTTGTTATTTTTTTATTATTATTATTTTTTATTTTTTTGGCCGAGAAAGGTCTGGGTTTTCACTTCATGTGTTTGCTATGCAATCATAGTATGTGGTGATACTTTGTCTGCTCTCTGATCGTAATTATTCTTCACAGCTTGGGCAACACCTGAACACTGAAGGCGCACGTAGTAGCCCGTCATCAAGGGTTGAAAGGTATGAGAGACGCGACGCAGAGATCAAAGAAGCTTGTCAGACTCATCCTTCAGTTAAGCTTCTACTTCAAAGGTAAAGAAGTTTTGGTTCGCATTTGAGGATATCACATACCCCTGGCTTCGTACCGAGTTGCCTGAAGCTCGTTTGCTTCAGAGGCAGCTGTATTTCTAGTTTTTGCTTTGTGGTTTTGATTTTCCTTTTTGTGGTGGTAGTTTACTAGTAAAAGTTCTTATTCATAATGAAATAAATTTCTTTTCCCTGGCAGATGAAAATCAAGTAAAGCAATGATTCTTGCAGGTGAGCCGCAATGGAAGCAATTGCAGAAAAGAAGCTTGAAAACATTCAGGCTTTCTGCCTAAATTGCAGCTCACCTGCAAAGACCATTGCTTTACTTTAGTTAAATTTCTAAAAAAAGAGAAAAAAAGGAAAAAAAAAAAAAAGAAATTCTGTTTGGCCAGGACACCCAACAATAGGCCATATTACAGTTGTGTGCTCAGTTGCCAAGCTTATGATTTGGAGTGAGGTTGAAGGTGACCTTGTTGTGATAGAGACCAGTATCTAGTATCTAGCATGATAACAAAGAAATATACATTTGAAAACCGTGATGTTCTGTATCATAAAAAGGTCACACTCAGCCTCACTCCTGTTCCAAGGCTTGGCAACGAAGCACGCAACTGTAAAATGGACCACTACAGAAAGAGGCCTGAAAAATTCAGGCTCTCTGCCTAAATTTCAGCTCACCTGCAAAGATCATTGCTTTATTTTAGTCAAATTTCTAAATAAAAAGTGGAAAAAACCTTCTACCACTTTCTCCACCAACGAATTTTTGTCCTTTAAGGATCTCCTTGTACAAAAGAGCAATCATGCATGATGTGTACCTGTGTAAAGATCAAAAAAAAGAATCATACTTTAATGGTCGTCATACTTTTAAGTCATTATTTTTTCTTCTTAATTTAGAGCCGTTGATGAATTTTTGAAACTTTTAAGTGGCCCCAAGATGGTAACCGCCGTTGAGGAGGTTACCCATCGCCGCGACCGACGCCATCTTGAACCTTCGGAAATAATGTACGAACTTAGGCGCTCCAAGGTTATGAACACAAACATGACAGACTTACTGAAGACCACGAAGAGAGCTCTCAATATCTTGGATTCCAGTGGAGCCAAGCTTAAAGACTTGACAGAAGAGATTTCAAAACAGTATCCCATTTTGCAGCCGTTGTTGGATCATGTGTTGGGAGATAAGGATATTTACTCGTCGGATGAGCGCGAAGTGGGTCTGTTTCGGTCACACGCTGGCATTTTCCCTGCTTTGGTTGCCCATGGCTTGTTCCCGGGCATGTTTGAAAGCGCCTTCTCGGATGACTATTTTTAACTGGAAACCGCGTTTAAAGTGCAAATTAACCCGCGACAACGAGGTCATTAGTATAGGTAACAACATAATTTCGAGTGTAATTTAAAGTTAAGAAGCACTAGTGAATTTTTCAAAGACAACAAAATTGCACTAGCCCACAGGGTAAGAGTAATTTGTAGTCTTTAAAAAATTTACTAGTGCTTTTTACACCAAATTGCAAGAGAAATCATGCTATTTCTTGTTAACAATTTACATTAAAAAAAAAACATCACAGAAAGTCAAGACAGACGAAATTTTGAAAACGCACGCGCGCTATTTGTAATTTGCACTCGTGTTGCATGAGAGTGCACTCGTTTTCAGCCAATCAGAAGCGCGTACTTTTTTCATGTAGACTATTATGTTTGTTTTTATTAGGGTTTAAAGGAGTTTAAATACCAATGTTCGCCTTTATGATTAGGTTTTCTCAAGGAAACATCCAGCGCTGTGACAAGTTGCCGTTAAACGGCTGGAGATATTGTATAAACAGAAGATTCGATAACATGCAGTTTAAATATAGGATCAACATTTTTTACTAAAAACTGAACGATTTTCAACAGCCATGTTGATGTTTCAGTTCACTTTTTCCATCAGCTCACTTTCGAGCCTTAAATTGTAGCTGTTATCATCATCAGATAAGCTTTGCTCCTATTTTTGAATACAGGTGGTAGTTTGAACCATGAAACAAACCTTTCGTTTTTCCAAATTCATTTTGTGTTAGAAATGCTAATGATTAGATGTGAAAATACGATAAAAGCTTACTGCTATTTTAAAAAAAGTTTACTTGAAAATCTGCACGAAACGTTAAATGTATCCCCTGGATTCAACCACTACAATGTAGCTGCTGAAAGAGGATTTACCTTTTCATCTAAGTTGTTGAGATATTAGGTAATGTTGTTTTGTTTTTTAATTGCTTTTGATGCCAATGAATTAACTATAAATCAGTTAGGGGTAACTCACAGATGGCCACCAATAACTTGCTGTTTTGGACTTCCAATTTGAATTATGGAAATAATTGTTTTTCGGTCAGATGAAATACAGCCATGATACTGCCATAGAAAGAAGAATGTGTATGACTTCTTGAATAAAACGTGATTAATTTTTTTCTGCGTTAAGAACAACGAAAAGGCCTGAAATAAGCACTCTTTTTGGGGAAGCTAACGAGACTGACCTATTCGGAGGGGAGAGGGGTGGTGGGTTTGAGAGTTTTTGGGGATCACATGGTTTTCAGAAGGAATGGAGGTGGGGGTCAGTCTCGCCAACAGAAAATTTACTGACAATGAGGCCCATCAGAATACCATGGGGTGGGGGGAAGGGGTGAACTGATGAAATTTATTGTGACACCTCTCACACCCCAGGCAATAACTCAAGACTGGTACCCTAAATCAGAAGATTATGGAATCTGGCTCAAAACTAACTCCCAACAAGAGACTATAAACTCTTGCTTTCAACTGGTCATCTATAAGGAAATACTCTAAGTTGCTATGGCATTGAGTTGAGATAAAAAGCACTTTTTAAGGTAGCAAGCTAATAAATAATTATGATTTTAAATTTCGGCTCTGGGCACTACTGTATACCTCCAATCAGAATCATGAAGTTAAATTTTAATAGGAAACGGGTTAGACCTTATTTCTGTGACTCCTAGGTTGTAATGACTTCCCTTAAGGCAGGAGGCAGTCGTCCCCTTATAAAGAATCTCCAGTTGCAGTTTTAAGATCAGTGAAGTTCAATTCTACGTTAGCACTTTTGATTGAGTAGAAGGCACTTGATTCTTTCCGCATGGGTTCCCGCCGTCGAAAACCCTTTGTTGCTATTTGTTTAGACGTAACACGGTTCCACCCGGAGAAGTTGATACCTGAATTACGCTTATCGAATGAGATTCCACAGCTCTGAAATCTTGAGAAATTCGAGCAGCACGTAAATTTCTGCAGCGAATTTAAAACTACACGGTTTCTTAGAATATACAGCACCGGAAATAAAGATCCCTTGAGACGAAAGAAGAAGTATACAGTGAAAGCCACTCCTGAGGAAAGGACCTGATTTTCCGGTAACATCGTCCAAACTATCGCTACAACGAACGGTGCTGTGCAAAGTACGTAGAGCAGAAACAGGACCATAGCAGTGATCGGCGACTTTGTCTGAGCACGTGCAACAAAACTATTCGCGGAATTGGGCCATGTTGTAACTCTAAGTAAACTGTCTCTTATTTTCACCCTCCGTCTTCGCCGCAGAGCGCTGAAAACGCGGCATGAAACGTAATAGATGCACATTTGAGGAATCATTACGCACACAGTCTTGTGAAAAATGGACAAGGCAGTCGACGGCATCCCCGCCTCAAATAGGCGAGGAAGAGTGTGACAAACTAGAGCCAGCTGACTGAGAGAGTTTTCAGATCGATGCTTGAGAGAGTTTGCGTGCCACGGAATCGCTGCAATTGTAGATTGCATCCAGCACCATATCAAGGACGCTACAGTTTGCTTTTTTGTCATTTTTTTTCTAGAAGGTCTTAGCAGGTTTATGTATCTATCGATGGCTATTCCACTCATGCTCAGGATCGACGCCGCCTTGAGCAGGCTATCGAGAGAAACCGACAATTCGCAAAATAGGTAGCTATTCGTAAGCCTTGGAATATAAGCTGGTGTGAGATAAAAAGCAATATCCGATAGGGCAAGGAGAATGTCCACCAGGCAGTGATTCAAAACCATCGTGTTTGTTGTAGTTCGCATCTTGTGGTTCAAAGAGTAAGAAATGACGACAATGGAGTTCGTCAATAGCGAGAAAAAGATCAAACAAACGGAAGGGATGCATCGTCCAATGTCAAACTCTTGTAGCAGATATTTCTCCTTTTCTAATAGCGATCGGTTGGAGATATTATGGAAGTGCAAATGATTTGCCATTTTAGTCCAAAAATTCAGTGTTCCCTTGAGCGGTTAAACTCGAAGTCGCACATGGTTTTTAGAATTTTCGTGAGCTTCACTTGATTCACGATCTCCTCGCTCTGTAAGGATGAACAAAACATGCATAAGCAAGCTTCCTCTTCCAGTTTCGAAACATTTTTAATCTGCCAGGAAATTTCCTTGATTCAAATCTTAAGCCGACGTGTTCAACGAACGTCATGACTCGCTAATCATGACAATATCATGCGTTTCCGCTAGTCATCTTTACCTTCTTTAAGAAAAAAATGACTCTGCTGAGCGCAGTATACCTTCAATAAAAGACTACACATGTGCACTTGTAAATTTGTCCCCAAAACAATCGCTAAAAATCATTCGTGCAAGAAAAAAATCGAGTTTTAAATTGAATTTGTGGATCTTTAGAAATATGTAAATAAACAGGAAACTTGAAAGCATTTCCATGTAATTACTGTAATTCATCTTGGTACGTGATTACACTATTATTCAATTAATTTGAATTCAAACGATTGCGAATGTCATCTTCGTTTTCTAGTTTTTCTCTATTTGGTAATCACAATTTTATCATTACCTTAACACTTCGGGGGCAACGTGCAAAGTATAATAGACAGAATGTAATTTAAATCTAATCTAAAAAAATATCGATTAACTTAGCTCGTACACAATGATGCAAAAATAATATATATATATTATCCAGATCTCTATCTTGTCATCTTTAAGGTTGGGACTAAATTTCGTTGGAACATAAATACAGTTGTGAATTGACGAAATAAATTTTTAACGATAGAATTTGGAAGGGTTTGAATTATACTGCCTATATTACAAAAAAATTCAAAAAGTTTCAGGTGTCGACATGTATCTCGAAGCTTGTGGATAACAAACTAAGATTTCAATTTTGTATTTTAAGTGAAAATTTACTTGGAATTAATGTTTACATTCTCTCGGGTCCCATATTTTTTAGACATACTTAGTTTTTTACTTCGCTGTACTTTTTTAGTTTATCCATTTCCGTCATCGTTCTCTTCTCCGGTCGTAATATTTACACAAGTTGTATAAATATTTACTTTATCGCCTTACTTTGACTTAACAATGTCTGATTCTTACATCAAACCCTTTTAGTTTTGCTACTAAAGTTACGTCTCGTCGGAAAAATCTGAAATTAAATATCTGGATTCCCCATGCCCGATGAAACCAAAAAGCAGTAGATGGATTTGGCGACCATTTAATATTTCATGCTGAATCATATAAAAATGAATCATAACTAAAAGCTTATGTAAGGCTTCCATTGAAAAATCTCTAAGTGCATCTGGGGCTTCCTTGATTAACGCGTTGGTAGAAGACAATTTTATTTTTGGTGCTCTACCTTTCGCCCGTGACTCAAGCTTTCTACTCACCTCGCTTTGCTGTAAAAAACAACGCTCTCGGTCAAGCTACGATAAACCAGACTGCTTCGAATGGTTTCAATATCCGCTTCACCACTCTTCGTTTCGTTAAAATTGCCTTATGTTGGTACGAGAAGGCAGCCTCTCTTATGGCGACCGTAGTCGTGATGAACGTATATCGTGATAAAAACTAAAAAGATCGCACCTGTGTCGTTTCGCTGTCGCAATCGCCTCAGCTGCCTGATATTTCTCATAAGGGAAGACGTAACTCGCACAGGCCACAAGCCTCACGATGGTGCAGTATTTGCGTCCGCTAGATTTAGCTTAAAGCCAACCACAGTAATACGTGGTTATAACTTTCTTGCTCGTCACGCCACATTTTTCAAAGTGGGCAGACTTATTTTTCTGTTGTAACAACAATTATTAATTAACTCTATTCTTAGATAGAAAAGTGCTCTTGACTAACATCCGATTAGGTAAGGCGTCGGTGAAGTCACTCGATTGCCCGAATCAATTTGCAGCTGATCCTTAGAGGGATTTGATGATCAAAGTGCATGTTTGATAACATCCTGTAGTGAATTACTTTTTTAGCCATGTGAATGACGAAAATTTTTTTCGTGAACGTCTTCAACAAGTTAAGAATGAAACAGATAAGTCGGTGTGCATGACGTTTGCGTTTACAAGAGTTTTACTTTAAAGAAATCTACTGTCAGCCCACAGACCTTTAGCGGACATCACCTAACTCGTGTCAGACCTCTCTTAAACCACCCGCCAGCGAGAAAAACTTACATGAAAGTAAATTTTGATCTTCTTTGTATCACTGGAAAATCCCAATAGTTTACCTTTCAAAGAAGGTTATTCAGAAAAGCAAGACAAAAACAAGTTTGCTTGATTTTTTGTCGGAGACTAGAGCATGTCTCTGTTTATGAAAAAAACAGTCCGAGAGACTCCCTCCCAGGTAACCATGCGGGTTAAGTATGACACGGTGATCCTGGGATCAAGTCGAAACCTTCGGGTCGCGAATTCCCACGTAGACTCTGTGACCCCCTTCCGCAGTATGATTTTATTGTGTCAGCGGTCGTCCCACTTTAGTAATAACTAACTAAGGGGAGCTCAACTTGGGGACTAGGGTTGAATCAGCTGTTAATTATAACCAGCGGCAAGAATCCCGCGCTATTACTTAAAGTCACGTCCCTATCAGGGCTCATTGACCTTGCCTTGCTAACGAGATGTCATCCGAATTTTTTGCAACGCGGGCTACTGGCCTTAGCTGTAATCCAAATAGTTCTGGCAAACAATCTACGCTAGTTAAAAAGGAAATCGAGTTTCTTCATGCAAACCTCTGCGAGGTACGCGTTGATAGTGACTACGGTTACGGGTTTTTAGATGGGACAGAGGAACGGAAGGAAGATCTCATTGAGCAATTCACCACATTGAATTCTACATGTTTTGTGCGCTCCACAACAGAGGTCAAGGAAAGGTCGCGGAGATCATCCGAAAATGGTCTTTTCAATCTTCTTTACTTTTTCTTTGAGCATTTTAGGTTTGCAATTTTCGGGAAAAGGAAAACGATTGCGCAAAACAGAGGACGAATACAGTCAAGGCAGGCCATGCCAGGGTTTTCATGTTTATATTACAAAACAACTCGACCTTTCGCTGCCTTTTGTTTGTTTAAGGCGGAAATATTCTAGTCATTTATGGAGCCCAGATGCGACGTCCATATTTTAATGAAGAAATGAAAGCGAAATATTATGTCGCAACAGTTCAATAAAATTTAGCCATCAAGTGGCCAAGATTTTAATTTCGGTAATTATCCGAAGGCATCTACAGTATCCGTTCCACACGTGCGTTGACAGACTATTGCACAACTTCCACCAGTGAGAAAATGAGTACGAAGAAATGCTAAATCATCGTCATAAAAGTCAACAATCATTCACGGTTGTCAAGATTTAGCGACTATTTAATAAAGCGTTTTTCTTAGTCTAAAAATGATCACATTTTTCTTTAACCTCGGCCCGAAAGGTTTCTAACAGTTTATATGGGTTTGGAAGAAAAGACAAGGCGCTGTGAAAAACATGCGCGTGTGGACCGGATCTGTTTTGTTTGCACTCTTTTTCCTTTTTTTTCGAAAAACAAAGAAAGCAGCCCAAAATTATGAAAGCTTGAGTCTCCAGAAATCTTTAATTTACCAAAATCAAGTTCCAAGAATGACACGAGGGTAGAAACATAAAACAGTTGATGTCTGGGGAGTAAATTATTATACGAAGGTAAATAAAGATCTATAGTGTAAAAAATACATTTGAAATAATGAAAAAGGTATCGAGTTTTCAGGATTCATTACACATAAAATAAAACACAAGGGAGAATTTCCGAACATACTTGGAAAACACTGGGCTCTGGGGTCTGTGGTTAACATAAAAAGAAAACTTAATAAGTGTCGTTTTGACAACCTCTTTATAAAATACTCCAGTCGCAAGTGCCGGAAATCTCATTTGGAAAAAAAAATCATATTTTTTGCTTTGCGGAAAGTTTTTCAATATTTCAATAATCGCGCTATGTAACAGCTTTGTAAAATCTCTCTTTATGATGTCGGTAGTTTCGTCTTTTTTTAGTACAACCCATGTTTGAGCAAAAGTCTGGCAACCTTCCTATTGCCTGTCTGGGACGAGGTCAAGGATGGCGACGAGACAAAGTTTTTGTTCGTACACCAAGAAGAATGGCAGCGGAGGCTTCTCCTCAGGTATGGCAGTGACCTTGTACTTATGGATGCCACCATGCCAAAACGACTAAGTATGCGATCCCTTTGTTTTTCGTGTGTGTCCACACCAATGTGGGTTATAAGGTTGTAGCCGAATTTCTCTGCCAGAACGAGGACAATGAATGCATCGCGGAAGCCCTTAATATCATCAAAAGCTGGAATCCTACGTGGAAACCAAAGTATTTTATGGTAGATTATTCGATGGCGGAAATAAATGCTATCGAAAGCGAATTCCCAGATGTTGTGGTATACATATGCGATTTTCACCGCGAGCAGGCGTGGCAGAGATGGGTCAAAGCCGGCAAAAATGGACTGACCGTAGGGGAACAAAAGATGTTTCTAGAACTGATGCAAGCAATTGCTCGTGCTCGTTCGGAGACGTCCTACAAGAAGGCCGTGGAAAGCCTGAGAAAGTCGACGTTGTACTTAGGAAATCCCAAAGTACAAGAATACTGCGGGAAGGTGTGGTTGGACTGTTCCGATCGTTGGGCTCATGCATTTCGTGTTCAACAGGCCGTCAACATCGTGAATACCAACAATGGAATTGAAGCGCAGAATAAGTTGTTCAAATACAGGTATTTGCCTGGATCACTCGACAAATCAGTTTTGGAATAGTGGTGATGATCGTGGAGTCGTTTATCCCTGATTCCTACCAACACTACCTGGACACCAACCTTCAGCTGAGTGGTTCTTATCGTGAATTCAAGCGCGATATACCTGACTATCTTCACAACCGTCCTCCTCATTTCGTCAAACACTGCCTCAGGAGTAACTTTGGGGCTGCTGAGTTTGCCGAACATGACGTGAAATGTGTCAATTTAGAAAAAGGTGAATTTCTCGTCAAAAGCAGTTCGAACAGTACGAAGCTGTTTGCTGTTAAGCTGTTGGAGCCAAGCTGCAAATGTGAAAGCTGGCGTAAAACGCATTTCCCTTGTAAACACCTTTTTGCTGTTTTCAACTTCTTTGACGAGTGGAGCTTTAACAGCTTACCGCATTCTTACAAAAATAGCGTCTTCATAACTCTGGACACCGTGCATTTTGATCAAGCCGATCCTGACGAACAACCAACCTCGGAACCGAGTTCAACGGACGAGGGAAATGACTTTACAGTCAAGTATGCGGTGCAGAAACAACAGTCCCCACCTCATCTTCCGATGAATATGATGCACCTGCTCAATCCAGTGGCACTTCTTCCCGGCAAAAATCAACGACAACGAGCAACCTTTAATAACTGAAAAGCTCAGAAAGCGCCTTCAGGAAAGAGTCGATGAATTAAGATCAGCAACATTCGTGGTCGATGATTCAGGTATCCTTGAGAATACTATCATGACTGTGGAATCTCTGCTAAAGGATCTCCGTCAAAGTTCCTCTCTTGAAAATGGCCTTCCTCTTCGACAGAGTCCTGCAAAAAAGAAGCTCAAAGTTACAGAGGTAGACTACCACAAGGTTAAACACAAGACACTTCCCAAACGCAGACGACACAGCAAGAGAAGGAAGGACAGGGGCGTGGTCGTAGACTTGACAAGGGATGAGGGCAATTCCAAAGACAGTGCTGTGGAATTAGAAGAGGTTGGTATAATTCGTTGTTTTCTCACAACGATTGAAAGAACTGTTTATGTCAACGTGTAAAATGTTTATCTTGTATGTGCCAATGTTTTCTTTGCAGGTTGACTCGATATGTGATGTATCTCTTGATGACGATAATGAACTTGAACTGTGTAATGATGCGGATAACGACATGGATAATGATGAGCTAACTGGCACAATTCTCGAGAGTTCTGCTCGTATCTCATTAAGGTATAATTCTATCGAATGTAGTAATACAGAACAGTGATCATAACTCTTCGAATATTCTATCAGTTAAGTAGGGAACGATTTATCAACCTTTTAGACTATTCTTTTGATCTACTGTTGTGGTGTATATACAGGCCTTCTCAGCTAGGAGAGTCAGAAGTACAGTTGTGTGACGCAGAGACGAGGGTTAAGACCTTGCAAGTCAACACTGGTATACGCGATTCCGTACTGGAAGTAGGGCCATTCAAAGTAACCGTTTCTGACTTGCTAGCTACTCTTCCTCCTGGCACTTTATCTGCAAAGGAAACACAGAAAATTAAAGAGGAAATCCTAGTTTTGTAGATGGATGGTTAACTGATACGGTGAGCAGTACTGTTTTCCAGTAACTATTTGAAAGATTAATTTTGTATATCTTCAGTTGTTAAAGTCGTTTTGCTTCTCTTTGTAGATCGTTGATGCTACACTGTGGAAACTAACAAAACTCGACCAAAAAATCTTTGCTGCTGACAGTACCCTTTGTCAGTTGGTGAAACATGGGGCAAGTACCCGTAGATTGTGGATGGGCGAGAGGTTCCATGGAATTGAAAAAATTGTTATTCCAATGAATATCACTGGACATCACTGGACATTACTGGTAAGTCGAGGATGCTATTCATACTGTACATTTTTTTTTTATAAAATAGTCATCTCTAAAATTTGTATTATATTCTTTAGATAAATTGAACATCGTACACATGACTCAGGACTTCGTTTTGACGACATAAAATAAATGTGTTCAAAGATTTTAGATAACAAGGAATCTATCCGTGTCTACATTGATCCTATTCATGGAAACAAACATCCAAATGAAATAACAGCAGCTTCCAATCCCAGCCTGTACAGACTTATAAATAACATAAGGTGAGTTTCTGTATTCCCAGCAAGACCCTGTGTTTCATTGTTGTGAGAGTTATGAATGGCCATTATACTGGCCACATTGTTTTTATGATTTTTCAGCTATACATATATATATATATATATATATATATATATATATATATATATATATATATATATATATATATATGAGTAATTAAGACTTCATGTAACATAAACTTAACTAAACCTAACTTAATTGATTCCATCAATCGCCAGGAATTAATATTGAGACAATGTTCATAACTCATTTTTGTAGCTATATCCAGTAGCATTTATGAAAATGGTTGCAATCTTTCTGTAGTGAGGCTGCTGACATCAAAACAGGCTGGAAAAGTAAAGAGTAGGCATGCCTCGAGCCACCCCATTTTCAGCAAACTGATGGATTCAACTGTGGAGTACTTATTTGTAAGGTAATCTTTAGAGTAGTATAAAGCATTGGATAAGTGAGCTCATAGGTACCACATCAATATCTTTGACATTACACAGTCAAAACAATATGATGTCATTCCATAGCAGTTTTTAAAGAAACATTATCAGAACATTTACATTTTACATCAACCAATCTTACATCATATATAATATAACTGCAAGATCTATTGTTAGTTTGCCAGGAACTTGTGTGATAACAGACCAATCACAAAGGTCAATGTTTCTATCGAAAGAATGAAGCTTCTATCCAACCTGTTTGGCAGCTGTTACGATGACATGTTGAGGTACAATAATTATGCCTTTCTTATCATTACAATCACCACTGTGTATTGTGTTTAATCCCAAAAAACAAATTGAGAATTAAGTAATCATTTTGAACTTTTACTTCACTTTTGGCAGAGGAAGGGATGTTCTTGTTTGCAAGGTGTGTCAAATGGATGACAATGAAGACTGGCTTGGCTGCGATAGATGTGGACAGTTCTTCCATGCTAGTTGTTTAGGAGTGAACTTTGCCACAGCATTGCAAAATCCTTTCTTTTATTGTCCATGATCATACACTTAAAATACACACAAATAGCAACCTATCTGGGAGTCTTCTTTTCATTTTTAAAGTATGTGATGGAGTTGTGGCTCAGCTTGTTGAAATTTACATTCAAGGGAAAAAAATTGTGAGAAAGTGTATTTTCTAAAGCAAGCTATATAATTTAAATCATTTTTTTCCAAAGAATATGCAGTAAAAGGGCCCAAGATGTGTACTGTTAAGATACCAATCATTTAAGTCAGTTAAAATTTGACCGACTGAATGTGATCAGTAATACTTCTTTGTTACAGTCACAGCAAATGTTCCTTGATTTAGGCACTCATTTGCTGAGAAACTGATGAAATAGATATGTCATGTTCATTAAACATCTTTTTGGACAAGAACCATGGAACCAATATTTTCAGAAACTGTAATTGTAAAGAAAACAAGAAAGAACCAAAAGGCACACAAACAAGCAAAAGATAAAATACTAAACAAGAACTCACTGAAGAGAAAATTGAAGACACACTTCCAGAAGCTGGTGATAAAATGCCCTTTTTTACCCTGTATGTTCCAATCTAATTGATAAACCATTTACCAACCATTTACAAGACTAATGGCTGAAGCATTAACCTGTGAAAAATATTATCAAATTGGAGTTGATGATAAAATTAAGAAGGTCCGGTTCTAAATAATTCATATCCTTGTACTGTTAACAACAAAAACAACAAAAAAACCACTGCATTTCGGGTACAACACGTTTGTCACTGGTTTGTGTATAAACACTTTCTTTCCTAATTCCAAAAGCAATTCCCAGTATCTAAGAGTTATTTGGTGGGGGACAGGGGGATGGGAACCCATGAGAATAGGGAATGGAGGTGTACTGGAGGCAAGAAGGGCAGGAACTGGGTAAAATTTTTAGCAAAATTGCATAAACTTTTGCAATGAAAATAAAACAGAGGCAAGAGCCATTTAATAAGTTTATGGGAATCAGGATGTTCAGACCCCTCTGTCCAACTCCCCCCTCCCTGCAGTAATTTGAAATCCAAGTTTTCCCAGCTCATGCGAACACACTTGAGTCCCCCCTTCACCAACTCAAACTTCACCATGACTAATTATTAATATGAAACCGTTACATTTCCTTCTGCAATAAGCCAAGAATACCTTACTGGCCAGCTTCTAAAAGCTGCATATTTTTTACGATAATAATGCTTACTTGTTCTTAATTTTAACTGATGTCAACTACTAAGTTTTCAATGGGCCAGTAGACTATCAAACAGACGAACCTATTCCTGATCTTAAAGGCAAAGTATATATGGCCACCTTGGAAGCTCAGCTTTTTTACTGTATTAAAAATTATACACGGAAAAGTTCTGCAGTTTTCTAATAAAGCATTCCTTTTTACCCATGTACTTACCTCCTCTTTGAATCTGCCATTCAATTCGCCTTTTCTTAACGTAAATTCTAACAAAATCCTGCAAGGTTTCAACTCCGGAACCCAACTGATCAGAGTAGAGTAATCAATTGTGATACCGCTGGTTGACTGCAGGCAGATCCTTGTTTATTATTACTAAAGTGAGACGACCGCTGACACGATAAAATCATACTGCAGAAGGGGGTCACAGAGTCTACGTGGGAATTCGCTACCCGAAACCTTCAAGAAGAACAATATGGCGGCTAGTGGTGACGTGGATGAACTCTTCGAAATCAGGAATTCCTTTTACATCGGCAACTACCAGTTTTGTATAAATGAAGCTCAGAAGTTGCACGTGCGTTTTCAGTTTGGTTGCTTTGGTTTGAGTCTTTTTCGATGAAATTGTCATCTTTTGAGGGTTAAAATGCAACATTAGTAAATACGGTTTGATTTGTCTTTAACAGCCTTCTTCACGCGAATTGGCCATTGAAAAAGATATTTATATGTACAGAGCTTATACAGCTCAGGTGAGTGGCTCTTTTTCTTTTCAATTCTTAGCGCTACGACGTTTTCGTGACATCTGGACCCAGTACAGTTCTAACCTGACAACACACTTGTTTAAAGTCGCTGTTTCCAAACGTCTGATCTTAAGTTCAATCAATCATTCAGCTCTCCTTATGTTTCCACTCATAATGAGCTACTATTTTCACTGTTTAGATGGTAAACAAATTGTCTTTGAGATCATGGTCAGGTCAATATTCAATCAACCAAACTCGCATGTTCACACTGAGCATTTTGAACTTAGACCATTTGGCAAAAGTCTGCCAAATGGTCTGGATTTTATCCCTAGTCGGGCCATTGTGTTTTTTCTTTTCTTGGGCAAGGCATGTTATTCTTGCAGACTCCATCAAGAACTATAAATTTGTAATGGCACATTGTCAGGCAAACTCATCTAAAGATATATAATTATTTAATTTTTTTTGGCACAGTTGTAAGCCTCCCTCACAAAAGCTGGTGGTTTCCTGAAGTCCCCTTGCTATTATCTATTATAATATTGTTATTCAATAAGTATTGTAAACTCATTTACCTATCTTTTAATGTTTACAATACCATCCCTCTATGAATGAGGAATTAACCCTAAAACTCCCAAGATTTGATTGTTAATTCTCTACTCTAGCTTCTATCCATTTCCTTGTGAATTGGCTACAAGAATTGAGTGTTCCATCAAGATAATATTTTGTGCCTGATAAGTTTGGGTAATCTCACTACCTGTTTGCTGGATAGGGTATGAACAAATGATGTACTCAAGGTATATTTGTAACCCTGGGATGAAGTGGCATTCCTTCTATTGGGAAGTTTCAATATTCCTTGTTACTTCATGTTACTGAAGCAAAATAAGCCCCACTAACTTAAACATCTGTTTCTCAATGCAGCGCTTGTGTACATGTTTTTAAAAGAATTTTGTTCCAGCTCATGTGATGTTTCAGAGCCTTCCATACATTTCTCTGAATTAGGGTAAGCATAGAGTTGTCCTAGATGAGGTGACATCAGCTTCTCCAGCAGAAGTACAGCCTGTCAGAATGTTAGCTGAATATCATCAGAATCCAAGCAAAAGGTACAATTACTTTGACTTCCCAGCTATTACATGTATTTGTAATAACCATTTGACTCCCAAGATCAAATCATTAATTCTTTCCTTTAGCTGTTTCATGTACACACCTCCTTGTTAAAAAGTTACAAGAATTTGGATTTTGATGACAAAAAAAACTCCCACCTGATAAGTTTGAGTACTCTCACCACCTGTTTCCTGGAGAATGTATAGATATTATAGGGAGAAGTTACATGTAAATCACTTCTGGGGGTTAAAGGGTTACTGGTGTAATTTATATTATGTGTCCATCCCCTAACTTCCTGTTATACCAAGGCTTTTGTGGTTAGTGTAGTATGAGAATTCACACTACTGATTGCAGATTTCATAGGAGTTCTTGCACAATCAATTCAAATTTTCATGATGAGAGAAAATTCTTGAAAAGTGTTGTGGATTATAACAAGAGACTCACTACTGATCATTCATATTAATTAGCTCTCCAAGAATTTGTGATGAGCATTAATGATAGTGTTTTATTCCAAACTGCCCCTCTCCCCTTGTAGAAATTAATTATTTATCTGATGAAATGAGACAATCATGATGGTGAAATTCTTGGCTACAAACAAGTATCTACAGTATTCCAGGTGGCACACATTTGCTAAAGCCATTTTTTTTTTAGAACCAAAATTACCATTGCTTTGTCTCTCTAAATGTACAAGATCTACTGTGCAGTGTAGTTTAGTTCTGCAAACCTCAGAATACAAGTATACATAAACCTCAACAATCTTTTCTTGTGTTCTATCTTATTATTTCTCATTCATTATGATAAGTTCTGCTCTACATTAAGTGCTATACATTTGATATTGTACATGAATTATGTTCATTACATCTCATAGTTAGTCCATGCACTATGATTGGTCAATTTAGTGGGCCATACTTCGCTGTGTGGTTTACAAAATTCAAAAGTTTGAATTGAAACTCCCCCCCCCCCCCCTATTTGAACGCAGAAATATAGCAAATATCTTACTAACCCTGTTTTTTGGTTCATACTGTAAGTTATGGAACTTCATTTTTCTGGTCTGTAACTTACAGTACAGACCTCAAATTCAATTATGTAGAGGAACATGTGTATGTACTCTATATGTTACATCTAAGAATTGTTACAAATGCATGCTTTTAATTCAATTTTATAATGAATAAAATGATGGTATTAATGCGCACTTTTTGTTCCAGAGAAGTGGGTACTGCAGTGGTACAAATTAACTCAAACTTATTTGACAATTTGCTTTGGTTCAATTTAGGGAATCAATCCTCAAGTCCATTGAAAAGAAGTTAAACTCTAGTGATCTCAATGACTATGATCTGTTAATGGCAGCTATGATCTATTACAATGAACAGGTACATATCCTCTGTCAAATTCTTCAGACTGATCTCATAGATTGTCTTGTGCTTTTAACCTTTTTGCAGCTTAACATCAGTATGTTAGTGCGCCATGCTGTTCACTATGCATTCCCTATGGTACTTACGGGTACTAGGAGAATTTGTCCAACAATCAAGCTTCTTGAGTTGGCAATTACAATATTTCCTTTATTCTTAAAACCTTAATGTTTGATTCAGGGGTGATACTGTGAGAAGAGTTTAGATGTTAGTCACTCTTAAAATGGGTAGAAAGGTTAATTATTGTCAGCCTTGTCACCTTTAGTCTGAATACATAAATTATGGATGCTGAAACAGGAGGTCATATTGGACTAAAAGAGATGATTATATTATTTTATATAATTTATCATTCCACACTTTTACATGTTTTACAAGGACTGTCCAGGAACATCTGCACATCCAGATGTGTTTGATCTAATTCAGAATACTTTTGTTTTCTTTATTAGAATTTCGAATCAGCTTTACGATGCCTTCATCAGTCTGAATCATTGGAATGGTGAGGAAAAAAGTTTAGAGTTTGTCTGCCTTTTTGTCGTAGTGTTAAATGGGCAAGTTCCTAAGACTACATTGGGTACATATTTCAAAACCTAAATGAATTTAAACCAGTTTTATTTGCTGTTTTTATTAATTTGCTTTGTTCCACCTACATTCCTACACACTAGCCAGTGGAATCATTTTAGCTTAAAATTACTTTAAAGTGTGTAACGTATCAAATGCGTGCAGCTTCAAATGTTTGTATAATGTGTTTCTTTTTTCTTTTCCAGCTCAGCGCTCTCAGTACAAATTTATATCAGCATGGATAGAGTTGATCTGGCCAAGTGAGTGTGAATTTTAATTGCAGGTCATCATTGAGTTTTAGAATGCATCAATGTAATTTAAAAGGAAAAATCTTAAGAAAGTGTATTAACCAATCTTTTGATTATTTTGTTTCAAAGGAAAGAACTTAAAAGAATGCAAGTGAGTTTTCTTTATGGTTATTTTTTTTTGGCCTTGGGGCCAGGAATTTAAGTTTACATGTGCTGCACTGGTGTAATGTCTGGATAATATTTTTGTAACTGGTTTGGAGGAGCTTGGAGTGTCATCTTGGGTTTGTCATTACTAAAATATAAAATGAATCTTCTGCAGGACCAAGATGATGATGCAACTCTCACACAGCTTTCCCTTGCATGGTTCAATCTTGCTGTGGTAAGTGAATGGAAGAATTTGTTCTTGCTTTATGTCAGGCTCTCTAACTTGTGTCTTCAAATCTGCCTTTTCACTCCTTAGAGTCAACACTAAACTTGTGAATTTTTGCAATGAAGGTGTTTTTCTCTTTAACACAGGGAGGAGAGAAATATCAAGATGCCTACTACATTTTCCAAGAGCTTTCAGACAAATACACTCCAACAGTCATGTTACTCAATGGTCAGGCTATTGCATACATGCACATGGGGAAATTTGAAGATGCAGAGAGTTGTCTGCAAGATGCACTGGACAAAGTAAGAGCTACATAATGCCTTGTTCAATAGAAATCATACTCTAAGGTTATGGCATCATAAATAGCAATAAAAGTTGCCTCAGAGACCTTTAAATATTAATACAATAAAAAGGATAAACTTCCAAGGCTAGTTCTGTTGCAGGTTGTGTGACAAACACAGTTAAAAGTATTAACCAATTGGGCCCTGAAATCAGTATGTATATTCTCCATAGTGTTCTCTTGACATCTCCTTCAGTGTTGACAAGGAGAATTTTTTTTTAACAATCAAGAGCTTCTGTGGTTGTTGATCATTTCCTTTGTTCTTGTCACTTTAATGTTTGATTCAGGGGGGATATTGTTAGGAGAAATTAGATGCTGGTCACTCTTAGGGGTTAAAGAGTTGATGGAAATCAAATGTTTTCATGAATGGGCAGTTTGTTTGGTAAAATTGGATTCAGTTTAGAATTAAGTTTTATTACAATTGGAATACATGTACAATCATGTAACTTCCTTCCCCTCCTGTCCCCCACCTCCTCTCTTTGCCGCTACCTCACACACAAAACACAATTTCTGTATTAAAGAAGCACATTTTTAGATGTGGATTCCTTTTTTCTGTACAGGATAGCAGTAATCCGGAAACTCTCATCAACATGGTGGTTTTATCTCAGCATCTAGGAAAAGCTCCTGAGGTATGCATACATGTCATTCTGTGCTGGATATTCATGATTATGTTTGAAATAACTCGAAGAGATAAATGCAGAAATTTTACTTTTGCATTCACAGTACATGTGAAGGAAATGCTGAGGCTTTTTTTTTTCTCTCTCTCTTTTTATGTGCATCTTCTAGGTAACAACAAGATATATTTCACAGTTAAAGGATGGGCATCCAAGTCATCCTTTTACAAAAGACCTCCTGGCAAAGGTACTTCACTTAAATTTTTTTTTGTTAAATTTAGCAGCTGGAGTAAAAATAATAATAGAACATAAAGTGTACATAAATTATATCCATCCTAGTATTGTGCCTGAAATTCACATAATTTTGTGAAGGCAAATTCTACAGATTATGATTTTTTTGGCTTCCCTATCACAGTCATGATACTCTGTTGTCAGTACTCCTTCTCCTCTTTTGTTTTGTCTCTTTGTTTGTTTCTTCTTTCATGATAACATTTATTTTTCATGTACTTAACTTGTTATGATAAAGAGAGAATACGCAGACATTGCACCATCACAAGTTGAAACGGGCTCCATGGTTACCACAAGGAAGGAATAGCAACCAATCTTTTAAAGAAAGTTTTTTTTTTTTTACAAACTGATTCTTGCTCAATTTTCATTCAAGATTTAACCTAGCCTTTTATTTTTTGTCTCTTTCTCCTCTGTAGGAGAAACATTTTGATCAGCTTGCAGAACAATATGCAGTCAGCGTACAGTCGTGAAGATGATGATGATCGAAGAATTATGCGAGGACTACTGGCATATGTGTAAACAACTGAATGTAAAAAGAACTATCAAACCTACTGTAGGCATGCCTTTACAAGCTTCAGTTTATACGGTGCACGTTCCTTCAAAATTTCCTTGTATCTCTTTGTATCATTTACCAACATGTAGTCTATCTTAAGGTGCCGTAATCTTTATGTTGTTTTAACTTTTGCATTAATTTTGGTCTTCTTTTTTTTTTTGAAGAACAAGAAATTTCATGGTCGTAGATCTTAAAGTTTAAGTGTAGAATCTCGGATTTATTAAACCAACCATAACTCTTCATAACTTGATTTACGTGAATTCACCGCGTCCTCCACAATAGAGGGGTAACTGCTTTCTTCTTCACCTCTCTGAGGGTGTTACTCCACACATTGGAGAGCTATTTCCACCCAGGCTCTTTCTCTCTTATGTGGTCGGTCATACTTGGGCTTACTTGGCATAACTTATCACTGGTTGTGCAGAGAAACTGACCCTAAATGAAATATTCTTAGGTGAGAGTGTTTTAAGCCGGGAAAATGAAAGAGCATTTTGCCTTATCCCCAACCAGACGAAAGGCCATTCAAAAATCGGTTTGTACGTTATTACCAGACTTTCCTTAAAAAACTACTTTGTTAAAAAGGTCGACGATCGCGGCACGGTGCATACCGGGGGCCGTGGGCACGACACTCAGTATGAGGGAGGGGGGGGGAGGTTTGGTGGGAGGTGAGGTGCAAGTGAGAGTCCTAGATACATACACACATACATGCTTTATTGAACGTGAAAAACTCTCTCAGCTCTTGCAAGTTTACATTTGCTTTCCCAGTCTGCTTTGACAACCAATTTGAGCTAACCACGGCACGAATGTCACAAGGTAATGCGCTGCAGTGCTTTGCTGCAGTATCAGAGGGTGTCAATGGGGTGATGGCTTTTGCGGCCAACGGTTACCATTTTTCCGCTGAGATCACTAGAATTTCCTTTTAACGTTTAATTTTTTTTACGATAAACGGTTGAAATTTTCGATTTTAAGGCTAACGGCTAAAGTTTTGGCCGTTCTATGGCATACTGTTAACCCAATTGAGACCCTCGTAGACCGCCATGAGTTAAGTACGAATCTGGTAGTATTTAATTTCCCCAAAGGATATACGTTGTTGTCTTTACATTTAGCTATGGAAACTCGATGGAGCCGTCTGTTGAATATTCTTCACTATGTGCCGCGTATAGTTTTCCCATATCCTCTTTACCAGACCTGGCCTGCTTACAATGGAAGTAAGAAAACTTATCGTCATTATTATTATTATTAGTATTATTATTATTAGTATTAGTATTATTATTATTGTCATTATCATAATTATTAAAATCTAAAACAACTTTAAAATAATATTTCGAAACTATAGGCATTACATAAGCAAGCAAAAAGCATCTAGACCCGCAGCCAGTCGGTCGCCCACAGATGGCCCACTAAGTACCTTCTGTAAACATTTGGCGCAGATCAAAACCTAAATTCTGCATAAGAAATCAGGGAACTTGAAATTCTTGAAATGATCGTAAACCTGTAAAACTTAAAACTACGCACTGATGTAAAAATTATTTAATATAAGTGCCAAATTTCATGGTGAAAGGTTGGACTCAAAATGGTGTTTGCTAATCACTCCGAACTGGCTAACCGGCCCGCACAAAAAGCACTTCACCAGCATGGTATATACTTAAGCAAGATGTTCTAGTGTTCAGTCGTAAAGATCTACCACGCTCACAAATGAATCTTGCGGGTTGTTGGGACAAAGGCCTAAGAAATGTTAGCGACTTCAACGTATCTCTTCCGTGCACTGTTAACGGACAACAAATTACTTCTTTCTTCATCATCACTGCTTCTACCATTTCTTGCACTCACATGACGGTGCCCAGAGAAATTTCCATCTTTGTCTTCATTCCCACAAGTAGCCAGACGGTAAAAGATTATGCCTACAAGAAAGAGTAGTGTCCAGGAATTGACAATCATTACAACCCAAACATACGCTGCTGAATACGTCATTAAGTTTTCCACAGCCGAGAACTTCAACAGGATGAAAGACATGGACAGTACCAACAAAACAAGAGGCTCGAAAAAGTTTTCAGAAGCAAACTTATAACTGGAATCATCATAGGGATGCAAACACAGATGAATAACAGCAAAGCAAACGAGAATTACCCAGACAACAAAGGTTTGTAAAGTAGAAGATGACGAAATCATAGACAACGCACTGGCAAGCAAAACGCGACGGAGAAGCATGACGATCTCAAGGCACCACTGATACCTTGGTTTGTAAGGCAAATATGCAGGACCAAGCCATGTGTCAAGTTTCTCACGATCTTCAGGACTCATGCTATTTCTTTTTCGAAAGAAGAAGAACATGAGGGAGGAGAGAAGCAAAGGAAACCCAATCACGTAGAACACAACGGAGACAAAACCAAGAGCTGTAAGTGTTCTGTAAGTAACAGATGTGCATTCTATCCAAGGGGAATTTGGCATGTAAAGAACATCACGGTCATTTTGGCATGGGCGTAAGATGGAGAGAGTTTGCTTTACAACTGGAAAGTAAGTGAAACTCAAACAGAAAAAGGCACTTTGACGGCATTTAAAGTGAACATTTTCCATTCGTCGTTCTTGGGGACGAACCTTATTGTAGCTTAGCATAACTATAAAGTAGACACCCACGAGTGCCAAGCAACCAATTGGAAGAAGAAGAATAAAAGTAAACTTGCCAACAGGATTGAAAAGGGAAGGAAAATCACACGAAAGTGAAGGGAAATACAAATTCCAGTAGCTGCTCAAGTACTTCTGAGCTGCAACGATCTTTGGAGGCCAGACATTGGAGCTCGATACCATAAAATCCATGGTTTGCATATAAAACACTGCAATGCTGATGAGAGACTTTGTACCTTTTCCTCGACTAGTCATGCACACAACAAAAACCACCAAGTTTAATTTGAAAACCCAAGTAGGTAAAAATTCCAAAAGCATGAAGATCAACATTAAGAGGAAATGTACTGCTGTAACAAAAAACCATTTGATAGGACGCAAGTTGAAATAAAGAAATGACCAAAGCAGAACGAGAAAAGAAATGGCAAAGATAGGGATGAACACGTAGTAGTAGGTAAGTTCTCCTTTCACACATGGATAGCACAATCCGCCAATTTTATAAAATCCTTCTTCACAACGAGAACAGAACCTGTCAGTGTTTCCTGAATGGCAGATACAGGATTCATTGCATTTTGTAATCAGAGTCGACACCGAACGCTTGTTATTGGAGGAGCGAGAGTCGTCGTTATGTGATGTGTCGAGGCGGCAGGTACAGGAAGCTAGTGGATTGCAAGAAGCAGGTACTGGACACTTGACGAGATGAGTAACATTTTTGGGATCAGGAGATGGCCAATAGCCAGGAGCTATCTTCATGATGTTTGGACCAACGTCTTCTTGGACCGTCACAGTAACTTGGTCACACGTTCCACCATCCATACATGATTTGCATAATCCAAGGCTTCCATAAAAATGTGGATCACAAATGCAATATCTGTACTCGTAAAATACAGGATCCAAACGAATGCGACCATTGTTGAACGTTAGGTGTCCTTCGGGACATGAAAAGTTGTCGCCTTCAGGTGGTCTGACCATCCTTAAAAAGTCTGGACGAAAGGCATTGGTCGATACGCTGTTTCCTTCACGCATGGATGGATTTCCAGAAATATCCAAGTACTGGAGGGAGATTAAATTCTGAATTCCTGCTGGAAGGCTTCCTGACAGGTTATTTGATGAGATGTCAAAATATGTTAAATATGAAAAGTCTTCAAAGAAAGCTGGTATGGCTCCGTAAAACTTGTTACCTCGTAAATCGCACGTGGACATATCCTCAAAGTAAAGCACGTTTGCGGGTAAGGGACCCTCAATATCACAAAAACTGAGATTTAGAACCGATGGACTAGGATGAAAGTCGGGTTTTCTCGAGAAGAGCTCCAAAAAGCTTGAAATATTAATTGCTAAATTCCTATTTCCTGCAAGCGAAATGAAGGATTTTACACGCCTGTCTGGTTTGGTAGACCATGGTCTCCCGTTGTTTATCGAGGAAAACTCGTTCTGTGACAAATCAATCATGGAGGGCGGATAACTGAGTAACTCACCAGGAATGTCTCCTGTGAGCTGATTGTTGGCAACATTAAGAATTTCAACGTGATGTGTTTTCGGAATGCTTTGAAAAAAATGACCCGAAATGTTGTTCCCCGGTAAAACTAGGTAGGTCAGGTTAGGTGGCAGGGTATTTGGTAAGTGTCCTGTTAGCCGAATACCTGATGCAAAAAGTTGGGTTAAGGCGGGGATTGCAAAGAGGTCATTCAGATCACCCCACATGAGACCAGGAGTGTTTCGGAGGTCAAGATACCAAAGTCTTTGTAATCTGGATATGCTGCTAGGTATTCGACCAGTTAATTTGTTCCCTCCGAGACATAGCACTCTCAACTCCGTCATATTCCCAATGTCTTCTGGTAAGTTGCCAGCAAAGCCTTCCCCGTCCATTATACAGCCTAGAAAATTGTTCAATTTTTTTAGTTGCACGATGTCCTTCGGGATTTCTCCAGATATAGAGGCTGCATTGAAAACAATCGACAGCAGATTGCTCATATTTCCAAATAAAAAGTCTCCAATGCGTCCTCGAAGTCTTGGGTTACCAGGCGTGCAAAGCGACAACAAGTTGCGTATCCTCCACAGATTGGAAGGAAGAACACCATCCAGGTTGTTGTAAGCCAGCACAATGGTTCTTACATATGAATTGTTGTAACAGGTGATACCATACCAAGAGCAGTGGGAATTTGAGCTGTTCCATCCTCCACTTTCATACCATTGTTGGCCATTTGTAGATGTGTAAAGGTCAAGAAGAACATTCCTTTCTTGCTCAGGTGTAAACGAGAAATCATACGTTAACACAGGGAATATCCAATTAGAACCGACGAGCCTTTTTAAACAATCATGACCCTCGATGCTCAGGAACAAATCATAATCTAGAATTAAAGAATATGAAGAGTCATCATAAAGAAAATGACTAGAAGAATAATTTTGTTAATGATTACTCTCCCGTGGGGAGGGGAGGGGAAGGGTTGGTGATTGGTGGTAGAATCCACCCCACGAAGATTTGTGTGGGAATGCCCCGCCTGGATACATACCTTTCGCGTTGAAAATGTAATTTGACTAAAGAGTTACCCGTGTATATATTTTATCTGTAGAAAATGGAACCCCTTTCATATAGGTTTAGTTAAGCAACAGATTCCTCAAACATGTTAAAAGGGCGTTAGAAAGGCAACGAAATTCTTTTTCTCTAAACTAACAAACTTTAGTGTGCTTTTCTGTAGAGCTTTTTTCTAATTGAAAAACCCGTGGCCGAGTACCGTTCGTACCCTCGAAAATTAGAAAAGTTTTCTTAAGATCTACCATATCATGTAAAATGTTTCGATAATTTGCTTTATGCACTGCAGCAAGTTTGCGTTAAGTACTAGAAATGAGCATGGCGTTGATCCAAGCCAGAACTAATCAACATAAAAAGTGTGTTACCGCTGAGATTTACTAGTCAAAACCTAAATTATGCCACTCTAAAACTGAGGTAAAGGCTTCCGCCTTCATGAATTATTACCATCAGAAATTTCAAGGGTTTTTTTTTTTTAATTCAAAGGAATTCTACGCAGACCTCTCTTGTACACCATTCCATGTAGCTGATGTTTTTGAAGATGAAGATGATGCAAAATAAGAATGGTGCTTGATGTTTAATGAATCTGCGACGAACACGTACCTTTCAACATGATTTAAATAGACAGTAAGAGCGACTCGTAGAGTACAAATGAAATGAGGAAAAAAATGAATTACAGGTATAAGCTTATGAGTCCACTGAAAGCACTGGAGACGAAACTGCCGGGGCGAATTACTAGAAGGTTAGGAATGAAAGAACAACCAACGAAAGACGAGCAAAAGTTAGATTCTTTTGTGAAAAAATTGATTCAACGAAATCCACTTCTGCGCATTGGAAAGTACTCTCCAATGCTGCAAACACCAAAAGAAGACTGCAGGTTAGACCAACAAAGCTGAATGATAAAACCCTTGGTGTGCGAGACAAAGACTGAATGCAAACCTGATTAATGCATTCGTAACAATGGAACAGGAATTTCGAGAAACCCCACTTGATGTTACGATGTTACACCAATTCAAACACATTCGCCCTTCTCAATTTCTGAGGTGTCGGTATCCAGGAAAATTAGGGTCTTAAATTCTAATAAGGTTGCGGGGCCGGACTAGACTATTCGCAAGTTGCTACGGTTAGCCGAGCTAGCAATCGTCTCGCCTCTTACTAAGCTGTATTCGATGAGCATTGACGAAGGATAAGCTTTTAGCTAATGGAAGAAAGTTCACTAGCTTATGAACCCTTTTTAAAAAGGACGATCCTTCTGACAGGAGTAACTATCGACCCATCTCTCTACCAAGCCTTCTAAGTGAGATCTTGGAATCGTGTACATCTGACACGATGCTGAAGCATGTTGCGGAAGGCGAAATACTGACTGAGAGGCAACGGGCCTACTGCAAGGGCCACTCGACCCAGTTATTAATTGCCCATCGTAAAGAAAGTGAGTTGTTAACAAGCTGTTAATAATAATTCAGTGGTTGCTACCACTTTTATCGATTTTCGTAAAGCCTTTGAATACGTCTCTCATAGTACCCTGCTACATAAATTGAAGAGCATATTTGGAAGCGAGGGCAATCTCCTCTTAGCTCGCAAATTATCTGAATCACCGGACACAGGTTACTTTACTTAGTCGGAAGAGCTTAATGTGACTTGCGGCCTCCCACAAAGATCAGTGCTAGGCCTAGTTTTGTTTAGTTTGTACACCTACGACATGCCGTAGGCTGTGACATCAGACAATCTCTTCCTGTATGCTGACGATACTACAGTTTACCGCATCGGATCTACTGTTAATAAAGCATGTTACCTACTAAGCAACGCGCTCGACGAGCTTAACGAATGTTGCAAGACTAACTCGTTAATACCACACTCTTCAAAATGCGAGGTAATGATCCTTCATTGCTCCATACCCTTTGATTATCATTGGTAACGTTGACGTTGCATGGGTATGTCACGCATGGCTTCTGGTTATTACTATAGACCGGAAACTTGCTTTGACGAAACATCTTACGAAGATCTCCGCCCAGAAAGAAATTTAAAATGGCAAAAGAATAAAGTTAGAAGCTATTGTATCGCTCTCAATCATTTGCCCAAAGAAATTTTTACAGTAATATTGAGAACATCTTTTCGCAATTCTACCGCCAAAAGCTTAATCCATTTGAAGGTTTAGCACATGCTGAAAATTAACTTTACTCACAAAGTACTTTTACTAAAGAGAAATGTATGCCTTCGAATTTAAATTATTTTACACGCAAAGAGGAACGCAGTGTTTACAAAAATCGTTTTGTGAGGTCTTATGAGCTTGAAAAAGAAGATTTGAGTGTTAAAAAGACGAGATAGTGATTCGTATTTGAACGTGAAGCCCTCAAACTTGTGCGATAATTTGCTGCTAAAAATGACGATTTTAACGGAATTTTGATATTTGTATTTTTCTCTGAAATAAAACGATATTTTGCCAAAAAAAGTATCCAGTGATTTTAGTCATAGTCTAGCCTATCTAATATTAAAATAAGAAAGAAATCGAATTTTTCACCCTTGCCGCGAAATTTAGAATTTGTCTGATTTTTACAGACAAGCGCTCTTAAAAAGAAGGGCTGTTCATCAATTCTAATTAGCAAGTTGTGCTAAATACTTTGCTCTAGTAATTGACTTTCGGAGGTTATGCATCACTCAAGATTGATTTTTGACCATAATAGTTGAAATTCGTTTTGTATTGAAGGCCTATTTCCAACTTTGATGCAACGCGGTCGTTTGTTTTTGTTTTGAACCACCGTTCCTGTTTAAATAGCGCCTCTGATTGGTCAGTTATTTTTACCTTGTCACGTCTCAAAATACCTTCTGCCTTTCCTCTGATGAATTTGAAGAGCTTATCAAAATAATTCTGTTTAAAACAGTTCTGTGCGTTTTAATCCGGTACGGAATTAGATGAATCCATTGATTTAGTAGATTCCGAGGCAGTAAACGCTTATGGATCGATTGTTGCTAAAGAGGAACGCGAAAATCCCTGCGACCATTCAAAGAAGGTGAAAATGTTGATCCACCACGTTTGCATTCATTCATCAATTTTTTTAAATTGAAGTTTGCCATCCTTGTTAAATAGGACTAAGGGTCAGTTGAAGTTTCCTGCCCGTGGAGAGGACCTTGGGCTCGAAAGAGTGGTCGAGGTTGTTGTCCATGAAAAGCAGCAAATAAGAATTGTAACACAAACTGTCAGAGTCGCTAACGTTCCTGCATTGAATTGACTAAACTTGAAATAATTAAACGTCCGGCAGCCCGTTTTTTTCCATATTTCTCTTCGAAATTCAAAAAATATTTATGCGAAAATGTTCTACGTTTATTTACAATCCTCAAGCGCTTCCAGGCAGCCCAAAATTTCGAACTTGATATTTTTCGCTAACCCTGTATACATAGTAAGAAGCCACCCAAGCGCTTAACACTTCCAGGTAGCCCAAAATTTCGAACTTGATATTTTGGATCGTAAATAGCTTAGAAGCGGGGCTTCGGACTTTGTTTTTCACAAATACACTTACTTACACGGTCAACTTTGTTACATAACTGGAAGGTTGTTGTTCGTTCAAGTCGCTTATTGACGGAGTTTGTTGTTACGACACTAGAGATCGAAAGTGTGAAACGGAAATTGTTCCTTTACTTTCATGCACCAAGAATATCGCAAGTCAAAGGTCGGCTTTCAAATTTACCGTTCCTGAAGATGAGATCGACCTTATTTTGTGCCTAGCGCACATATGTCGGCCCCTCTGTAGCTTAAGGTTATAAACGGTAGTTGGGTCTGTTAACAGTGGTTAATAGTACCACTCCCTTTTGCAAGCCCTCAAGTTCCCATTAGCCACCGAACATAGCACCCCTGCCTCACATAAGCTACACATCCCCACCTCTGCGTTTTGCAGCATGGCGCAGTAAAAATGTACAAAAGGTTCTCTTTCATACTATTCGGGGTATTCCTTGCAATTTTAGTGGAAAGAAAAACACCCCTAAATATTTTGTATTTTCAATTCTGATAGTGCTTAATTATATGGAGTTTTGCCCTTCACCTACCCCCTAAAGTTCCTTTCTCACCGGTATTGCGTGACAACCCAAATACTCAAAAGACGTACATGTTTGTAGTCAACTCAGTTTAGCATTGAATTAAACTGCCAAATGTAATCTTTTAGCAATACTCGCAGTCAACTGAACCATTGAATAAGATGCCACAGTGAAGAAAGATATCGAACGTTTGACAACAAGATGATGTTCGACAGGGTTGGTGGTTTCATCGGACGTTGTCATTTATACAAACCCAAACACGACGAACGACAAGAGAATTATACTAAAATGGTATCTGGATCGGTCTTCTGCGGTAAATGAAGTTAGAGCATTTGCAAATATGTTTCTATGTACATTTTTCGGCCTCATATTGGTTAAAATATATTAAAATGGAATGTTGACCGCAAAAGGTCAAATAACTGCATTTTAACGGACTTTGAAAAGCTTTTGTATCGCTCTCAATCATTTGCCCAAACAAATTTTTACAGTCGTATTGAGAACATCTTTTCGAAATTCAACCACCAAAAGTTTAATCCATTTGAAGGTTTAGCACATGGTGAAAATTAACTTTATTCACGAAGTATTTTTACTGAAGAGAAATGCATGCTTTCGATATTAAATTATTATAAGCGTAAAGAAGAGCGCAATGTTTACAAAAATCATTTTGTGAGGTCTTATGAGATCGAAAAAGAAGATTTGAGCGTTTAAAAGACGAGATAGTGATTCGTTTTTGCACGCGAAGCCCTCAAACTCGTGCAATAATTTTCTGCTAAAAATGACGATTTTAACGGAATTTCGTTATTTG